TATCTGCTTTAAACTGGGACTACAGGTGTATTGTTAAAAGGCTTACAGTTACGTAGTAAGCTCCATGCAGTATAAGTGACTACCGATATAAAAGTGCTTAAAAGTCATATTAGTTACAAAAAACATCTTTTACGAAAACGGAAATCGCATCAAGTGAATATGATTGAAGGCTACTTCATAGGAATAAACTCGATCTATAGTTATTGCTGTACTTGTATGCGAATAGGCAATTGGTTTAGTTCTGGCTTAATTTTCTGAGTATCGATGGAGACATGTGATTATTTCCTTCACATCGCCATATTATATTATTATTCACTCCCTGTTGTAGAATTGCAAACGTTGCATGTAACTATATTATAGAACTTCTAATCTTCAGAAAATTGTTGAAATCGAGGCTTTAATTATAGTTCATCCATAATATTAGGCTTTCACCAACAAAGAAATGCTTAATTTTATTATACATCATCAGCAGTTAAGTTCGCAGTAAATAGGTAAACATCAGCTTCAAAATTTCAAGGATTCTGCAACTGCATCAAATAATATGTTGATAAAACTAATGTGTTGATATACGTGCAGTATTATAGCTAAATAGATGATCGATTCAATTGTGATCATTTTCTTTTAATAAAAGCTCGCGTAGACCTCTCGTACACGGTAGTAGCTCGTTTTAGGAGTATTTTGTTGTTAAAATACTCTAAAATAGTAAATCGACGAATTTCCCTAATGAAGGAGGCCGATATCCTAAATTTAACCTTGCTGAATTCTGAAATCATAAAGCGTGGATGCAGATATGATAAATATCACGCCATATTGAATTAAAAAGTAGTATAGCTTTTGAAGTTCAGTAGTCATTCGACAATTATCAAAGAGGCTTCTTGTAAAAATGGAATGATAATGTGTGGATTTGCAGCAGTATTTAATGGAATAAATTAGAATAGTTTACCAGACGTATGACATTTTTTGTTATTTCTGATTAATCTCTTAATTGGTATAGAAAGCAATACCTCAACTGCAATTCTATCGTCAGATTTACTGCCACTGTTTGAAGGCTTAATTAAATTGCTTTGTTTTATTTGCTCACCTGGAATATTCTAGAGCAGCCTAATAAAATTAAAGCAATTACTGGTTTGATTCATCTTTTAGTGGCATGATTAGTATGATAAAATGTGATAGTAATTTATTATGAACAGAGACATTGAACATCTTCAGAGGCTGAGTTCTTTTCTCTAAACGGAAGAGACGCTATAGCGTCATGGCGTTACGTCATCAGTTGCCTACTGTGCTCGTATACTTTTTAATTTAAACTTTTCACAGCTAACATACGGATAACGGGCAATATTACCGCTTGGAAATTTCCTAGTATCGGAGCTTCCTATAATTACCTTATTCTGTTCTAGTAAACTTTAGAAGTTTGAAGAAGATAAAGATACGCCACCCAAGAATTATTTACAAAACTTTGTTAACCTTTGGATTAGTTTGCTATTCGACGAAATCGATGCGGAGGGTCATCGTGGTTGGATAAATAGTGACATACTTTAGCCCACAGTTATTGCCTTAAAGAAGATTACAAGGCTAGTGTGCGTATAATACTTGATCTACGGCATTTCATAATGGTGAAAACTTATATTAAATTTCAAGGTAGGAAGATATGGCTTTGATTCCGATTTAAATAGTGATAATAATATCTCGTACTTACCATTATAACCACTTGATATTTGCGGAGATATGAGTACAAACTGGCAATAGAACCGAAGTTTGCACAGAATTAAGTACAAACTGGTAGTAGAACGATAAGCGCATATTGTAGAGAATGAAAACGATCTAGTCTTATATAGATCCATTTTATGACTTTGCCAATATGCAATGGAGTGATTATTTTAGTAGCCATTGAGGTAGTAAATCTTTTAAACTCGACGAAAATCTTATAATCGATAATCCCTGCGGATTCACTTTTATGCAGCTACTAAAAGAATCCGATATAAGGGTAATATCGATTCATGTACTTGGTAGACGATCCCTCTGCAAGCTAAGAAAGCGTACATTTTATGTTTCTTTCGTTTCTATTCCAGTGAAGAGATGGGTTGGAGGCCGTTGTTATATTAATCCGATAGAAAGCCTATAGTTGTATGGCATTGCCTCGAATATAGCCTACAGTTGTATATTTATTGCATCGGAATTTAGTATTAGATGATGAAGTAAAATTGTGTTCGATTATGATGATAGTGTTAACTTCTTGAACGAAAGTGGAAAAGTTCATTACTCTGATGATATTTCTATCTTGCTAAAACTAAAGTACATTATATGCACCTAGTAAACTGGAAAGTACCGTAGTAGGTCAGATATTTTATACAGTAGAGGGAAAAGATTTATGATCTATACCTAGATGGATATTGTTTGGGCTTGTTTATAACCGATTATACGTAAAATATGAAATTGCCTGATGTATTGAGTTTTAACTATGTATAGTGCAGTCCCCAATTAGCTTATGATGACAGTTATCTAAAATGTATATCATCCATGATGAATTTTACTGTAGTAAATGATATGGTCTGATTGCAGCTAGATAGTCGTTGGCAGTTGTGAGATGAACCCTACCTTACTAGAGTAAAATTTACTAGAAACTATAGTTCTTGTTTTATTATTTTGAAGATACTTTATCATATCCTGGTAGTTTGGGAATGGAAATTTAGAGTCTGTAGTATAATTGGTGCGGTGTTACAACAAATTGTGATAAAGTGACTCAAGAACAGTACGGCAAGGTTTTGATTTCTTGTTTAATGTGCAAGGTATCTCTATAATACCGTACAAGGCTTACTTTATTACGCGTATACTGTATAAATTAGCTCTTTTAGCAAGGACTATCTGCAGCCAGAGATTATGCAAACAGGCTTCAATTAAGCGCTATACTACAGTAAACATTTCTATCATCCAACTAGAATACTGTGAAGTAGTTATTGGCGTAGCTTCATTACTCATTATTACATTTACCACGCCACTCAGATACTTAAATAACGGTTTTACCGCCATGCGATGTGTTATTCGGTATTATAAAATTGGCATCGATGAAAAGGGTAGCATAGTGTAGTGAATTATTTAAAAATGTTGTTAGGGTAAGGGGTATTATGACAATATGTTAAGTGCCCGAGTTGCCGGCATCCATGCTACCTGCTACACTCCATTTTCGCAGAGGCTAGATTATATTTGGGCAGTGAATAGCTTCGTTGGATTTTACACCACTCTAACAGTTGAGCGATTTACAGTAGGCCCATAGACTACTCGATATTGGGTGTTCTGTAATAGTCCATGTCTATTGTGTAGATTGAGAAGTCATTGCGAGACATTCAGAGTTGTCGGCATCATGCTGGCTGTGCTCTATTTCCGTCGAGGCAAGTTTATTCCTCGATTTGAAGTGCAATCATTAGATGTTACACCACTGTAACATTTGCGTTCATATCACAGTGGTTGGTATCGATGCTGGTTATAGTCCACTTTAGTGGTAACAAGATTGATTGATTGATTTTCGAATTAATCGTTAGCTTCAACTGATGTTGTACCTCTGCAATAGCAGAGTTGATAGCATCAATATCAGCTGTAGTCCACTTTTGTAGAAGCAAGATTTATTAACTTACACTCTATGCGTGTATATTTATTTATATTAAGATTAATCATTGGCTTCAATCGTTGTTGCATCATAATTGACTCTATGTATTAGCGTTATTGGCATTTGTGCTGGCTGTGAATTTAGCAAAGTCAAGATTCATTGATTTATTTGAAGAATAATCATTGGCTTTAATCGATGCTGCACCATAAATGCTTAGTCTGCCAATGGTCGGCATCGATACGGTCAGAGGTGGCTTTCTTATTATACTCTACTTCAAAGTATCAGGCTTGCCGGTATTGATGCAGGCTGTATTTTACTTCAAAGGAGCGTCGGCAAGATTGATGGATTTATTTCCAGCTGCATATCGCTTTTCAAGGTCTGGCCTTCAAATTTCAAGCCACTTGATATTAAGATCAGACCAGACCATCAACAAGCTTACGCCTATTATTACAGCCTTGATGAACGGAGATCGCAGATCATTACAGCAGTTGAGTCGGCATTGTAGTCGCAGTCAACAGTCGTAGCGAAGCCTAAATCCAGTATAGTAAAAGAGAAATTTTGGATCAAGTACATTAAGTGCATTAATGCATTTGATCGGCAATTTTTTGTCAATTGTACTGCAGCTGTCAGGACAGTCAGAGAGTACTCGCTACTATTTTCATCATATTATTATTAAAAGAGAACTTTCATATTTTTCATGGCTAGGGGTTTCAACATCGCGAGACCGCAGTATTCCTTTTCCAGATTCCGACAATATACAATACACTGTAGTGGGTATGCACTGTAACATGTCAGTACATTGTACTGTAGTTGGTCACGTTCAGTATTGTACAGTACAGCATGATTAATTTCCTTTGGGAAAAATCGGCACCTATCTTGGAGTAATTGGAAGACTACTCCGATCAAAATTGACATGACGACATATCGATTGATCCAAATTTTACTCCAAACTGTGCGATATTGATGCATTTTATTTCATTTTTCGTTTTGTGATCAGAAATGAATCACACTATACAGTACAGTACACTGTACTTGCACAAGACAAATTTTCTCTTGCATTCTTAGTTCAGTAGTCATTGCCTCATTGGTATAATATGGTAAACTCAGTTTTTCGGTACTGTATCAGTACCATACTAAATAGCGGTAGCCATACTCTCGCTCAGGCTTTTTCTTTGCACTGTACACTGTACTTTGACCATTGGACAGGTTGAGCGCGGCACCTGCGCACTCAAAGCTCGTCCAGCCGCTAAAGTGAGACGAGCCAATCGACAAGAGAGCATTGATTGAATTCACAGTTCAATACCGGCGCTTGTATGCTTGCCATTTGCACTTTGAAAGCCAATCCATTTTTCCATTTTGGATTTTAGTGGTCCAGAATAGTCCCGACCAGGCATTGACGATGAATAAATCGACTACTTCACCTAATTCTGATGTATCCAGGGCCAGCCATTTCGAAAGAGCAAGAATACGAACTCTAGCAGGTTGATTGATAGGATAACCAATACCAATAATCTTCCATCAGTCAATGACCAAAAGAATGCATTTTCTTCACCATTTTCAATGATTTCAAGTTTTCTTTACAGTCTTGGTGACAAGGCTATTTTCTCACTTAATCGTAGTTTTAATAGTCAAACCAATACAGCACTATCCACTCTATCACTAGGATAGACTTAGAAATAGCATAGATGCATGTTGTGATTTTTTTTTAGGCTTATTTTACGCTCTGCTTGAAAGGCTAAAAGACTACGCTACATTCCATAGAAAAATATGGCGCTTGACGCGTCATACTTGAATAGTTATCGTGCCGCCATTTTCATGGACTGCCATATAATACGTTTTTCTTCTTTTAAAATTGAAAGAAAATGAGGATGGCCAATGGATTAGTTAGTTTTATAAGCTCTTTTCTTCGTATTAATTTGTTTTTTTTAGGTAGTCAGAGAAGAGCCAAGGAATAGAAATTTCTCAACAGTTTCGACTTCATTAGCTTTTCCACTTTATTTTCACTGTCAAGTCATTGTACCATAGTACAGTAGTTTTGATTCAATGCACTAGCAATAGACGTGTGTCAGACGAAAAAAAATATTGCATTGTCAACAGAGCAAAGACTCATTTTACCCTTCATTTAAATAATCAATAAATAATATGCGTATTTGTTTTCTTAACTTAATTAATGTCTTAGCTGAGCTTGAAAAAGTCCAAAAGAAAACTTTTACCAAATGGGTCAATTCATGCTTGTCAAGAGTGGGATTAAATATTGACAATTTGTATAGCGATCTTTGCGATGGAACGGTTCTACTACGCCTGTTGGAAGTTTTATCTGGGGAGAAATTGGTAAAAATATTCAATTAGCTTGTTGGACTCGCTTGTTATGATAACACATTGCATTAATGATGTTTTGATTGCCAATTCATACATTTGTTGTGATAATGTTAGTACAACTTAGCAGCATTCAAAAGTTAGACAGGATGACCAATCGATCGATAGCCCCCAATAGTCCATTCAAACTTTGATGAAATAATCTTGTACGGTAGAATTGACGTTTGCAGCATACAGTAGGCAACAAAGTAGTCCTTTTTTTTAATTGATTGATAAAGTTTGGACCTTAAGGAATAGTGAATTGATTTTCCTATTTGTAGGAAACAAAATAGTCATGATAGACTGTTGAATCAATAGGTCATGACTAGCCTTGTCTTGTATGCATGGTGTTGCAAAACCTCTCTCTACTTTTCTGTAGCGTAAATAAACTATCTCCCAAACTAAACTATTTTTCATTGAATCTATTGCTGCTGTCTATCATTAAATTATAAACTATTATTCGTTCAACGGCATGACAGGATGTCAAAGTGGCAGTACTGTACAGTATTTGTGATTCAGTAAATTTTCTTATCACTTCGTCTAATCTAGTTACTCTAGAATTTCTCAAGAGTATGATTGATAATTCTTTTCAAACACGTTTGGTTGCTTTATTTTTGTAAATGAAATGGAATTATTTTGGGACTGCTTTCATTTGGATGGATATGTTAGCCGAAACCGGCACGTGGTAGAATGCGAATTCATCTCATTCAAAATCTGAATGCCGTCTTGAAATTTTTAATCCATAAACATGTAAGGCAAAGATAGATGTAGTACTCAATTGAAAATCGTATATCAATAAGTTACGGGTTTTTGTATCAGCGCTTTCCAATGTCTAGATTATAATGTTAAACTATTGCAAAAACAAATACCCTTGAAACTATTTATTTACTCTATTGTAACAGAAATAGGCAAGTCTTCTAAATTTACAAAGCAGTGATATTTGCATTTCAGTTGCAAATTTTTGAATAGTTTTCTTTGTAATCGATCCTATAGACTTTTTGGACTATTCTTCTGTAGTATCAAGTAGTCTGAATCAGTTCCAAAACTTGGTTAATACCGTTTCGATATTGTGTTACAGTATATATGTATAATATTTTGTTAACCTACGGTATTCATAGAGGAATAACAATTTTTTTTTTATATCCATGTAACTCTGTAGTGACCACCGAGTTGGGCAAAAAAAAAGCAATATTTATAAACCTAAACCTATGTATTACCCAAACTAGCATTTTAAAATTGCCACAGGAGTAATGCTATTTTTAAATGGGTTTCTTTCCTGCATTAACAAAACTTACTCTCCAATGAATGTAGGTGAAACTAGAAAATATTGGCGCTCATGATATTGTCGACGGAAATCAACGAATTATTTTGGGCTTAATATGGACCATTATTTTAAGATTTCAGGTATTCTGAAAAGAAAGCAAGTAAACTTGATATGTTCTTTTACTCTATCATCTAGTAATAACTGGGAATTTAATTCTTTTACTACAATGGAGAAAGTCTATTAGTTACTAGTGGAACAATGTTTGAATAAACAATCTTACTCTGCAGGTTAAAGTAATAAAATCGTGATTCTTTTATCATCATCGCTTTAGAATTCAATGTTCAATTAAGCGAATGCAATACAATACATTCCTATTGTTGATGAATAGTGTACAATGTGATGAGATTAGGTTATAGACAATTACAAAAACAGGATAAAATTATAGTTGAACTGATTGGTCCACCTGGCATACATGTATATTTTTAACTATCTCCTGATAGAAACACCGTTACGGTGAATCACAACTGCTAAAAATGATATTACTGTGCTTATTGATGTGTTTAGCTTGGTGTAACTGTAAAGATGTAACGTAGGAATGATTGAATTCAGATTCAGGATATACGTATCGAAGGTGAAACGACTGAATCGACCGAAAAAAGGTCTGCTAAAGACGCCTTGCTTGTTTGGTGTAAATTGAAAACAGCCAAGTAAGTGAAGTCAATCACTTTGAAAGAGATTGATTATACATCTAGAAACAAGAACACAAGTAGAATTAGAATTTTTTGTGGGTTCGCCTCTTACTTTTAAAAAACTTGCATTGAACCTATGACTAATTTATAGACACAGTAGAAGAAAGAGTATAGCATTATATTTACGATTTTAATGACGAAACAGCGTGCGTAGTATCTTTATCCCCGTAGAATTTATTATATACTTTTACTTCAAATGAGAAAATTTCCTTGTTTCTTATATACGAGTACTTTCTCCGCTGATTCTGGGAAGCTTTTTATATATCACCGTTGTTCGTAGTGTTACAAGTTTGCTTACTTTTTTATACTGTAACTTTATACACCTGCTTTCTGTCAACGTCATAATACAGCAATTACCGTCGATTATTTATACGATTCATTTAAATCTTCGATATTGACTGTCTAAATACCAGATCGTAACGAATACTTCAATTATGATTAAAAAATATGTTTCACAAGTAAATCTCCGACTATTTTTACTTTAACGTATGTTAATACAAAGGCCTAGCATGTCCTTAAGTGTTAGAATTACTCTTGTTGCTATGTAATCAAGTTAGTTATTACTAAAATTACAGTGGTGGTTCTTGCATAAATTTTTCTTATTGTTTAATCCCATTCTTTTACAATTTTTATCCCTTATGTAGTTATACAAATGTAAGAGTGACGAATTTTACGTCCAGTTGGCGGAATGGACTGGCATTTAATGCGCTTATTCATAAACACCGGTATTTTTCTTTGTAGCTGTCAACTCAGGATATTTTCTTCCGTCTACCACTAATACAATATTTTAGGCGCATACACAATTTGGTATTATTCTTCTGTTAATTATGACTATTCCTTTCGGCTAAATTTATTAGGCCAGATGTGGTTGATTATGATCGACTTTCACCCGATAACGCGCTGGAAAATTTGCGACTTGCTTTCACAGTTGCGGACGAGTGCTTTGGAATTGCCCCTTTGCTAGATGCTGAAGGTAGATAAATAAAAAATATACAGTATGTCATCTACCTGATAAATGCATTGAGAGTGTTATATCTATACCGCTATGTATTATTTTCTAATACTGTTATACTACACAGTTATAAGAATATTTTTTGAATACCTGATTAAGATTTTATTAGTTGTTGTTTACGTATCTTTCTTTTCGCGTTTAATGGAATTTTTTTAACGAAATCTCTGCTGGCTCGCTTTAGATATCTGCGTAGAAAATCCTGATGAAAAATCTATTATGACTTATGTTGCTTCTTATTATCAATCGTTTTCTAAGTTGAAAGCAGAAAATGTAGTAGAACGCCGAATTTGGAAGGTGAGTATGATATATCGTAGCTAAGTCTAGCTTTGTTTATCATAAGTTTTACTATCATTTCACACGTTTTGTCGTTTTACTTTTATGTATACCTGTTTTCATAAATTGATTTTTATCCGTTAACAAGGTTATGAATTGCATCATGGATCTTGAAAAAATGATGCAAGAATATGATACTTTAGCTTCGAATCTTTTGAAATGGATTAGAGCAATGATAGTTATATTGTCTGATAGACAATTTGAAAACAATCTCGATGGAGTCCAACGACAGCTATCTGAATTCAAAACATATCGTACAGTCGATAAACCACTGCGGTATTACTGAATTAAATCGCTTAATAATTCTTTATTTTCTAAAGAAAGATAAATTTTAATCTACGTTCTTTTTACGATATACCGTTCTAGTTACTTGGAAAAGGGGACGCTGGAAGAGAAATTTTTTACAATTCAAAGTAAACTGCGCTCAAACAATCGTAAGGGCTTTATACCCGTAGCGGATAAAACTATTTCTGATATTAACAAGGTAATGAATCATTTCAGTTATAGCGTAAACGTTCTGCATAATTGTTGTATTGAATACATGTTAGGATGTTTTAACACAAGTGCATATTATATATAAAGTTATCGATGTTTACGTATAGAGCTGGGAACAGCTAGAAAATGCAGAACATGATCGTGAACAGGCGTTAAGAGAAGAAATCATAAGGTAGCTATTTGCAATGTTAAATCTTTCCTTTATATAGATAATCTGAAAATATTATCACACGCTTTTGACAGACAAGAGCGGCTTGAGCGCCTGGCTGATAAATTCACGAAAAAAGTATGTCTTTAATTTTTATATAATAAATGCATGTTAACATTAATATTGTTATATTATTTGCAACCGACATACTGATTGACTTTACCAATAGGCTTGTATTAATTATTCGTAATCAATTAATAGGCTGAGATGCGAGTACAATGGATATGCGATAGTGTCCGGCTTGTTGATAACGATATATTTGGTGACTCAGGCTCGTCCGTATCTGCTGCATTGAAAAAGCAGGAGGCATTTGAAGCCGATGTATACGAGTATCAAAAGCGAATACGCGCTATGGAAGACCTGGTGCAAGAATTAAAAATAGGCAATTATCATGCCATACAGAAAATTCAGGACAAGTTAGTGAGAACTAAATATTTTTTTTGATTTCTTATTTGTTTACAATTCTTAATGGCAATGCAACCCTCATTTAGGCGTGATAAAGTGATTATACTGTGGAATGAATTATTGGAACTAATAAAAATTCGTGAAGGTAAAGTAAGTCAACATGTCGAACTACATGATCATATACAGGAATTAGAAGATTTTATGGGGTGGTCGCGTGATGTCAAGGTATGAGGATTAATAGTACGTATATATTCTTACCTTGATCATAGTACAAAATAATCAATATTACCTATCTTTGGTATAGAATTCATTAGAGTCTGAAGATTATGGATTGGAGCTACATGATGTAGAGGATCTTTTACAAAAGAACTTAATTCTTGAAAATGAGATTTTGGCCCAAGAGGAACCATTAACGAGAGCATTACTCGAGGCTGAAAACTTTAAAGCGCCTTCAAAAGAAGATGGTGTGAACTTTTTTAATAGTTAGAATGATCTACTGCGACTTTATTTTCAAATTTCTCCGATGTTGAATTTTTATATTATCAATTTCGACTTAGGCAATCCAATGAATGATCTGCTGAAGGAGAGAATCAATTCGTTATCTCGTTTATACGATCAAATTTCGGAATTGCTCTATATTAGAAAGACTCGCTTGGAGGATTCACGCCAACTCTTACAGTTCTATCAAAATGTAGATGATGAATTAGATTGGATGAAAGGAAAAAATCAATCTTTATCACTTACAGACCTTACTAAAGCAACGGATTGCTCCTATGTAATTCATAAATTACGTAGTCATCAGGCATTAGAGGCAGAGGTTAATAATAATGAAACACTTTTAAGGAATATCATCGATACCGGAAATCAATTAAGTAAGAATAATAATTACGACTCATCTATGATTTTATCCAAAATTAACAATCTAGCATCAGCATGGAATAATCTAGTCGACTCCATGAGCAAACGTAAAGATAGAATCGCCGAAATATTGTCGATGCAACAATTTCTTTCTGAAGCCGATTACTTAGAAGGCCAAATATCACTTCATACTGGTTTATTATCTGTAGATCAAAACAGAATCGATGAAGATAACATAGATTCTCTGCTAAAGCATCATGCTAATCTTGAATTTGAAGTTGAAAACTACAAAGACCAACTGCATTTACTGGATAATATGGCGGACGACTTAAATCCAAACGATCAATCTTTTGAAATGGCTCTTGGGAAGAAAGCTGTTATTACTGAAAAGTACCAAGTATTAATGGCTGAAGTTGGTTATCGTCGTGAAAAATTGATTGCACAGCAATCTTTATTTAGATACTTGAGCGAAATTGATATCGTATTTTCTTGGATTGGAGATAAAGAAGCCGTACTATTTTCATTTGAGCCTCCTACTAACTTAATTGAAGCTGAGTTGATATTACAAAAATTTAAAGGTATTGAAAGAGATATAGTAACGTATCAAGATAGGTATAATAACACTTTGAAAGCTGGAAATGATTTAGCGGTTCAAATCACTGATGGTAATGATGAAATTGCTAACGCTCAAGGTGAACTAAATGAAAAATGGATTCGTTTACTGGAATTACACGGACTGAAAAAAGAAGAACTTTCAAAGTTGCTGATTTTATTGCGACTATTCTATGAAGTCGATGAAGTGAAAAATTGGATAGCTGATAAAGGAACAGGGCTAAGCAGTTGTTCATACACAACTGATCCTGCAGCAGTTCTTCAAATGCAACGACAAATAAATGTTATTGAGAGAGAAACGCCGGCTATCGAAGAAAGAATTGAAGATGTAGAATCGAAAAGAGACGCATTAGCTGAAGAACAACCTGATAAATTAGAAATTGTGAATGATAAACTAGATAGCTTGTACGAAGTCTGGGATGATTTACGAAATCTGGTTCGAAATCAGATAGCGACTATTGGGGAATGCAGTAATATTCAAAAGTTAATGTTTGATGTGGAAGACTTGGAGGATTGGTTAAAATTCCAATTAGGGCAATTAAGCTTAGAAACCGATGGTCTAAATTCTCTTCCCGATGTAGAAAAACTGCAAGCGGAGCATAATGAACTTTTAGAGGAGTTTACGAATCGTAAAATAATTCTAGATCGAATCAATTCTACTGCACCAATGCATTATACTGGTGATGCGGCTGGTAGGCGTCTGGAACAACGTGTAGAAGACATTAATCATGATTGGAATGATTTAGACAGCCTGTGCCACAAACGGAAAGTTCTATTACAGCAGATCCAACAATATTTAATATTTCAACGTGATTGCAAATATATTGAAGGTATCCTTCAGAAGCAAGATGTGTTTTTAGCTGAGGTTATGACAGAATTAGGTACATCGAATAAATCTGCTAATCAGTTGAAGAATAAGGACGATCAACATTTAAAAAGTAGTGCTGAACATCTGGTATCGTTAGCCGACTTGCAGGAACTTACTATACGGCAGAAAGATTATTCTAGAGGACTAGACTCTTGCATTCAACGAGTTGCACAAGCGGACCAGTTTGCAAAGCTTTCGGTGGATGATGACCATTATGCAAAGGAAAGCTTAATGTCGAAAGCAGCTACATTATCAGAGAGAGTCGAGCGAAATCGCGGGCTTTTTACTGAGATTGCTTTCCGGTTAGATAAAGCTGTTCATTTACAGAGCTTTTATCAACGATGCAATGAACTAATAGATTGGATAAATGAAAAGTTTAATATAATTTCTGGTGACATTGTGACCGACCAAGCTTATATATCAAGGCTACTGCAAAAGCATCGCACTTTCGAAGCTGAACTTGCTGCCACTAGAGATCAAAAAAATGTTGTTAACGAATTAGGAAAATCTCTTGTACAGGATCAGCCAGATGCGCGACCTGAAGTGGAGATTCATCTTACTGATATAGAAGATCGATGGATTACGTTAATGGATGCATGTTCTACAAGGAGTCAACTTTTAACCGATAGGTATAATGAAGTTCAATTCATTCGAATAATTGATAATCTGCAAGCTTGGATGTCAGATGCTGAAAATACGCTCGCAAATATGGAAACTTGCAAAGATCTCGCATCTTGTAATAAGTCAATGACAAAGCTTACGGTATAATCTTATCATTAATTGTAAAAATACGTAATTAGAGATCTTAACCATTTTAAGCTTTTACTGTTATTAATTCTTGAATAAAGTCTCTAGAAAGTGACATTATCTCTCGTAAAGACCGCCTAGATCAACTGGAGCAACAAGTACAAAATTTTTTAGACATAAATCACCGGGGTGCGGACGATATGCAAGATTTGTTCGAAAGCGTATCTCAAAGGTGTGCTAATAGAACTTATTTACTGCACGTATAAGCTGTCTTCTCGGAGGTGATATAATTTTTTATTCGTAGGTATGCAGCTCTACAGCGACCACTTAAAGAACGAAGAAAGCTACTTGAAGCATCGCGTCGCATGTTTCAGTTTTATCGTGATGTCGATGATGAATTGGTTTGTCTATTCATACAAGTATAAATAATTGTAAGGTACCAAATTGATCTCTTAAATACATGAAAAATTTATTAGTTATGGATTGAAGATAAAAAGCAACAACTGCAATCAAATGAAACTGGTAATAATTTGCACGAGGTGCAGATCCTTAGGACTGTACAACAGGTAGAATAAAGTATATCTATTTGCGCTATTTATAATTAACTTAACATAAATCTATTAATTTATGATTTTTGTCCATAACAGAATATACAAAACGAAATAAGAGTACATGAACAAATAATCAATGAGATATTTAAATCTGGATCTAAAGTAATCTCTGATGCTGATTCTTCTGCTGACAAAATACGTCATAATACTGAACTATTGAAAGAGAAGTGGCTGGAGTTAGAAATTTGTAGTAGAGAACGAGAAGCAATCATAGAACAATCGGCTACGGCTCATAAGGTATTTATAAATGTAACTTAAATATGTTCATTATTGAATTAAAATGTACGCAATTGTAGGTATATTTTTAATCTGATAATCTCATTAATTAATGATTCATAATATAACACAAGCGATCAATTTTTGATATACGAGATAAATTACTCTACCTTAGTTACTCTTCGATACTGAGGAAATGGAAGGATGGATCATGGAGAAAGCAGCAATATTGATTACTAAAGATAAGCCCAAGGTTAATCCTCACAAGTTCATTCACAAAATTTCTATCATTTATATGTAAATACTGTTTGTCTATCAAAACGCCTTAGGACCAAATCAGAGCGATGTCTATGATGAAGCATCACGAACTTTTGGAGCAGTCTGTGAAAAGTTATGCACAAAATATAAAATCACTCCATCAGTCTGGCCAAGCTTTTCTTGACCAAAGTACGATTAAGAGGTTAGTAATTTTCAAGTGAGAGTTGTAAGTAAATACTGGTCATTACAACGTGCTACTTATTATGCTCATAGTAAGGAGATCGTAGAAGCCCTGGACGTAATTGATGATTCATATAATAGCTTGCTAATTTTGGCGTCAGAGCGGCGAAATTTTATCGATGAATTATTACGGTTTTATCGATATAATTCGGAAGTAAGATTGATAGAATCAAAGAAAAACATAATTGTTTCATGGTTATGTCGTAACTGAGGTACTATATTTATAGGTAGATGAAGTTGAACAGTGGATTAAAGAGCGAGAAGTATTTTCGAAATCTAAAGACTATGGTAGTAATCTAGAGCAAATACAGGTACGAAAAGTGTTTTAGTAGAAGACTTAAATTAATTTATTACTATATTATTGTACAGCATTACATTGTAACCTATGTGAATTATACTTCCACAGCGGATTGCAGAAACCTTTCATTCTTGGGTGGTAAATACTAAAAATTCTGGTGTAAGTAAAGTGAAAGAAGTCAACTTAATTGCGGATCAGCTTATAATAACTGGTCATCCTGAAGCAGCAACTATTTGTGAGTGGAAGTCTGGAATTAACGATTTATGGAACCAGCTACTTGAGACGATTCAGGAAAGAACAAAGGTAATGATATTAATTTGAAGATTCTGATCTACAGTATACTTACAGAGTTGCGGCCATACCGCGTAAACTGACAAAATACTTGAAAACTTTGTCAAATTTTGTTGGAGTAGAACATAGAAAATGTAGCTACGATTCGTGATCACTACGCTGCTGGTAACGACTTCTTACATCGTATTAGGGTTCGTCGATATTGTTTCGAATAGTTTCTCGCGCTGCATTTACCTCAGCTAAGGAATAGATAGACCAAATATTTTTTGTTATACTTTATATTTCGTTATAGACAAAAGGACAGTGCTTACCTGACGACTTAGGAAATAATTTTGATTCAACCGAATGCTTATTGCATCGTCATAGTATTGTCCAGTCTGATGTCCTGGGGATAGAATTAGAGGTGCATATATTATAGTTATCATTATAATTCTAACATTTAAAATTAATTAATAAATATAATAACAAGCACACAACTTAGCATGAACTCGACATTTGTTCTTTGCTATGCTATAAGTATAATAACCTACAAGAATACGCTGCGCAACTGAAAGTGGATTTCCCGAATGAGAAACAGGCAATTGATGAGCTACATGGTAAAATTTCAGATGCTTGGGAACTTCTAAAAGATAAGTGCAATTGGAGGAAGTCGCAGCTAGAACAAACTCTAGATCTATTTAGGCTATTACTTTTGGTTGAGAATCATGCTTTATGGATAAATGACATGTACGATGATATAAATAGCTTGGAAGACCCAAGGTACTGGTTGCCGTCTAGATTTTGTAGCTATTCTATTGGATTTCTTTTTAAACATATTATAAGAGAATTTATAGCAAATAGTATTGTGCAATTGATCCGTATTATTAAATAAGAACTTCTGCACATAATTTCCTAAAATTCTTACTGTGGATATTTCAGTATCATGTTTCCTGGTGCAATTTTCAAAATAATGAAAGATAATTTGTGATTTACCAGAGTGCACTCATTTGATTTTGTTTGCTTGTAAAATGTTTACCCAAATTTTTAACGAAGGTTTCTATCACTTTCAGTAATGCACAGTCCTGTACGAAATTAATGAGCTACATGGAAGTTATTAAGGAAGAGATAGAAGGATGTACTGTAAAGTTGGATGAAATTTCAGAATTTGCAAATAGCCTTGTTAACAAGAATCATTATTTAGGAAATGAGGCTAGTGCTTAGACTATTTTTCATATTTGAAGGTAGATAAGGTACTCCAACAGTGTGCATAGAGGTTGGGTGGAAAGTCTGAAATGTGTACAGTTACTGAACCTTTATCAATATGCAAACATTATTTTGTAATCCGACTATAGATTATCAAGAAGCTGGACGTTTTGCAGCAAGTACACAAAGATTTGAGATTGGATTGGGAATTGCATTATCGCGAATTAGAACTAAGTACGATAGTTTTGTGTTTATGTAGTACAGTCTTATTATTATAGCGTAACCTTCCATGCTTGTAAAAATAACCTAGTACTTGGAGTTCTAATATTGGAGGAGGACATGAGTCAAGGAGATAAGTGGTTATGTGGAATAGAATCTAATTCCGTGATTTATGATGATGTTAAGGTATGGACATGTCATGTCTATGGCTATAGTATAGTATTTCAATGAGATAATTCTCCTGCTCATTAATTTCTATTGATGAACAGTGTTTAGACAGATTTGATGAAATCCTTAAGGGGTATTATGAGCTAACCATTGGCCTTTCTGCACAAGAAGCTCGCTTTAATAAAGTTGCAGAAATCACAAAGGTACCCATAAGTAACCCAGTAAAAGCACATGTAATGAATTGCGTTCAAAAACAATATTTCGAAATTTTATCCTGAAATATAGTACGAAAAGGAAGCTATTGATGAACAGGAACGTATTATGACCAAATACCGTAACGAACAATATCGAATTTATTTACAAGAAAGAGAAGATTTACAAAAGTTTTTGAAGCTTCATACGTACGAAAACAGGGACAAAGACATTTTTGCTCAGTTAGATTTAAATGAAGATAGGAACGCCTTAGAAGGTTTGTTGAATACTATAGCAGCTGCTAATGGTAGTCCTAACATTGATAGTACCACTCATTCAGTGTTATTCTAATGTGTTTTGTTCATCCGAATTACTGTAGAAGAGTTAGCGTTGAAAAGAGAAGAATTACTGAGGGCTAGACAAGATATATTGAATGAACTCGATACTGTAAGTGAAAGCCAAGAAATTCGGGAGGTAATGTTATGTAAACTTATGTTTGAGGATGTGAAACTTAGAATTTGATAGGGATTGTAGGTAGCTAATGTCATGCTTTGAATGGTCGCAGGATCATCAAGAAGCATCTATTTCTAATACTACCGATAAGGAACTTGCAAAGGAGCAGATTCCAGATGAACAATACTTGATTATCGAAATTCCAGGCGAAAGTGACGATATGTCTGATATTCCTGATAATCAGCATGGAAATGTTGCAGAAACCAAATCTGAGAAAGGGCTTAATAAGAAATTTGGTAGATCTAAAAGCATGCAGCCTCGATTTTCAAAGAAACCTCAGCTGGATACCGTTAAGGATACAGATACAGAAGATAGCGGCATAAGTGACAATGCCGCGGGTACTATTAAACAAACTAAAGATGAATTTTTTGGGCTGACAGGGCCAAGAGTTAACAAAAGGTTTGATTATGGAGTATCCTAGATTGCATGCTGAAATTACGCTGTATGTTGATATTATTTTCTTGTATCGTTTGTGGCGTCGTAGTGGCTCTGAGTTATCATCTGACGTGCCATCTGATTACGAAAAAAATAATGATGAGTCGATTGTACGTGGCATTATTAATCGTAAGCATGAAATTGCAAGTGGAGGGAAAAGGGCTGAGAAGAGGTGATGATATCTATTAAAGTTGACGCTAATGTTTGATGTTCGAAGCAAAAGCCGGAAAGTTATTTCTATGAACAAGCTTCAGTAAACTTTAATTTCCGTTACAGATCATGGACCAGGCTTTATGCGGCACTCCAGAATAGAGAAATATTATTTTATAAAGACAGAAAGCAGTATCACAAAGTAAGTCAATTCAGGTGCTATTGTAATGTGTTAATATCACGAAATGTTATATTCTAATTAATAAATCGAATCAGTTTTTGACACTACGGCTATGTTCATGATGCGGTAGTTATTATAGTATGCCTTAATGTACTTATCTATTTATGATTTAGATCGGGGGCATTGTTGTGGGTTATAGATATTATTCTTAAATTAACGTAATTTTATTGCATATTTAGGGAATACTCTTGTATCACGTATCGCCATTGTCGGTGACAGACTGTAGATGCAGCGTGGCTAGTGACTATAAAAAACGAAAGAATGTTTTCAGATTGAGGTTTGTGGATGTTACATATTAATTTTTGGCTACATTAATATAGTATTGGTGGTCTGTAGGTTGCGAGACGGAAGTCAGTACCTATTTCAAGCAACGAATAATGTAAGTTTTACGGCCTGCCTGTCAATAATATAACACTATGGATAACTTAAAAATTTAAGAACTCTTTATCATTTTCATTTATGCTTGCGTTATTAGGAGGATATGTGCCGTTGGATAGACAACATATTACTCACCTGCACTGATACTTCTGACGATAAGGGATGCGGGTCACAAGGCGATGGCACTAGTAGTCCAAGATCTACGAGCAATATTGAAGTAGTCTTACCAGGAAGTGATGAAGCAGCATCTACTAGTCCTCTTAATTCCGATGAGAAATCCCCGCTAAAGAGATTAAATTTCTTTAAAAAGAAGTAAGGATCTGCGAATAATCCGAACTACTTTATAAGAAATTCCATCATCTACATTATCGATAAACAGTAATGAGTGCCTTTCCTACTCAAATAGCGATTTAGGGTGATCTTGTTGATTAGATGATTAAATTATGCCTGTTTTCATCTTTTTCTTTGCAATCATGCATCTACATAATATTAAATTAATTTTACATTCCTGTTGATTTATATAAATCAATTTATTTTATACATTAATAAATAACAGTGCAAAGCGAAATCGATGCTTTTAGATTCTTACTAATTTATAAATTTATATTACCCATATAATACATTTATTCTAAGTGATTTAACCGTAAGTTTAATATTTAGTACTGTAATGATATTCAAAGTGATTACCTCGATGACAGTCTTGTTTATATTAATTGTGAGAATTAACACATTTTACATGTGGCGTATAGAAAACAGCCTAATTTAATCTGTTTGAAGCACTGGGCCTTGTTTTTATCCTAATCAATCTCGTGCAGACGAGAACGAACATCCAATAAAAAGTTGCACATTGATCATGCTATAGTCTGAGTATAATCGGAATCGAGTTAATACTATGTAATTAAGTAACCTAAGAATAATCAGAAAGATATGATCGCTAGAATCTACAGGAAGATAAATCTTGTTAGCAACCGAGATATTGTTTGTCACAATGTCACTAGATTGGATGATGATTCATCGTTGCAGAGTTAAATATTAAGGTATGGGTCCATTTGATTACCGTATTATAGGACCTTAATATTTGATCGATATAAGTTGGCCATCTACTTTGCACTTTGTAAAATACGCAAGTATTATATGAGCTTGTCTGATTCCTATATTTTATTAGCAATTCAGGCATAAAAGTATGGCAGACTTCAGCGAGGTATAGAGAAATATTTATGCTATTTTGTAAGTGAATCATGTATAATTATACCATAGATTGATAACTAGGCAAGTAATTTTCATTTTAGATCTTAATAATTTCATAGATACGAACGTACTGTACTGTGCTCTAAATATTAATGCTATTGTTGATTTACTGTATATTAATCATGCCGACACACTAACGTAATCAATGATATTTAGTTCCCTTTTATTATTATTGTGGATTGAGGACGCTATCTACCAAATTCCACCGAAATGTGTAGCTGTTAAACTGGTAGATAGCTAATAGTATTGCTTTAACACAATAGTAGATGATAATTCTTAGTTGCCTTTAGGGAGGGATTAACTTTGGAGTTCATTAATGTTCTTATTAGATTATTTTCGTGATTGGGTGTAGAATACTCTCATAGCCGCAACACTTTGGTCGATTAATTAATTACTCATTACTTATATAGCTTGCTGTATTAAGTGCGGTAATATCGTAATGTTAATTACATACTAATGTTTTAGTAAAACATCTTAGGAATGAGTAAAATAGAGCGTTCTTTCCTCTAAAATTAATGAATATTCTAGCAAAGCAAACCAATAATGGGCCATAATTGCTCATAAAAGTACGCGTAGATAACCTTCGCTTAAAGCTGCTATTACCAATATTTTTAGTAGAATAGTCAATAGATAGATATAATTGCTAAGATGGACAAGAATACTGACGAGCTTTCTTTTTTCTCGGAATTGGCATCATCAAGAATCGGACTATATTGCACGTCTTTATCAAACCCTATTAACTATAATTCATATTTGGTGTTTTACTGGCCATGCTTAAGGAAATACTGCAGCTAGTTTACATTAAAAAAGAATCATGTTATTACTCTTACGATTTTCAACTTGAAAAATAGTTTATCAGTCGTAAGAATGTGAGAAAATGTTACATACAGCGGTCTAAAAGGATAACAGTTCATTGCCAACTTAGAATGACCATAACACATATATTTCAATCTAGTTAGCTAGTACAAAGCCCGTATTTTATTAAACCATAGCAGCTCATAATAATGATTAAAACGATGAAAAGAGCGTAATAGAAATACTAGTAAGAAATGATGTTTAGTTCATGAGGTTATTACATTGAGTACAAGTATGCCTCTAATACACCATTAGAAAGAGAGTTTATCATTATTTGTACTTGAATTAATTAGTTGCTTTGTACTTAAAAATTAAAGTCCCTCAAGGCACGTATTCAAGTGATGATAACAATAGGGTCATATTGCGAGCCTTTAATCATTTGAATTACAATCTATACTAGCATTAAATCCTAATACACTTATTATGGTATGTTATTCTACCCCATAGCTAATATATCGGTACAATATGAAGTGATGCAATTTTAGTATGGTATGCAACAGCCAAACTGAAAAACAACTACAGTGTTGCCTTTGTTATTGGTTGTCAATTAAGACGATATTAAAAATACAATCCATTCTTATATGCATTTGCTCTATGATACTATCATATTCTTATATCACTAGTTTTGAGATGGATAGTTATGATTGGGCTTATATGTCATACAGTTTGACTTTTATTTACCAATTAATTGCAATGGCGTAATAGTTTCAACAGGTAACGAAAATGATACAACAGCATGATAATTGACTCACTCAGGCGATTATAGCCCATAGTTAGCCAAATCGAGTGCTTAATGATTTAGTACAACTGTAATTATGATTAAATAATATAGTGATCGAACATTTGCTTTATAATTACGCTAATGAGTGAGAATATGATATATAATTTTTCGAATTAATAATACACGGTAATTTGATTTGATAGACAATTTACCGTTGAACAATTTAATAATACAAGTCAAAGTGTTCATTTATTGAAACTGATCGTGATCTAATAGAGCAATGATTGATTATCATTTCGAATTATGTCCATATAGAAAATGTGAGGATCAACCTTGATTAAAATCAATAGCATAGAAGTGATGAAAAGGTAACAGCAAATGAAAGCCTGGATTTAGTTATAAAATAGGTGTATTGTACTGAATACTTATCCACTACACTGCATGGATGATGCTGTTGAGTTACATTTTAATCAAGAATACGATAACTATCATGATAAACCGTAATGTGGAGGTATCTGGATTTATTGTGACCGTAAACACCAATAGAGTCTAAAGATTAAGTCAGCAGGATTATTTTATCATTTAAATCCAATTCATGGCAAAAATATCGGGTTAGTTAACAGATAATTGTGTAAAAAGTTGGATTTGTTAACTCATATCTAAATTAAAAGAGATTCTAAGGTGAAGTTAATAAGCCAAGAGAGAAGGATACTAATGGCATGTATGACGATGACTTGCTGTATATCCGAATTGCATAGTAATGAGATGCTATTGTTGACTATGACTAGTTATACTAATAACTCAGACATTTTGGAATGAGCTTTACATGATAACATTGATTATGAAGTATGGATGAAATTAATATTTGCCGTAACCCATGTTCAAATGTCAACTAATGTTACCTGTGTTACAGTCGTATGTAAAATTTTCGAGTTTAACAGATTATCTACTTGGCTGTAGTAAAGGAGATGTACGAGTATAACAGTAACGTAAGTAGTTATTAGCTCAGGATTTGCCAAATTAATAAGATGACAGTAAAATTGTGTCTCTATAACTTGTATATTAATCGTTATATACTCGCGTGACTGATATTTGGAAAACGAAGAAATAAATAGCACAAAACCAAGACAGGTCCCATAAGGGCATATAGTGTAAAATATTGAGGAGCATATCAGAAGTTAGTAGTTCTGAGATTCTAGAATGATCAGCAAGATGATAATAATGATGTTAAACCCTTATCTTGAGTAACTCGTATTACCACAACTGATCCTCGGCAAAAGATAAAATGATAAACTAATTAACTGTTGTCTTGATCACCGGTTCAATACTAATTATTACATTATACATTAGTCCAAGTTAATAGACAATTGAATAGAGATGCTAATATCATAGTCTCTCATTTTGGAGTGTAAGGAAAGGCCTTGTATTGGCACGGTAATAGTTAATCATTAGCAAAATTATAGTACTTGCATGGTTATGAACATCGAGAGAGATTAAATGATGTTATTTGATACTTATTAAGAGTGACTGCAAGTTGCAATAAGTAGACTACATATTAGTGCTACATCATCAAAATATTAAATCATGACAGGCCACCTTGTTGATGATAGATGATAAAAATATATGGCTATTGAATAATTGCTATTAGCCTTCAACCTGTCATTCACTTCTTCAATGTTTGCTAACAGTATTTATACTCCATCAACTACTTCTTGATTAAGCATGCGTGATATTCATCAATCCATTGGTATGCTATAATGATTAATTAGGAGTAAATATATGTCTTGGTTTTTGATGACAAATGGGCGTGTCAGTTAGCTGAGAGAGAGGGAAAAGATAGAAAAAAAGGTAAAAATAATAATAAAAATGTCACCCAATCTAGACATATCCTATTCAATTCGTTGGTTATTGTTCTTCCTTACTACCTGATATACGAATACAGGAGGTCGTCAAGAGCAAATACATTCGATCCAAAGCTTATAGTACTATAGAGTCGACTCGATTTATATTGTTATAGTAATAAATAGGTTTGTCGCAAGCAAGTTAGGTCACAGATTCCTTCAATTTGTATATTAGCCTCGTTCTATGCAGACCTTCTAATTACGGAAGCTTCTGTTGAAATTGAGAGAAGAAAGAAGCCTGTACTACATCCAATTGAACATATTAAGAAATAGACTTTCGATAAACGGGTATGATATGAAATTATAATAAACAGAATGAAATTGATGCATTTTGAAAATAGATCTAGACGTGACTTTATTTTGCTAATGTTATATACGCCATCCAATATGAACACCATGCCACCCTGCCAAAAAAGTTTTTATTAATTGCAAGCTGTAGTTGTAAAAGTGTAACGCTATTAGACAAATTTATTCTGCTTTATTCAATACACTCTGCTATCCATGATTAGTTAATCGGTGAGAAATCAGTTATTATAATGGAGTTGATCTACAGTATGTAAAGTCATGGGAGGCAGATGGATTGGGTGAGATTTGAGCACGTTTCAAGAATTGTTTATCAATTCAGATCACGATTTCAAGGTCATTTTGATATAACGATATCGTGTTAACTTCCAGTTTTTTATATTTTTCTTAAAAATAGAAACTTGAAAAATAATATTTTCTTGATACTGTAGAACAATAGTTTAGAAATGATCCTCAATTTATCACCGCTTTTAGTCATTGGGCACGAAACCTTTCGTATTCTATTGCATCGATAATTCTAGAGTTGAACTAGTCTCTAGCTTTCGAATCCACTTCAAATAAGCCGACACGCATAAATAAGAGTAGATGGATGATACGACGTAGATGTATAAGAATCCTTCTCTTACTCTATTATTAGCGACATAGTTAAATTAATATCACGCAACTACTAATAAGAATGATTACGATACGTATAAGAAGTCACTAATTAATTAAGCTACCTAGCAAGTTTGTGTTTTCAGCCAATGACCGTCATACGAATTATTAAAATTGAAAGAACTATCGAGGAAGATAAACCACATAACTCATCCTCATGGCTACGATACATGTATACTACAGAATGCTATCGTAACAACACTTAATATCTTGATTAGTTACTTGATGTCTCTCAGATGTACATTCATTACTAGACCTGCATAGTAGGATTTTTAATTTCAGACGATACGGTCTATTTCTTTTCCATATAATTTCCTTGATCAATTCTGAAGTAAACTTGTATATCCGTCACCGACTTTTAAGTTCTGATTCAGTATTTCGGGCAACGGACTAAATACAGTAGAATGATCACGAATGTTTTTACTATTATCATTCTGTAATCTTCATCATATAATCATTCTAAATAGCTTTGTCGTATTCCTTCTACTACTCTAATGCAATATAATCTGACGAAGAGTAGATCAATTCACTCTAAATCACCTATTTTCTCTTGATTATGTAGTTATTGATTTTGTATAAAAAATATTCATTAATGCTCGCAGCTACTTTCTACTACATACAACCGATTAAAATAATCTAAATACGTATACATGTGGGCAAGTCGGATGTTACTGCAGTAATCTGGTAGTCATTTTCAATATTCCGATTTTTAAATGCAATCAGTTCATTTTTCTAAATGCTCAATCGATACGCAGTCAGGGATTGTAATCTTTTGTTTCCAGCCCAGTTCTAATAGCTGCTACTATTCTTTCTATCGCTTAGCTAAGCTCAACAATCTATTTAAATTATTCTCTGCATGACTTTACATTGTTTTGCACATGTTGAGAAATTCTCATCATTACACAACGAAAATCGCCTATGTTCTGAATATTATTTGTAAAAGGCTTTTTGCTGGCAGCAATCATGCTTTCATAAGATCATGAGGCATGCCAATGGGGGTGGAGACTTTTATAGTCTTTTGCGCTATGAATACGTGCCTTACTATTCGATTGGAAACACCCACCCAGCTACGGCTCGCTGAAAGGATGATGACCACCTTTCATATTAGTCAGCTCTAAACTATCCGGCTACTATTCGTTGAGGCAGTTATAAGTCATCCCGAGATTCAGATATCAGTATTTTTTTAAATTATATTTTCCTCCCTTTCAGCTGCTTTATGTAATATGTACTAATGTCGAGGATTCGTTAAAATCATGTTTAGCAGTTTTTCTTGTATATACTGTACCTGTGAGTTACAAAAGCATTTTATTTCTTGGCTTATTACCTGAGGTGATAACTACAGAGTGCACCGTAACGGACTTTCTAAAGGAAGTGGAAAATCTTACGATAACTTATATTCAAATATATCTAGAATATTTTTCCTTTGCATATTTCGTAACTCTACATAAGTTGCCATCCGTTTCTGATCACATTTAGCATTTTTATATATGCATCTCGCTTAATTTAATAGCGTATTATGCAATTCGTCGGCGATTATACACTGAAGATGAATTTATTATATTAAGTTTCAAATGCAGACAGAAAAATGTCAGGTTTTATTAAGCTTGTCTCCATACTCTTCTCGTAAGGATAATGAGAGTATAGAATTTTGTTCTTGCTTAATTTTGCAATGTAATAAACTATACGATACAATTGCTTCCAAGCGGGCGCGCTATATCAAAAATTTAAGTTAAACGAAGATTCCTTTTATCTTGCATTTTATTCATTTCTTTGTTGATACCATAATAAACTTCATGGTCATTGATATCAGCATGACAACATGATGGTTTAGGCTAACGTTTCTTCGATTTCGGGTAAAGTTGCATGTTGTCGTTCTGTCTTGAGGTTGCGGTTGTTAGTTCTTATTGATTCATATTTTGATGTAAATCAGCGGGAAGTAATGGATAGACACAGCAGGTAATCAATTAATCGGTTCAACGAACTTGATCAACAATTGATTTAAATCGAATTCAATTGCTTCCCCAGGGGTTCCTTTCTCATGTATACCAAATTCTGCTTTATTTATTCTTACCATAAAGTACAGCAATTAACAGTGTGATCCCCTTAAAGATAAAGCCCTTATTTCCTAGATTTTAGTATTCTTTTTGATAGACTGAATTTCATCAACCTTAAGCACAAACTCCAACTTGTCTTTCTAGAGTTCTAAATTAACTGAACGCTCTTTTTACAAACGTGCTGTACTTTGACTGTCGCGTACTTTGCAATGTAGATACTAAAATTCAAAGTCGATGTTATATTTACAAGGAGTATAGTACTTGGCTACAACTTGAACTGCAGTTAGAATATCCAGAATTCTAGACAGTCCGACGTTCTTTTTTATTAAAGTACCTAACTTGTAGTGCAAGGTTCAGTTTTAGATAATTTAGCACTTTCACTAAACTACAGTTAATGCAATCCAGATTTTAAGGTAACCAGTATTAGGAAGGTAATAGTGAAAATTTGCACGATATAAAAATTAAACACATAAAACAAATCATAATTGATTTCGCTGCTATACTGTTAAATAAAATGCATAATCATATAATATTCTACTCGACAGTGATAAAAGAGGCATCTGGAATAATTAAATTATCAGTTTCTCTCTATAATAAAGAACTCAATTTAGCGGGATAACCAATTGATATATCTTCCTTTTGGTCTTGAGTAGTCCTATTTCAATATGTCCAATTTACAAGACTCTGATGCCGCCAGAGCTGGCCATTTTGAGAAATCAAGAATTAAAGCTCTTGCCAGTAAGGAAATGTCTTTAAATTTATATAATTCTTAAGTTTACACTCAGCGTTATTACACTCAGCGTTAAGGTAAAATTGTTCGTGTAATTAGCCTTCGCTTCATGTTTAAGGTTTAAACTGGATATATAAAATAAATTAGGATGGAAAAATATATTATCAAGTCTATACGTATTTTAACCGTTGTAATTTCATAGGTGAGCGTGAGAAAATTCAAAAGAAAACCTTTACAAAATGGATGAATTCTTACTTAAACAGAGTCTCCATTAATGTTAACGATTTATATACCGATGTTACCGACGGAGTTGTATTAATACGTCTACTTGAAGTTCTCTCAGGCGAGAAAGTGGTCAGTATTTTATTTTTTCTGATTTATATAATGGTTAAATGAAAATTTTATTTGTTGAACATAGTTATAGTAAATGTTGCTCTTAGTATTGATCTCTTGATCAAACATCATTGATACAACCTATTCCGCCTTATTCTAGGCTAAACCAGCCAGAGGCAAAATGCGAATTCATCGAATTCAAAATGTTAACGCCGCCTTGAAGTTCTTAAAGAATAAACATGTAATGCATCATAGCTAAACAAAGAATAGATTAAATTTAATTTCTACCCTGAAATCAAATCAATAAAGTACATACGGATGTAGCAAGCTATGCTACGTTCAAGTTGCTAAAAGTCTTATACTTCTATCATTTTTTAATAGGTTAAATTGGAAAATATGGGTGCAGAAGACATCATTGACAGTAATAACCGATTAATTTTGGGTCTGATATGGACAATTATTTTGCGTTTTCAGGTAGTATAAGAAGCAATATCTACTGCAATCGTCTATAAAATAAAGCTAGCTGCCATGGTATGCTTTGCTAATGTATACTAACTACTAATAATTCTGCATAGATTCAAGACATTCAAATCGATGATGGAAGTGGTTCAGCAGAACATAAATCGGCTAAAGATGCTTTATTAATGTGGTGTAAATTAAAAACCGCCAGGTATATCACAATGCGAATAATACTATCAAAAATAGCATTTTTGCAGGCCAGTAGCATGAATATATCATCATTCTTACAGAATCAAAAATTTTTCTACAATTTAGTTACGATAACGTCAAAATGACAAACTTTACTTCCAGTTGGCGTGATGGTCTTGCTTTTAATGCCATTATTCATAAGCATAGGTAACAGTAGCTATCCACATGAGACGAGACCAGTGAAAAATAATGTGTAACATTGATATACCAATAATTCTTTCGCATATACAGTATAAGGCTACAGGAATCGAAGCGATATTAAATCAGTATTAACCTTATTAATTCTATTTTTAGACCCGATGCTATTAAATACGACAGCTTATCCGTTAACAGTCCTCTCCAGAATTTACGTAACGCCTTTAAAGTAGCCGAAGAAAGTTTTGGTATACCACAACTACTTGATGCAGAGGGTAAGAAAAATGATACTTCATTTTCGCTATATAATAAAAGCTATAACAATAGTAAAATATTCAGTTAAATATCAGCCATGAACAAACAATTCTTCCACTTCCCATCTATTAGATGTCAATGTTGAATATCCCGACGAAAAATCCATTATGACCTATGTTGCGTCATATTACCATACCTTTTCAAAAATGAAGGCAGAGGATGTTGTTGGACGTCGTATTGGAAAAGTAAGTAGTCGCAGATAACTAGACGTTAGACTATGCACTGAATATCTACCCCTTTAGAACCAAATTGAATATCTTTATAAACTTATACCTTATTCATGTTGCAGGTTATGGGAGAGGTCATTGAGAATGAAGCTTTAATGCAAGAGTACGATACCTTGGCTAGCAACTTGTTGGATTGGGTCCAAGATAAGATTGCTAAATTATCCGACAGAACATTTGATAATAAATTAAGTGGTGTCCAACAGCAACTTGTTCAATTTAATACTTATCGTACTACGGAGAAACCGCCCAAGTAAATCTTGGCAAATTGCCTTTTTATAATATTTTAAATTTTAAAAGAGTTTTAGCAGGTTTGCAAATTTATTTCGAATTATTACTTTATCCCTTTAGATTTCAAGAGAAAGCAGATCTTGAAGAAAAATTATTTACTATTCAAAGTAAATTAAGAGCAAACAATCAAAAAGCTTATACACCAAAAGAAGGCAAAACTATCTCTGAAATCAACAAGGTAGTGTAAATTAAATCATATTATCGTAACAATAAAGGGTACTCATAAAAATAAGATTTCGTCGATAACCTTGCGGTTACTTGCCAAAACACTTTGTTTATTCCGCTAGTTTGCAACATAAATTCTTCAGATCTTGACCTCCGTGGCATGATCTACATAATAATTGTTGATTACTCCAAGCTTTCATATTTCCGTAGTCCTGCAGATGTAATCTAGAACTTTAATTAACTCCAACAGTATAGAAATAATACATTTACGACTGTACCAGCTATATTTCCCTGCGACTTTTGAATAAACTGCTAAGTTGCCCATTTGCTCAGTAGATTAAGTACAACTGAGCTCCATAAGTTCGGAGTCCTTACTTCAGAGCTATTGGCGTTAAATCAATGACTATTTATTTAGGCTTGGGGGAAATTAGAAAAGGCTGAACATGAACGTGAATTAGCTTTACGACAGGAAATTTTGAGGTAAATTTAGTTAACCTTCTATAGTACGGTACTTCTGTCTTGTGCTGCATTCCGCCAAGCGAAGTACAGTAAAGCAACTTTTAAAGTAAATTTGATTATCTGACAGCACTATCTTGATAAAGTAAAAAATTTTCATTGCTCAGGTTGGAGAGACTCGAACAATTAGCTGCTCAATTTGATCGAAAGGTATTTTACTTAACGTTAACTTTAATTTTTATGGAAACTGCAACTGCTCATTTTTCTCCAACATGGAATGTGTTCAATTAACAGGCTCGGCTACGTACGCAATGGCTGACAGATAATCGCGGGATACTCGGCGGTGAAGATTTCGGTGATTCTTTGCCGGCTGTAGAAGCTGCCGTTAAAAAGCACGAAGCCATTGAAACAGATATTAATTCCTACCATGAACGTGTTGTAGCTGTAGAAAATGTAGCTAATGAACTGACAGAACAAAATTATCACGATTCTGATCGTATTCAAGCAAAGTAAGAACCTTAACAAGATAATGCTCCTACTTTATAAAACCATAACAAGGCAATATATTCGTAATATTAATTTTCAGGAAAGATAATGTCTTGGAATTGTGGAACGATCTGATTGAAATGATCAAGCAAAGACGTAATGATCTGGAGCAGCATTTACAATTGCAGAAGATTTTACAAGAATTAGAAGATATGATCGATTGGACTAAAGAAACGAAGGTAATAAGAAAATTTTCTGTGAAATTTAATTTCGTTAAATCGATCTTATATGAACTGTAAGATTAATTATGGGCATGTAGCCTAGTATTTAATGTAGAAAATTTTCTTACCTTGAACATTTAAACGTAATGTAATACAGTTTATGCATGTCCGGTTATCTCATGCCTCAACGTAGATCAGATCTGCCAAAAATGCTCGAGCTTAACCAGTATTAACGTAATATTCCATACCGGAATCAGTTCCTCGCGTGTACTGAGTAAATTTTCTGTAACTATGCTAATATCTTTTGCTAGGCGCTATTGCAATCAGAAGATTATGGTAAAGAATTGCAAGATGTCAACAATCTGCTACAAAACCATAGTATTCTGGAAAGCGATATCGTTGTACATGCGGATCGTATTAAGAATGTTATTGCTGAAGCCGAAGCCTTTGAGGCACCAGAAGATGAAAACGGTAAATCTATGAAATTTAGATGCAAAAGTTACTCGCATTCCGATATTGTATTTCTTACTTATTCTTTCATAAACATTCTATCTCATTCCACGTCAAATATGGTGAACTAATTGGAATGTACATTTTTCATTGTAACTAACTTCATCCTTGTATGAAAATGATATGTAGGCCAACCATTAAATGAAGATATCCATGATGGTGTTGATCAATTAGGACAAGCATTAAATGAGGTCCAACAATTGGCTGCCGATCGCAAATCTAAACTAGAAGACTCACAGCGATTATTGCAGTTCTATCAAGATTGTGAAGATGAGCAAAATTGGATGAAAGAAAAGGAGCAAACCTTAGAATTATCCAATTTGAAAAAAGTCCAAGATTACGTTTCATTAACTCTTCTTGATCATCGACAGAAAGCATTAGAAGCTGAAGTCAATGGCCATCAACCTGTCATTGAGAATATCCTAAAAGTAGGTCGCGGTATGATCGACAATGGCCACTATGCATCATCGACGATTAGCAATAATGTCGATAATTTACAAGAAAGATGGGAAAATGTTACCGATATTTTAGCAAAACGCCAACGACGTATCGATGAGATGTTAGTACTTCAGCAATTATTAGTAGAAGCTGACAACATTGAAGCTTGGATTACATTACATGTTAGCTTGATGTCGATCGATAATTACGGTGTCGATCAAGGTAGTGTTGAATCATTGATGAAAACTCATTTAGATTTAAGTAATGAAATTCGCGCCTACCGCGAGCAAATTGATGGCTTAGAAAGTACATCGGAGCAATTAGCACCGCAAGATCGTGCCTCTGATGATGTGGTAGAAAGAAAATTTCGTATTTCTAAAAATTACGACCTACTCCTTCAATTACTAAGTAAACGAGAAGAACGTCTAAAAGAAATGCAGTTATTTTATAAATATCAAGATGAAAATGAAATTTTACTGTCGTGGGTTGGTGATCGCGTAGCTATATTGGAATCCATCGAAGCACCAAATGATATGTCGGAAGCAGATTTATTATCACGGCAATTTGAAGGTATCAACAAAGAAGTCAATACTAATCAAGAACGCTATCAAAAAGTTGGAAGCGATGGCCAAGAATTGATCGACAATCAAAATAGTAATAGCGATGAAATACGAGCCTCAATTGAGCGTTTAAATGGTAAATGGAAGCAATTGGTCGTTCTTATTGCAGTCAAGAAAGAGATTATCGATAATAAGAAACGTCTGCTGGATTTCTTTTACGAAATTGATGAAACCAAAAATTGGGTGATACAAAAGGGAAGCGGTTTAGACAACGAACTTTCATCCACTGCTGATCCTAATGTTATTATGCAATTACAGCGTCAAATCAATGCTGTCGAGCGGGATACACCTGCTGTTGAGGAGCGATTACATGCTATCGAAGCCAAAAAAGCTCAACTAATAGAGGAACAGGAAGATTACGAGACTATGCTAAATGATCGTGTGTCTGAATTATATCAAAATTGGAACAACGTCTTGGATAAAGCCAATAAACAGCGCAACACCTTGGGCGAGTGTAGCGATTACCAAAAGTTACTATTTGATATGGACGACTTGCACGATTGGATCAAAACGCAACAAATTTATGCTAGTTCAGACGATATCGCTAATACATTATCGGGTGCGGAGAAATTAGCTAAGGAACATGAAGAATTAACCTATGATGTCCAAAGTCGTCAAATGATTTATAACAATATTCTCTCAGTGGCACCGCAATATTACACTGATGACACAACTGGACGTCGCCTTCGTCAACGAGTTGATGAAATTGTCCAAGAATGGGAAGAATTATTACAAGCCTGCGAAAAGCGTAAACTCTTACTGAAACAAAATTACGAGCACATGCTATTTCAGCGTGATGTTAAGCAATTGGAAGGATCATTAAGTAAGCAAGATATGTTTCTGACCAAAGCTGTTGCTGAAATGGGCATTGGTCGTGATCATGCCAAAGCCAATAAATTAAAGAAGTTCGTCAAGACGATTATCGATAAAGAGCGCCAAAAGAAGTTATCCTTGTTTAATATAATTGAATTGGTCAAACGGCATAAAGAATACAAGAAAAATTTAGAATTATGCAGCGATAAAGTTGCACACGTTAAACGATTTGCTCGCCGTATGTCGGAGAATGATCACTATGCTTCGGACAAATTGGTTGCTAAATCTTTGGCAATTGAAGAGCGTTTAAACGACAATTACGGTAAATTCAATGATGCTGAAGTCAAATTACAACAAGCTGTTCAATTGCAACAATTCCATCAGCAATGTAATGAATTGAACGACTGGATTAGTGAAAAGCAGCAATTAGCCAACGATGAAGCCTATCGTGATCCAACTAATTTAACTGGCAAATTGCAGAAACATCAAACCTTTGAAGCTGAATTAGTCGCCACTAAAGATCAATTAGATAGTATTAAAGACGTTGGCCAAACGATCATTGATAATCATAGCGAGGCAGAAAGTGAAGTCGACGATCGCATTGCTGAATTGCAAAATGAATGGTTGAAATTATGCCAAGCATCAGCTAATAAAGGCCGCATGTTAAACGAAGTCTATAACCAAGTCCAATTTAGTCGTTCTGTAGCCGATCTCGAAGTATGGTTGGACCATATCCAATCAATATTAACGGTTGAAGATACTGGCAAGGACCTTATTACCTGCACTAATTTAATCAACCAGCAAATGGTAAGTTCATAGACCGAATAAATGATAGCTTTCGTCCACAGACCGCATAAGTTCATTCTACTGTAGGATCATGGTTAGAAAGATAATTAATTGGTAGTTGCTTTTTTGAGCAATATCAATGGAATTAAATTGAAAATAGTGTACTGCTGTACTGGATTATCGAGTGCAATATTGCCGTATGATCTATTTATTGCAATCAAATAAGTGATTCATTACATGCAAGTACGATTGATCCAGTCACTAGTTGATACTTTCACGACAAAGTCGAATTTCCTTTCGTACTCTTCCAGAAGGAAACATTGTACCAACGTAGTCGTAGGATTCATAGCATCATTTCTTATGCTATTTCTACAAGCACAGTACTAGTGCACATCAAGTTAAAGGAAGACTCCATTCGATTCTTGTTGATCCATGTTATTCAATTAGAAAGGACGTTAATCTACTCTACCACTTGTACTTAAGAGGGTTTGGCCAGAAAACCCATCATGACAGTACAGTAAAATGAATTCGTAAAATTGATTAAACGATATCTCAATTTATCCTTATCAACTATCCCAAGGGCCCTTCCGAAAATATATACGGTATAATTAAGTTAATGAATTAATCTATAATGTACTACAGTACGGTGATGATGCAGGTTCAACTTGATATCTTTAAATTATTATTATTACTGTAATCAGAGATGAAAATGGGGCCACACACCTTCCAGATCTTATTAGCACAACTCAATATTTAGTAGTCTATGACTTGAACCATTAGTTTTGACGCTAATCGATATTCGGTAGTATCTACAAACGCCAAATATTGAGTTCTTGCTTTTTATCTTCCCAATGCATTGACAGATAAAGTTGTTGACTCTATTTTTGAACAAAATAAATACAGTACAAGCACTAGGAAACAGTTTCAATCTTTTACGATAGAATTGGCTTATTGCCGTCCAGTTTTCAAGAAGATTAAGGCAATTTCTGCGTCGATTATGCTTGCATGGCAGTGTCTATTTCCAAATAAAAATCGTCAATCCAAGGTGCTTTGACATTTAATTCCCATATGTTACAAACATTTTCGCCCATTATTAGCTAGCTTATTCTTACTTGGATAGTTTTGACGTTGACCATCGTATCTCTGGAATTTTCATTGTTGTAGTAAGGAATTCTGTTTGTATACTTCAAGGTATTTTCATTAACTTAATAGTCAGTATTTTTTAACTTTTCTAGTTTATTACTTCAATCTTCTTGTTCATCAAGGGTTTATGATCAAAGAATCTACGAACTTAGACAATAGTCGTTCATACTCTTCTCTTTCAGCTCTACCGTTGATTTATAAAATGCTTACTGTTTTGCACTTGCATCGTGGCAAAGGGATTAAATTTAATACTCTTCAACCGTATTCCATCTCTTAGTCTAGAGTATTCTTCAATTTTGTGATAGGCTTAGTTTATTTCCTAGAATTTCGCCAACCGTTAGTTGAGGTACATTGCCACTATGATCATATAGTACGTACAATATGCAATCACATTGTTGATCAAATGGTGCTCATTCAAGTGATCTAATTTTGCCAATATAGGTTATAGGTTTTTATTAATAATAGGCAATTGATTGGATTCTGCCCTTATTGTTCATTTCTTTAACGCTGATTGCTTAAAGATGCAGTTAATTGAACTCATTTCAAGAATATAAATGAACTAGCATAAAAATTTTCAAATGAAATAAGTGGATCATCTGCTTACGAGTATTGTACTTATACTATTTCGCCAAATAGACTCATCCCGTTACTTTACATCTTCTTCGTTTAGGGAATTGAAAATGATATTGCTGCTCGTAAAGATCGTATCGATCAGCTAGAGAAACAAGTACAGAAATTTCAAGAGGCTGACCATTACGATGCGGAAAATATGCATGAAAAATATAATAACGTGAAGCAAAGGTATCGTTACTAATATTAAACGTGTTCTATATCTGTAAGCTAGTCATGCAAAGAAATGCAGTCTTAGGATGACACTTTTAGTAGTTTAACTTAGGTAGATATACAGTTGGAACTAAAATTTATATCGACGTTTCCCTATACTGTACGCTAGGTACAATGACCTCGATGAACCTTGTAAAGAAAAACGTAAAAAGTTAGAAGCTGCGCGAAGATTTTTTCAATTCTTCCGCGATGTTGATGACGAAACTGTAAGTATAACAGTAACAACGATAACTGTGTCTAAGTACAGCAGTTAATCTAAGTCGCATTAGTATCTAAATCAATAAATTAGATGTCTTAATTGGCGTATTTCTCCTCTTTATGTTATGACTCAACTGAAACATATCATTTCTTATTATGCCTGTATCGTATTTATAGCGCTGGTTAGAAGAAAAAATACTTCAAGCAAAGTCCGAGGAAGTGGGTACTAGTTTGTCGGAAGTCCATAATTACAAAGTTTCACACCAGGTCAGCAAGGCATAACTTGTAAAATGAAATGGCATTGCATTCTGTTAAATGTTTATAATATTGTAGTATTGTGATGATCATTTACTTGTCTGTGATATTATACAATGCTGCTCGGTTAATAGAAAAATAAGTCAACGTTGAATAACTACTTGATCGGGATAAGAGAACTCTGTTATTATGCTGTATTTTCACGAGTTAATCAATGTTGTGCGTTGTGAAATGCATGTTTTAGGTATCGATGGAAATGGCTCGCTTTAAATTTAATTTTTGTTTGTTTGCAGAATTTATGCAATGAAATCACAAGCCATGAACAAATCTTAAACAGTATTTACCAATCCGGTGAAGCTTTAATTGCTGAGGGCCACCCAAGTGCTGACGATATTCAGAATAGTATTGCATTAATGAAAGATAAATTCGTTCTATTAGAACAGTATTGCAAGGAACGAGAAAGTCTTTTAGACAAATACTATAAAGCCCATCAGGTATATACTGTCATTGATAAAGACTTTGCAGTAATGTTCTTTGATTAAATATTCTTATAACATATTGTAATCTTTACTGCATTCAGCACTTGTTCGAGATCGACGAAGCTGAGTCTTGGATGATTGATAAAGTTGCCGTTTTAACTTCTGATGATAGACCAAAGGTAACAACAATTGTATTTTACAGAATATTACATATGAATAGGATTGACAATGTATATTGTGGTTGGATTGATACATTAATATTAGGATGAAGATAGCGCACTAACTATGATGAAGAACCATAATAACTTGCAGTCATCAATTAAAGATTATCGCAATCATTTAGAAGAGCTACGTAATGGCGCCGATGATTTAGTGCAGGAAGAACTGTTTATAAGGTAAAAGGCTACTCTCTAGAATATCTTTCTAAATTTGGTTGTAAGTGGATCTTTTAAATGTTTAAGTTCCTTAATTTTTCCAAACTATTAGGGTTGCAATTGTAAATTGCGCATTCTTAAAATATTCGTAATGAAAGAAAGGCAACTAAAGATCTTGTTTCTTTATTTGATGTAGTGAGGATATCCGAGATGCAATGGAAGATGCTGACAATCGATTTACGCAATTAAAAATTTTAGCTGATGAAAGACGTGACCGCCTCAATGAAATAATTAAACTGTATCAGTTTAATAGAGAAGTAATGCAGCGATATTAATGATGAATAAGATACTGTAATTGAGTAATTAAAAATCTGTGCACATAATTGTAATTTAATAACCAAGGTTGATGATCTGGAGCTTTGGCTCGGTGATTGTGAGACAATTGCAAAATCTAAGGAATGCGGCGCTGATTATGAACACTTGGAGGTATTAAAACACGAACCGTATACATGCATGCCCCTGCTTTCTATAGGATAAATTAGTTTTAATACTTAATTATGACAGATGTGGCCTTTGCTTATGAGGCCACAATCATTGCAGTAGTTAAGTTTACACTTTCTTGTTACATTTAACCATTTCTGGAAATCCATAACTACTGTATATCTTAAATAACGGAATATATAATTACCCGTTTCTATACTTTGCAATTTATATCATCCTAAAGAATTGTGTGGAAATTGTTCTAAAGTAAGATTCAGTAGCTGATTTTTTTTCTCTACTCTAAGCGGTAAATAACTATCTATATACAATACTTAGTTTACGATGCGTTAGGTATGTTAGAGTTTCAAAAAAGATAAGGAATTGAGTATGCGCGTATTTCTAGTTAGTGCAAATTTGGCTAGTGAATAACTGTTACTTATCGTATTGGATCATTAACACTTGCAGTAATACGTGATATATTTCATACTTGACTAAGATTATTCAAGACGCTTTCGAAAAATGGGTCGATAACACCAAAACAACAGGTACTGATCGAATCCGGCAAGTTAATACTATGGCCGATCAGTTGATTAGTACTGGCCATAGCGAATCAGCAACTATCTCAGAATGGAAGAATGGCATCAATGAGTTATGGGAAGTACTAATGAAGTTGATCAATGGTCGATTTGAAGTAAGTTTAAAGATTCTGTCTTTACAGTACTTATACATATATGTTCATAGAGGCACTGTTTGTTCAATGCAAGTACGATTAATCGGGATATCGTCTCGGCTTAATTGCAGCTGTTAGAGGGAACACGCGAATTATACAAATATTATTATGACCTGAACGAGCTACAGCAACACATTTTGGTAATATTTTCTTTTTACTAATTATTCTGCATTCATAGCAATAAAAGAATTGGCTAGCTATTGTGATTACCGTTACAACTGATTTACTAAATTCATAACCTTCACAATGCAATATTTTATTCAGGATTGCAATCAGAGGTGTTATGTAAATACTATGCACCTAACGTAACTAATAACTGGATATAATTTTACTTTAAGCATAAGGATCAAATTTTGCCTAGCGATCTTGGTAGAGACTATAATTCCACATCTGCATTCTACCGGAAGCACGACAGCTTCCAACATGATTTAGTGGGCTTAGAAGTCAAGGTAAATACAAGATTTTAGTAGTATCAGTGCAATATATAGTTGATATATTTTTAACACATTGGGTAATTTAGATTAATGGCTTACGCCAACAATCGAAAAATCTTGCTGCTGAACATCAAAGCAATGGAGAGGAGGAAAAGATTAAAAAATGCATGGATGATGTTAAAGCTTGTTGGAAAGCAATTAATGATAAATCGAATTGGAGGCGATCACAACTCCTGCAAACTCTAGATTTATTCAAGTTAATTGTCATAATTGATGACTTGATCATGTGGATAACAGATGTATATGATGAAATTCATAATTTAGAGGAGCCCGAGTAAGTTTCGTGTTCCATTAAGTTAGCATGTAATCGTGATGTACTCAAATAGGAAGAAAGTTTTATGACTTTCAGTATTGTGATTGAGATATTTTCTTTGCTAAAAATATATTCATCTTCAGAGATGTGCCTTCTGGTGAGAGGGTGATTGCAAGTTTAAAGAACATTAAAGAGGAAATTGAAAGCTATGAAGAAAGATTTAATACAGCCAAAGAAAAAGGGGATACCTTAATTGAACGTGATAATTACGCCAAGAAAGAAGTAATATATAAAACTTGGATTATCTTTCTTACACATTTGTGTGTGTCATAAATAGCTTTCCTAAAGTGATAATACTGTCTAGATTACGGTGAGAATGGAAGCCTTATTGAATGTCTATGCTGATCTCAAAGTCGAATGGGAAATGTATTACCGAGAGTATGACATTTGTAAGCCATTCTATAGTTACCATTATTAATACCCCTGAATGCTTTATCGCAACTGCGATATATAACTTGAGCAGAAATTGGTAGTGAATTGGATTAATAACATTTCATTGTGTAAATACTATTAAAACAGATTTGAAGGCTTTTAAATTTGAAGAAGATATGAACAAAGGAGATTCTTGGCTCACTAATTGCGAAGCTAGTCCAATCGAGATGGATTTAAATGTAAATTAAACATTTTCTGAATTATGTGAAGTGCATGAAACTTCTTAAACTCCTAATTGAGTACTTTCTCACAATTGATTTGCTGCGTACAAGAATTGATATGCTTCCACAGTGTATAGGATGCTGGCTAGTGTACGTGTCATAATCTTGTTCTCATTTTCCCTTATTCATCGTAGAACCTGTCAAATCTTGAAGACATCATAAAGAAGCAAAGTGAGCTGCAAATAGCTTTAGCTGCCCAACGAGATCGTTTTAAGAAAATGATGGAATTAACAGATGTGAGAACCTAGCAGTGTTAACACTTTACATAATGTCATCAAATATTATTGCAGATAGGTCTTTATTGCGAACATAAATACAATATTAAAAATTAATATCGACTCTTACTAATACCCAACTGTGCTTTCAATGCAATAATATGCATTGGCGTGACTAGCTTCGGTTTTATTGAATTCCTTATTATTTTTAATTAAAATCCTGTGCTTACGTATCAATATAAAAAATGAAATTAGACTTATTTTTTTATCAATGTTTATTATATCGTTTAATTGAAATAAATGCATTTTTATTCCCAACTGCTGGCATTAAAACAAATCATTGTCCATCAAAAGTTTGAAAGAAGAGAAATGGATGAAGTAGGAAAAGAAATGGAAAAGCGTGAAGAAGTAACCAGAAAACTACATATTCAGCAATTTCGGGAATATTTGCAAGATAAAGAAGATATGATGTGGTTCTTGCAAAATCATACTTATGAAAATAGAAATACCGATATGTTTAAAGAGCGCGAAGAACAACGAAGAAAGGAAAGGGAAGCCTCTCGCGGTTAGTAGTCATTAAAATGATGTTGTATGCAACATGTTTGTGGTCTTTAAATCTGTGCTCAATAATACTGCTGATGTTATTACATTCTATAGCTGAGACCGAAAAAGAATTGGAAGGAATGAGAGAAAAAGCTGGTGAACTTTTATCAAATCTGGAACAATCCAGAGACAGATTAGCCAGTTTTTCAGTTAGTAAATCACTAATTCCATTATGTAGTTTATTTTTGTCCCGCATTGATCGCTACTAATTATAGTCACAGCTTGTAAATATTGTTTCTTGAAATACTATTTGGGTTTAGAGCCGAGAAGACGTAAAAAGTCTAACTAAAGAAACTGAATTAGAAGTCGAAAATGAAGAAGGAGGCCAACAAGTTACCGACCAACAAGCTAAGAATGATGAAACTACTAATAATCACCTTAACGCCTTTGGCAGCGATCCGTTTGGAGATAGCACTGCATCCGATGATACATATGAAAATCCGATGTTTGAGAATGATTTTATGCAAAATGACCCTTTCCAGTCTGAACAGATCCCTAGCGAAGTAAATGATGAAAAGATCAACCACGTTGCTGAGGAAAGTAATGAAGAAGTGTTTGAGAATGACGATGATGAAACTGCCTTGACCAATGAAGAAACTGCCTTGACCAATGAAGAAGAAACTGCCTTGACCAATGAAGAAGCTGAAGTTAACATGAATGGGGATGCTCATGAAGAAGATAATACAGAGACAGCTGTTGAGAAAGACCTAGAGGATGAAGATGTGCAAGAAGCTTCTACGGATGATAAAGTAACTGATGATGATGCTGATGAATCGCCACCTAGGGCTAAGTTGGCATCAGTAGAAGATGAAGAGTAAGTATTGGCCATAATTATCTACATAATCGACAACTTTGCAATATTGTTATGATTGGAATCTACGTTGTCATTGACTATTCATTACGAAACTAGTAGCTAGGTTTCCCCACACTCTGGATCCTGCTGTTCATTATATTTATCACTATCTTACTCCTTAATTCCTTATTCTAGTGATGAAGACGTGGAACCACTTCCAGAAGCGGAAGATGAACCCAAAGAAGAAGAACCCATCATGATGGGTACGCTACATCGCAAACATGAGACTGAGGCTGGTGGTAAAAAGGCTGATAAAAGGTTCAGTTGCAGAATATATTTATTAAGCAATTATCATGTTTTTGAGCGTGTAACTCATTTATTGTCGTTGTACTAGATCGTGGGACAAATACTTTGTTGTTTTAAATGGTACCAATCTCATATTCTATAAAGATCGCAAACAATTTCAAAATGTAAGAATCCTCGTTTCAATCGTGATTCCTATGTTTGTTTTTTACGTGACGTTATTCGATAAATATCTGAGTTATTAATTATTTGTCCATTACAGAAATCGAATGCTCCAGAAATTTCCATTACTGGTTGCCAGTGTGGTATGGCAATTGATTACAAGAAGAAAAAGAACGTGTTTAGATTCAAGTATGTCGAAATCAATATTAAATAATATCCTTACCTAAAACTAATAAACATAGTGAATTTAAGCTTCTAGTAAAGATTAACTATGGCAAAATGATGACTTATGTTGATTTATCTTGCAAATAATAGAGCCCCTGATGGCAATGGATACTTATTGCAAGCTGGTAGTAATGTGAGTAATAAGAAGAGGCATATTTTTTATGATAGTTAAGGATCAATCTAATTTTACTATCAGACTTTGAGAGGTAATTTCCTAACTAAGTCTTGACATTCATTGCTTCATTTAATCTATAGGATGAAATGAATAAATGGCTGGATTATATTAAGGGTGATACGCCATCTGGTGGCTATGGTGATGAAGACCGAGAAGTTACTGGCAGTCCACGTAAGTCTCCAAGCAATGAATCTATAAATGAAAAACCAAGTCGTCGTGAGGCTCCTTCACCCCCTGGACAAACTGCTGCACCAACGGCTGCACCAGCAGCAACATCAGCCGCAGCAGCTAAGGATAAGGATAAGAAAGATAAGAAGAAAAGAGGTCTTTTCGGAAAAAAGCGTTAATACTATCGCATTTGATTGCAAATGTCATTATCTTAACGTCATTGACTTACTCATATATGGTAATATTACGTGCAATTTATCATTGACTTAAGTTGCTTATTACCTTGGTAGCATTTATCAGATATATAACTGTGCTTTTGTAATTAATTTAAGTTAGCGCTCAATGTTAGAACTTTTACTATACCAACGTTGTACGGTAATGATCAAATGATGATAGATTATGTACCCCAGCAAACTTATGCAATTTTTTTCCTTTCGATTCTTAGCAGCAATCTGCTCTTTTAAATTGTTGCGAAAATACTTAAAATGTTTTACTTCTTTATTCATGAGTAGTATCAATGTAAATTGATGACATAGCCCGACAATCACTAGACAGTATGGTAAACTAGACGCGATCATTAATTTAGGATATGACAACTCAATAAATTTTTGAGTATTTCTTATTAAATAGAAAGTCTCATTGACACTCAATGCGTGAAGTAAATCGATAAATGCAAGTAATAAAAGAAAAGATACTACAAAAAAAAAATTGGTCACAGATATTACGGCTCACGCTTTCCTAAGTTGTATATTTTTCGTGTACACTCAGTCATTAGGACAGTAATCTTGATGGAAAACTTGATAAATTTAATTTAGCTACGTAACGCAATTATGCCGAAATTTAAGTGTGCGGTAAAAAATTAATCTCAAGAGCAACAAATTTGCAGTTCAGTATGGAGGAGCTACAATTTTCCAATTTTTTCTAATATAACGTCATATCACTTGCAACATAGTAAATCGCTGCAGCATCTTCAGAAATAGGGTAGGAATAGTAACTATGACGCAATCCAAATAACGTAAACGTGCATGATTATTCGAAACGCCTAAAAGAATATGTTTACGATAGTATGATACAGTATTTATAGTGTTTCAGTATTGGAAAATCATAGGGTATATGCCTGTGATACCTCTTCCAGTCTTCAACATATGACTGGTACGAAAATAAAAATAGAATTGTTTAAAGTATGGCTTTCATTACTTGCGTAATTTTACGATTACGACGCATAGATGTAATACATTGATTATTTGAAAATACAGTATAGGACTATCCTTTCGTACTGAGTGGCTATGAATTTATTATACAACCAAGTTTAAATATTAAAAGTTTCATGCTTTTGCTATGAGAAATTTCACAATCTCTAAAGTTGAAAGCAGTCTTTCATGCCGAGGTAGCTTGCGGATCTTCTCGTTTCATTTGGTCTAGGTAATCGCCTAACGATTTTAACTGTTCATGCAGATCATTTAGGCATTGTTAAAGAAAATATGGTACACTACAATGATCTTTAAAAAATTAATATATAGCAGATTACAACATCATTCGGGTAAAACATCGAAGGATATCAGCTAGATCGTAATCCTCTTCTACTACGGCTGATTCCAATTGACTTTCCAATTTTTTCATTTTATATTTAATTTCTTCTGGATTGCAAGATTCAGCTAAATCAATTTTTAATGCGCTTTCGCCAACGTTTAATTTAGGAACAAGACTGTCCAATTCATTTTTAATCATCTATTAATCGAATATAGTAATGATTAATGTAGTGCTGTAATTATATTAACATGTTGTCACGAACGCCTCCATACTCACCATATATACAGTTAACTCTTGTTGAATTACGGTTCTAAGAAGATCTTCTGAAGATAATCTAAATATACAACAAATTTTACACAAAGAATGCTAATATTCTATTTCGTTACAAGTACTGTACTATTATACTATTACAGCTTAAATAGATAATATTAAATTTCGAGACTTACATTTCTAACTGGGACTTTAATTTTTTGATTGAATCAACGATTATGACTAAAAGACTGCTACCTATAGGGAGCACATACAAAAAATAATAAGCGTTAGTCAATTAAAAGATATGAACAAAGCAAGTGAAACTATTCTGTAGAGTCAATCGCCTCACATTCTTTCATTTCGATGCTGTTTACTTCTTTTTGGCGATTACTTAATAGAGTTTGTGCTTGCACTAAATCGGCCGAATGGCTTTCTAGATCTACTTCGACAGCCTGAAGTTGCAACTTGTAGTTTTGATGTTCTTCATTTAACGCTTTTAGTTCATTGGCTAACTTCTTAGCTTCTCTAAAATTTCTCCCTGCATCATTTAAACCGCATTATACCAATTACATACATGGTTACATTACCAGAGTAAGCGATTGCTATTTTTTGCATGTTGCATTGTTCAATGTATCGCATTAACTTACTATCAGCTGCAAGTTTCTTAGCTGTTTGTAACTCAGAGCATTTATCCTGTATTTCTGCTGATCGTTTTTTCAGCGTGGCAATCATTGCTTCTTTATTGGTAACCTATTGAATTATTATTAGCGTTATTAAATTGTAAACAAAAAATACATACCTTTACACAATTCACAATCATCAAAAGTCATACCTCAGTGGTTAGTTTCGCGACGTTATTTGTTAGTTCTTGCAACTCCTTCCTAAAACTGATTTAAGGAATGACTTTAACCAAAAAAGGCAAGCAAGAGCAAAGCAGCAGCTTTTTGGAGAAAGACTTATTTAAAGTTACAAGTGGTTACCTTAGCGTTTGCGCAACCTGAGATGTATTGCATGGCCACTTCTTTCTAAACGTCTTAAATTTCTCTAATTCTAGATTTTTCTTGTCAAGATCAGTTTTACTCTCACTGATAAGAGCGGATATACAACCAAATGCTGAATCAGCTCTATAGAATAAAGTGGATTAAATCCGAAAGTCCGACTTATATACATTATTTTATGGTGGAAATAATGTTTCATCATCATTCAATACCTGAATCCGGCTTGTCCTAAACCCTCCATTTTTGTATCGTATTCACGCTGATATAATTGCAACTTTTTCTAGGTCATTAATTTGAATAACGGCTTTGTTAAAAGATGCTATAAATAGGCGCAAAGGTATTTCATAACGCTTATTAAGTTATATCTATTAAAGTCCATAACACCTCTTCATCTTCTAACTGGTCTTCTCGACATTTGATCTTTAGTTTTTCTTCGCTTAGATCTGACCACTCGAGTGATAATTCTTTTTTAACAATATCGATATTTTTCTGTTCTTTCTCAATTGCTAGGACATGTTCTACTTCCTTTAAATGTGCTTCCTCTAATAACTTTTCCAAATTAACTATTTCTTTTCTTATATCTGATAATTCCAAAGTTAGTACGTTTATTCTACTAGAGTACACTTGAGTTTTATTTTCTACTTCTGCCTGTAATATAAAGTATTTCACATCAGTTATTGATTACAGAATGGAATTATCCTATTTTACGATATTAGAATGAATGCATTCCAGAAGTGACCAATCGGTAAAAATTACCTTTAATAAATTTTCTTCATTTTCTATATGTTGCCTATCTAATACAACTCTACTTCGTAAACGCTTTAATCTATCCTCTTTAGCTTCTATAAAATGTTTTATTTGGTGTAATTCATCATTTAACTGTTTTTGTCGCTCCTCAATAAATACTTTTTCTTCTGTTTCGATATCAACCAGTTCTTCAACCGCTATTTTGTACGCATTGATTTCTTCTTCATACGCATCAATGTATTTATTTAATATCGACGTCGTCTGTTGATTATCTTGATGGTGGCGATGAGTTACAGCTGTAATACTTAATTGATCTCTTAGATCATCTATCTTATTATTCATTTCTTCAGCCATTTCATAGTCTTCTCTAGCTGCAGCTTTATCTTGTTCATCAAATAATTTCGATAGTTCATGACGTAAATCTAGTCTTTGCTGATAATATTCCGTCGTCGATTTAACATACGTTTCATACTCGATTTTGACCTTGTTTAGTTGGAATCTAGGATAAACCAATGTTAGTTTGCATAGTCAATAATTGATAAGATAAGTCTTATCCATTCACCATGAATCATGGCTGATTTGACGTAATTGCAAGTATTGTACAGTACAGCGTATTATTAGTTGAAAATATTTCCTTAGGTATATTTTAAAGATAACTTACTCATTTTGCTTCACTTTAGAATCCAATACTTTTTTAATGTTGATAACTTTTTTACTAATGAATTCCTCTGCAACAGTCATGATTACACACACCAAGGAATCAAAAAAAAGGTTTATCAAGTGCAATTCATTGACAATTATATATTTACAAAATTGAAAATGTACTATTTGTAGACTATAGGAGTCAAAATCTCAATGAAGGATTTCTTAATTTCGTATATCTCCATGGTGTATAATTTTTTCATTTTGTTTAATAGTGGATCATAAAGAAATATCAATCTACTCTGTGTACTACACTTTAATATTGTAACCTATGCTAATTTAATGTAGAAAATGGCTGCTATCAGTATACGAGTATACCTTTATTAGAATCATCGTCCTTTGTATCTTGGTCGTGATCATTATGAGAGGTTGAACTTTGTTTGGTTGTCTCTAGTAAAATTTCAATATCCCCATCATCCGCTAAATGGGTTGTATCATTGTCTTGAATACGCAGCTTTCCAGCCAAGCTTCTATCATCCGAGTAGCTTGACTCGCTAATCGATTGCACACCATAATCATTATGACTTTCTTTTATCGTCATGGTTTGTATATCCGATTGTATTGATGTATCATTACTACTGCAATCTTCATTTGCAATGGCTTGACTACTGCTGCTACTTGATTGAGCTATTTCTTCCTCAGAGAGTTGAATAACATTCATAGTAGCATTGCCTGGATTTTTCTGCGACGTTAATTCAATTTGGCTATCATTATCAGTTGTCTCCCTTTGCTCGGATCCTTGAAGACTCACTTTAGCACTTGTTGGCGTTAACTCAATTTGGCTATCACTATCAGTTGTCTCCATTTCCTTGGATCCCTGAAGACTAGCTTTATCACTTGTTGGCATTCTTCTTGTAGCATTTTCGTGATCATCACCTGATCGTTGTTGAATCCCTTTAAATCGAATAATACACCCACGTCGAGCACAGAATTAAACTACTAATAAGTAAGTTTTCATTTATGAAAGTTCTTAATACTCCTATTCTACCGTCAGTCTTTGTATTATCTTGATGATTTAGCGATCATTGAAGCGGTATTCTCTTACCTTCAAATTGGGCAGCGACTTGTAAAGCTTCTTGTCGGGCATGACCAGGTTTTAGCTTATTTGTCTTTCTGAATTTCTTTTTAGTTGTTCTGACATGACTGGATGGATTCTTCTTTTCCGGAGTTAAACTTATGGCGCTTTCATTATCAGAGCTAGTGGCTAATGGTACAATTTTGATACGTATGAATTAGGATGGTTTTCGTGACTCATCAATCATGATGATAACCTAGGAAGAACGTGAATGTGATGAGTTATGCTTACCTTGGCGTAGAAAGGAGAAAGATGATTGCAACAAATGGCTTTCTTGCCTAGTCTGTTGGCCATCATCATCTTGACGTTGCTCACCTTCATGAGTTGATTTAATATTTAAACCAGTAAATAAAGACATGATTGATAGGCTAAAGGGTTAGTATGATAGAATGGAATCATTTCTACATGGTATGTGCTGATTTTACTTTGGATAGAGACGATGATATTTATTCCTTCATCAGTTATCCTGCTTAGCCTTCATTCAAAACTAGAGTTTGACAACAGTTTCTGGTTTGCATGTGAGTACAGTACTAAGTACAGTGCAGTACAGTATACAGTACTGTACTGTCGTGGACTGCCAGAAAGAATGACCTGGACTGATCACTCTTGGACGGACAGACACATTCGTCCAAATACGGCAGGAACGAATTGAAGTTGCTAAACACTTGGTTATGGCAGTACTTGAGGATGCAGTCGGTCGATATTGAATTGACTGATGCTTTCTCAATTAAGGAATATTACATTAAATCATTTTATCTATTACAAAGTTCTCCTTGAAAACAGTTGTATAATGTCGTAGACGCTCTTTAAATTAGTGCCTGTGATTTGAAAAACAGACACGGAAGATCCATACGAAGGCGTTATTTTGGCCTATTGACGGTCTCATTGGGTAGAAAAGTCCGTCCATCCGAGGGAGTGATGAACCATGTCTTCTTCTAGGACTTTACTGTCTGTCGTCCATGTTAGTTTAAAAACTCAGTTTTAGTTTAAAAGTGTACTCATCGGATTGCATGGCCATGACCACTTGATCAATGTTGCTGTACAATGCAGTACAACATTATTTTCGTATCAGATATTAGAGTAAAAGTATAAATGAAATTTATTACCATCTATATACACACAGTCAACCCAAATAATTGTATCTGTATATTTCGAAAATTCTGTTCATATGCTCGATATTGGTAGAAACTACGGTATTCGCACGCTCATTTTTAATTCCATTTTTTTCAGAGTTAAAGTATCTAAACGGCAATGAAAGACGCAGTGTAAAACATTGTCCATGACTTATGTTTTGACAGGTATATTGGTTCTGCGTTGTGGCAGAAGTAGAGTTGCATCCACGTCTGGCGGAACTACCGTGGCCTACTGTACTGAGCATTGTGCGGCCATTTCTTACCCCGCAATCTTTCTTTTTAGTATTAGAACTGAAACATGGCTGAATTATACGACTAAAAGCAAGGATAAAAGACAGAGAATAATTGTTCACTGGAAAGAGAAACTACTAAAAGAATGACTCCAAATGGTCATCTCTCATTCTCTTCTTTTATTATTCATGGATAGTTCCTGCTATCAAATGAGAAGGTCTACTTTTCTACTCTATTTTTCTGCATCCATGTACACTAATGTACACAGGTAGAAAAAGGTGTTGTACAACTTTCGAGAGACTAATCGCTATCGTACTGCGGGATCCCTTTCATTCGATAGTGCAATTTGAAATCTAAATACGTAGACACATCTTGCATAGGAAAGTGTATAATTATTATCAATCTTTAATCGCTATCATACTGCGGGATCCCTTTCATTCGATAGTGTAATTTTGAAATCAACTTTGATCCAATGGATGGAAAATTGAAGGTTTTAAATACGTAGACACATCTTGCATAGGAAAGTTTATAATTAATATCAATATTTATGATTCAAGATTGAATGATTTGCAATTGGGGAGGTGTTTCATGGGCAGTTGATTTCTATTACTCACACTATGGAATGAAATGAGGAATCTTGACACTGTCTAGTGTACACTATACTGTATGGTGCGATTCACGATCGTTACAGACGTACGGATAAAGTCCAACTTGAACAAGTTTATTGCACGATAAATCATGAATAAACATGTTGCAACTCGCTATCCTAATCATCGTCGCCATTGTCAAGCTACAACTCTTGCATGCTTTGGCATGTTTTAACTGCGATGCAATTGAGTATTCCACTCCAATTCTTCTTATTCCATATTCAATGGGAATGAAATCGATGATGCATCCACTGGGTGTATTGTGCCATTGGTGATATTTTGCTTCGTTGTCGCATGAGTGCTTGTGTGGGACCATGGAGAGCCGGTGCAAATCAATGCTCTAATGAACTTGTTGACATGGACACGATTGCATCGGTTGGCAAGGCATTTTGACATTTGCTCTTTCCAATTGTTGTTATACAATGTACAGTGATGATTGTGATCGATACAAAGTATCATGAGTGTGTTTTTGACGAGTACACCTTTTCCTATTCAATACAAATAATGCTGATCATCATAAAATGAGATTTTGCTAACATAGGCAATCATTAAAATGAATTGCAATTACTGTATAAACGCGTCGATACCAAGTATCAACAGTGTGCTTTCGACGAGCACAGCTTTCCTATTCAATACAAATAATGCTGATCATCATAAAATGAGATTTTGCTGACATAGGCAATCGTTAGAATGAATTACTGTATAGACGCGTCGATACAAAGCATCAACAGTGTGCTTTCGACGAGCACAGCTTTCCTATTCAATACAAATAATGCTGATCATCATAAAATGAGATTTTGCTGACATAGGCAATGATGAAAGTGAAGTACAATTCGATATGTACAAGTATTGATGAATGACTGTATTCTGCTTATACCAGCATTATTGTGGAATGAATTATAATCAATGATCATGAATAATTAATTTCCACCAGTAGAAAGGTTAACTGGCACAGGTGACATTTCATTACCTAGACTTTTATCAATTGTCCTTACTTTAGAAACAGCATGATCGATCATTTCCAATCGTTGCAATATCGAGTTGTATTAACAATTCTGACTCCTCATCATTCAATCACAACATCCCTGGATTGAATCCTCGATGACTACCATCTTCCTATCTGTAACATGGAGCTATTCTGCATGGCCATGTAATGATGACCACTATTGACCATGCAATGATGACATAGCCATCACTCATGCCTATCTTGTAAAATAATATACCATCGCATTGTCATCCTCTCATCGGTTTTTGTTGGCAACTTATGCAGGTATTTGCTGCACTGTTGGCAGAAATGCTGCTGCAGAATGATACTTGGCCAACCGACAGCGTGCATCTCGTTATGAATATTGGAAGAGCGAGAGCTTTTCCAGCTGCTTCTATGCATGTTGGATCACATATCGTGCCACTAGACGAGCATGAAGATTGGACCAATCTGCATATTAATTCCAGTTGCAGACTTTTCTGGTCGTTGTGAAAGTCCAAGATACTGTTTCATGTCATCAGTTACACAATACTCTACTGTAACCATGGTGTTGGTCAAGGCCGAGTCTTGTATAAGCAAAACCCAATTGAAAAACGTCACCAAAACGTTGCAAAGACTTTTTGTGGCATTCATGTTGTTTATTTGATTTGTATTGAAGAATCGAGCAACTGCAGACAAGTAACTATATAAAGGAACGATTATGTAATCCAGTTAGACTTAGAATAGACCAGAAGAATCATCAGTATTTAATAGAGAGAAGACCAGCAGGGACACATTCAATTTGTTCTGCTTGGACAATACTAGACGCCATCCTATCACCTTGGTCATTGCAAACTAAACTGTTCTACTTTGCAAATTGCAATCATCCATTGCAAAGTCATCGATCCAACCTCGACGACGCTTTGAAACACAAAGAAGAATTACACTTGACTAATTGGAGCTGGCAATCATTTCTGGCATCGCTGTTGAAATTTCCGACAAGAAATAGAAATAGAAATAGACTAGAAGAGGGTAAAAGGAAGATCACAGTAAACCCATTTTGACAAGACCTTGATACATGGGTGCTCTTGTAAAGAAGCCATTCAAAAGACGGCTGAAACGATCATCGCGAATCGAAATTAACAATTACATGTTGAAATACAGAACGATAATCCCTCAAGATTAACATCAAGCAATAGCTTGGATCAAATAAAAATTCACCAAAAGATTCACTGATTAATAAACGATATTCGACACCAAGCCAAAAGAGCGTGGGCGAATCATCTTTAAAAACAGTGCAAACCTCCAGCAAAGAATCTCTATTTAATTAATTGACTGCCATTCCTATCCGATTTTCAACCACACTTGTGCTCATCAGGTATCTTTTACAAGGTAAGCTATACATAGACGAACGTACTCTTACTAGAATGGAGTCATTTTTAAAATCATCATTTTAGCACATTCATCTTGAGACCGGCATGAATTAAACTGATGATACGGTACATTTCACTAGCTTGGCGTTATTATTGGTCGGGCGGCCAATTAAAAAACACGAGTTAAAATGATAGGTAATGGGCTAAAGCAGGACGACTGTCATGAGAGTAATGTCTTATTGGAAGTAGTTGTTCAAACAAGCTAGCTCACCATCATAACATTTCCTTAAAGGGATTCAAGAAATGGAGTGAGTTCGCTTTACAAATGGCTATTTCTTCATTTTTCATGTATTTCATTTCTTGTTTAAATGCTCAAAATCATCGCGCAACAATCACCTTATCAATATTCATAGCGTAATGATTTCAAAAATATAAAATAAGGGGATCAATGACGACAGTTGAAATCAAAGTTAGGATACCATGATTTCAATCCTATCCATTTGATCTCTTTTGCAATCACGCTAATAATGGCGATTATCGCCATCATCAATCTTATGACTCACCATGACATCATGTAAACAACAATTTCCTAAACCATCACCGAGTTCATAAACTGCTATAGGATCGTTATAGAGTTACATATCCACTCTCGTGGACATGTCCATCAAGATTGAACCCAAGGTTCTCGATATATTGAACGCTATGCCCTTTACCAAGAATTGTCACGCCTATAATATGGCAAAGTTACAAGAAAAAAAATTGGACAGAAACAGGCTGTACATTGCACTGTACAAACACTGTATAGATTCTACAGTATATTGGCCAGAGAGCCAAGTAGAGTTATTTTGTAAACACCAAGGCCGGCATAGACATTCGTGTAGTCATAAAAAAGGATTTTACTGTAAATATATCCTCGTATTTAAAATTAAATGAATCAACAAACTCTTCCGGGTGCAGCCATCTTGCAACATCCATCATTGCCTGATACAGGGTCGTTCCATCATCTTTATAACGTGGTGTTCATGAATAGCAACTTACAGATTCCATTTCGTGTAACGTGCTCTACCACCAATTCCAGACTACAGTAGAACTAATAAATACGTACGTTATTGATCTTCCTATGGAAGGCTGAATAAGGAAAAATAACCATTGCAATAAGCAACAAATACAGTAGAAGTGAGTAAATACGTTGAAACGATTCGATAACGCTAAAGCAGTGCCGAATTACGATACAAAAATTGCGTCAACAAACTTACTTTGCCAACCGAATTTAACTGGAGAAAACCTTTGTTTTTTGATCCTATATGTCATCATCTGTCCATCACTGACGATCATTTATCATCTTTTTATTGATTAGGCGTCCACAACCACCTTCTTTTCAAACGATCAAGCAATTTTTCCACCTTTTATCTCCGTCTTGTTATTCTTATCTACTGTGATTCAAGCTAGGTAGCGAATAAAACCATCCAACTTTCCAGAAACGCATTGAATGCAGTAACTGTTATTACATTCGACTCGATTGGATACGATTAGCAGATTGCAGTACGTACTTGTAGAATTTGAACAATTTCTCGCTTATTCTTTAATTGAAAATGTTGCTCAATTATTCATATCGTAAAAGTACTCATCAATAACTTCCTTCTATCCAAATAGGTAAACAATCATAGAAGCTGTATAATAAGTTTCTCGAAAGCCGGATTACAACCTTGGGACTATATAGGGTTTATTTTTCCGTGCAACGAGTATCATTAAAAAGATAGCGCATCGGTTGCTATTGAAAAGATCATTTTGCCTGGAGAATTTTAAAGTTAGCAAATCGCACTACAATTTAATCCAGTAATCAACGACAATACTAGTATTGTTTCGATTTGGGAAATTACAGCACAAACTAGAGACTACGGAATACCATCTGTAGCATTGGAACAAATTACTTCCAATACAACAAGTTCTGTACTTTGCAGTCTACGTTAAAAATTGGATACAATTTGCCAGGCAGTGTAAAATTTCTTGCTTTGCATTCTATGTTAAACTACATTTCATATCATAATGGCAAACGATCAGCAATTTTCATTAGATAAATATGGCAGCAAAAAATTGCCTCAATCAGATCCAATTGATGTTCCATCAATTCGACGAAACCGTTTCGAAATCGATTTATATGATGATGATGATGATGATGATAGAGAAGAAAAGATGACATTTTCATTTCGGCAATCTTCTGAGCGTCTATCACTGAGAAAGAAAACCTCCTTAATTCGTAGACCTCAATCTGTACCAATTATTCAGAATATGGCTTGCGTCTCATCAGCAATGGCACTAAATGATGATGATGAACCAGCAGAGAATCAAATTGAAGAAGTGAGGCCGCGGCGTCATTCCCTCGCAACCGAAATAGAAATTGGAAGAGAGTTGCAATCGATTAGCGATCGATTTCTGGTCGATTTTAAAGTAACCAGGTCATCATCCTCTGGTGAATCTCCTGCTTCAAGATTGAGACAGTGGTGGGCAGGTACTTCTTCAACGACTACTACCACTTACTATCATTCTTCCATTAGTGAAGAAAGCAATGATGGTACAAGATAGCGTTCATGTACCCTTTCACTAATTTACTTAAAACAAGATTGTTGGCAAGATTACGAAGTTGCACAGTTTAGAGGTACCGTTATTTGCTGCTAAGGTTGGCAGAAATGAGACTTGGTCATTACACCTGCCTTCTTTCTACTATTATTATTATCCATATACGAGTTATTATATGGTCCATCCTGTTATTTGCTTAACAATTACGCTGTTTCGTGTCTAACAACTGCAAATCTATCGTTGACTTTATCCGTATTCTTTGGATATTATCTATCTTTGCTTAAAAATATACAACAAGCTTATATATTATACTGTACATTGTACACTACACAAAAAGGAAAGAAATTCTGTAATCCTATTACATGAGAGAAGCTCAATCTTGTAATGGCGAAAGTTAAATTTTAATTTCCGATTAATGTCAATCTCAGTCTGTTTATTTCTAGACTTTTGATCGTAACGTATATATAAGGACTATTTATAAATGTTTCTGTTTATGCTTAAACACTAAAAATTTTCATTTTACTAACATATCTGGGTTCAATCACTTTTTCTCAAACAATTTCAATGGTATGAAGTATTAATAATAGCATGCAATGTACACCTAGATTTTTTTCTATATACTAGCATATCAATCTTACATTATGCAATAAAAATTGTATGCGAGTAATTCATTTGTTAGTGTGTAAAATCAAATTAATTTGATCCCTTCTGCATGCTTTTTTATGCGCTTTGGAAATAACAATATTAAAACCAAATCAGGTGCAATGACATTGATGACTAGCCTGATAGAATTGGTTCAATAAATATTCTATACTGTAACTTTTTTGCTAATCTACGAGCTCTTTCCTAATTTCGAATCGTGTTACTTATCAGTACTAAATGTTAATCTAAACGAATTCTAATGATGCAAATGAGTTGTTTCCTGGTTATTGTCATCGTGATTTTGATTCATTAAATCCATATGATAGATTAATACATAGTTAAGAAAATAGATATCGGAATAATGACTTCCTTTCAGCTTATGGCATAATTGATTGATAATATCGCTTCATCTGATTAATAAACAAAATCTGTGCACCCTATGTGGGTTGCAAGTGTCAAGATAGGACTTTGCACTTGGTTCGCATGATATCAATGGATTATTGTCTCTCACGATTATAATGAATGATTGACTCTGAGATTATTTCTTTCCCTATGTTCAAGTATGACCTCTAGATAAGTACATAAAATTTTCATTTATAATTGTTATTCGGGCAGGAAAATACTGTCTTATGCAAATAAGAATAATTATGAAGGATGGACCTTATAAACATTCTTAATGATATACTGTATTTAACATTTTAAAATTTATGTTCCGCTTATAAATTTCGACTAATGGACTGCATTGTTATTGAATGGTTTATTATTTGTTATATTTACCGATGTCTACTCGTATGTTATACGGAAGTCTTTGCTTTATTATTTCACAATTTTTTTCCTTTGCAGTGTATTCAAAATGTTATCTGATTATAATTGCCAACAAAAATTTAATTCCTGTTTCATGTATTTGTATAATAGCACTGTATTTAAGTAATATTGCTTTTTGCTGTATGTTATTTCTACTTATAGCCAAATCATTATCGGCTGCCATAAATTATTGCTACGTCAGTAATCAGTCCCCCTGCCATGACTTATTCTCCATTCGAAAATGGAATCCCCATAAACTGGATGTTTTTATAAATCTATGAAAAAAACTTACATTAAATGTTTTTTGTCGTATACGCGTACATTATTCAATGCAGTGCAAAGTCAAAAAAAGATTCTGATTTTTCTTCAACTCAATCAAAATAAAATTTAAATTAAATATAAATGAAATGCGTGGTGTATCTCTTGAAATGGATGCTTCCATCTTTCTCAGAAAATGATCTTATTTTTTCAAAGAAAATTTTTTTTTTAACACCCGCAAAAGGATCAAACAATCTGTTTATAATATGATTATGGGTGTTAATAGGCGGCAATCTTGTATCATGATTAAATTGAATGGCGATGAAATTGTATGTACTCTAGTTTAGTTTACTACTAGAAATTTTAATAAGGAAAAATATAGAATAACACCATCGTGAATGCTTTGACATATATTCTTATACCAGTATTTTTATTCAATTTACTAGTTCTCAACATTAAAGACATGCTAATGAATGCATAGGCACTAACACTTCTGCAGCATGTTTAGACTAAATCTGAATTGTTGATCGAGACAAATCCTTACTAACACAAACATCGTCTCATCAGTTCTTGTTTACGACCTAAGAAGCGGTCGGAGTTACCATCTGGCTTTGACATCAGCATAACAATGACAAAGTGTGAAAATATGCTTCAGGTTCCGATATTAAATTCTATTTAAAATGTACTAATACATCTGCGGCAAGTCAGACAAAAATAGTTACAATATAGCAGTGTAATGGAGTCATTCATTCTATTTCCATACTTGAAAATAATTTTCAGACATTGAGATAGGACTTACGCCAAATAATTAGCACTTGAATTTGTCAAACAGTTAATCCTGTACTCCATTCTACAACGATATTAATTTACTATATTTCGAATATTTATATTACTGTATAGTGTATATTGGAGCCACTGCAACAACGTGCAGCTACATTGGTGGAAACATTAAATTTCCCTGACTGTACATATTTAAGAGAGATGTTCCTTGTTAACTTTATTAATTAACAAAATACACATCACCGAGAATCTGAGACATAAAAAGTGCTTTAATTTCTGCTAGGTATCCAATCAATTCGTCTTCGTGCAATTTCACTTGAAATTGGAGAGAGTAGTTATCGTTACGAAAAATTACTTAACCAATATTGAAATTGTATTTCCAATTTTTAAATTGCAAATTCTGCAAATTACTGCACTGGTTATAGTCATTCGAGTATCGTTGAGATTTACATAAATATTGAACCCTGTTATAACGTAGCACTTAGCTTACAGGTTATAAATTACGAGTTGATTGCAAAAGCGTATAGATTAGTGTCTTAATAATAAATAATTTATATACCACGTTACAGTAGGTAATGCTTAAGTTGTGTATAAAAACATGAGGACTTTCTAAATGTATGATAGCAAGATCAAGCAGTTTAACTGAAAGCTATAGCAATGAAGGCTTTCTATTTTTATTTATTTATTGGCTATGATTAGACATATCTGGCTTCAGAAGATATCAAGCACAGCAGTTCTATTTCTGGTATCGTAAGACTAATGTTAAAGGTTAATTACTGGTACAAATTCATGAAATTAAACCATATGGCATCTTACGTGTATGATTAAAGAAATCCAATATCAATAATAGTTCCAGCATATTGAAGTAACATTATAGGAATATTTACAGATTAGATGGATTAATCGACCCCTTGTTTTAATAAAGAACTCTTTGAACTTGCACGGTGCAAATGAATATCAGGTTGCCATTAATCAATGAAACAGTTCTGATGAATAATGTTAGTAGAAATAAATGATAAGCTGGTAAGTAAACTGATGACGACACTAGCATTAAATAGAACGATTATTTAACAAATTTTGTCAAGAATAATAATTATTCTAATTCGCTTGTAAATAAATACTTTAAGATAAATTATTGCATTTAGGGATCTTAGCAGTTTAATACCTTAAAGAATTACTTATACGTAATGGCATTATTGCACGTTACAAACCTTGGACACCCCTATTTCACGTAATGTAAAAGAATTGGATAGAAAAGGCTACTTATTTTAAAGAATTTTAAATGTGTTTCCTTTTTAAATTTATTGTTAGCCCAATTAGAGTGGCCTATATGTAACTAAATTAGTAATATCAATAAATTGACTGAAATAATCGATCTTGATGCTATTAAGATGGAAAAATTGAAAATAATATTTTAATAGCGCTATATTTCCTCAATTTATATCAATTAAATATTCTAGCGGTTTCCTGGATCCAGTTGTCGTGCAATTAAATATATAATTTGTTCGTATTCTCTATGATGTAGACGCTAGTTGCTTACGATTTTGTCGATACTAGCTATAAACTACAGCTTTCTTTGTCAGTTATAGAAAAGCTACAGGTTGTAGTGACTGTGAAAATATCTCAGAAAATTAAAATGCTCCAGTTAGAAGCATCCCTTATTTTTTGTAGGTAAGGTGCGGCCATTCTAGAATGCAAAGTAGTCTCCCCTCCGCCTCCGCCCCTAGCAAAGAAAGGCACAAATTAATAAAAATTATCACATATTATCAATCAAGATATAATGCCAATGATAATGAATAAACTTGCAGATGCGCGTCCAATCCTGATCGAGATCTAGTATTGATTTTCCAGGAAGAAATGATTTAGCCAAGCGTACTATGTCGTGTCTTTATGATATGTGAGTCAAGGTATAGCAATAGATGCAATCCATAGAATCTGTTGAAGATTCGATAGCTGCATTTGAAACTACAGCTATCACTTCTATTTATATCAATCACCATTGCTTGCATACAAACTTTAAATAAACTGAATAATAATGCAACCAATATTTAAATCTACTACGTACTGAAAGCAAAGTACCGCAGATTTATACTCAGATAGGTAATTACTGGCCAACGCCCTGGTCATAGTCGCCATGGTAGCCATTACTGGTTTTTATTGCTACTATAGCCGCTCCATTCCCCATCCAAGATAGAGAATTAGAAGAGGAAAATGGTCGCCTACATTACTATTTGGATCCCATTCTAAGCTTGACACGATTCTCGTTTTATGCTAGACTCTGATCTTAAATCCAGCTAGAAACGTGCTAACAAAAATCAACTATCGCTATTATTAAATTGAAGTGGAGAGTAGAATGCTCAATGCTCAAGAGATCATTACGTAATTTTCCAGTTACCTTCAGCGGTATGAAATTTATAGTCATCATATGGTAATATTTAAAGGATATTATGCTAATTTGATGTTAATTATATGCATCCTTATTATATATAGTATTTATATGTTACAAATGATATTCAACTTCGGGCGCTTGCTTCCGGGTTGATGGCCTTATACGAATGCATATTATACAGTCAGTAGACAGGTAGAGTACGGTAACATATAGCAAGAAGCAATTTTAACTCATCTAAAATCGAAGCAATCTAACCAGTTAACGGTGACCATCTTGGAATACTGAATTGATGATTATAATTTTCCACTTATTCATCTTCACAGTTACAAATTGAAGTGTATTCTAACAATAATTAGCATCGAATCGATCTTTTCTCCTTTAGGCAATAAAAAATGGGCAATCAATCGAGTAAATTTGAGATTTCCAAAAAGTTAAAAGCTCTACGCGAAGACGGTCTTCAATTTTACCAATCTGGCAAGCTTGACGAAGCAGAGTCTTGTTATAATAAAATCCATGAAATGATTAAAACTATATCCGGAAGCCCTAATAACCTTGATGAACTTGATCGCTTTCAATGTGAACTTTATCTTAGTTTTAGTGACATATATATACAACGATGTGATTGGATGAAAGGCGAAGAATGGTGCCTGCAAGCGAAAAAAATAGCTGCAAAATTAGAAGATAAAATGAAAATCGCTAAATGTCAAGATAGACAAGGCGAAATTAAACAGTTACAAGGGGAATTGGATGCAGCCTTAAGTGATTATACTAAATCACTGGATATGAAATTAAAATATTCTAGTGACGACAAATTAAACGTCGGAAATTCTCATAGTCTAATTGGAACAATTTATAATCATCAAGGTAAATATGACCAAGCTATTAGCTCGTATGAAAATTCATTGAAATTTCTTACGTCAGCCGTCGATGTCAATAATCAAGGCATTGCAAAATGCCACAATAATATGGGAATTGTCTATCAAAATCAAGGCAAATACAGCGAAGCTTTTTCAAAGCATCAAAAATCATTACAAATTCAATTTTAGTCTTGGATCATAGTCACCCTGATATTGCACAGACTCGTACCAGCATGGGAGATGTCTATTCTAAGCAAGGAAAACATGTTCAAGCTCTAGATATGTATGAGAAGGCGTTAAATATTCGAAAGGCAGTCTTTGATGACAATCATCCAGATATTGCCAAGTCGTATGGTAATATGGGAAATGTTAAGGATGATCAAGGCAAGCACGAAGAAGCTCTTACTTTGCACAATAATGCACTCAAAATTCAATTATCTATCCTTGGCGACAAACATCCCGATGTTGCACAGTCTTTACAAAACATAGGCAACGTCTATTTTCATCAAGGCAAGTATGAAGAAGCACTTTCCGAGTATGAAAAATCGTTCAAGATTAAATCGTCAGTCTTTGGTCATCAGCATCCTGATATTGCTAAGTTATATAACAGCAAGGGAAAGGTGTATGATTGCCAAGGAAAGTACGATGAGGCTCTTTCTATGTATAACAAGTCTCTTAAAATTCAAGGAGCTGTTCTCGGTTACGAACATCCTGAAGTTGCAAAATCTTACAATAATATGGGAAATACAAATAACAATCAAGGTAATCACGAAGAAGCACTTTCTGTGCACAACAAGGCACTTAAAATTCAACATATGAGCCTTGGATACGATCATCCAGATGTTGCAAAAACGTATATTAGCATTGGAAGTATTTATAAAAGCCAAGGTAAGGATGTTGAGGCTCTTTCTAAGTATCAAAAGGCGCTAAAGATTCAATCATCAGTTCTCGAAGGTAATCACCCTGATCTTGCACAGTCCTATAATAATATTGGAGATGTCTATTCTAATCAAGGCAAGCATGAAGATGCTCTATCTATCTACCAAAAGTCTCTCGATATTCAATTATCAGTTCTTGGTCATCATCATCCAGATGTTGCAATTTCCTACAACAACTTTGGAGCTGTCTATAACGATCAAGGAAAATACGACAAAGCTCTTACTCAACATGAAAATTCACTAAAACTTCAAATAGAAGCTCTTGGTAGTAATCATCCAGATGTCGCAAAAACATATAATTGCAAAGGAGCAGTTTATTTTAATCAAAGCAAGTATACTATGGCTCTTTCTGAATATGAGAAAGCTACCGAGATTCAATCATGCGTTCTTGGTGAAAATCATCTTGATATCGCCAAGACATACAACAACATAGGAAATGTATACAATGCTCAAGGCAAGCATAAATTGGCTCTTTCCGTATATGAGAAGTCTTTAAAAATTCGATCGTCTATCCTGGGTCGCAATCATCCTGATGTTGCCAAGTGCCATAATAACATTGGTCTCGTCTATATGAATCAAGGTGAATATGACAATGCTCTGACAAAGTATGACAAATCGCTCAAAGTTCAACAATCAACCTTAGGCTATGAACATGCTCAGGTTGCTTTATCACATGGTAATAAGGGATCTGTCTTGTGTAATCAAGGTAAATATGAAGAGGCTATTTCAGAGTACAAGAAATCGCTCAAAATTCAGAAAAAAGTTCTTGATCACAATCATCCTGATATTGCCAAGTTATACAATAAGTTTGGAATTGTGTATAAGTATCAAGGCAAATATGATGAGGCCTTTTCTGAGTTTAAGAAATCACTTGATATCCAGTTATCAGTCCTTGGTCATCACCATCCTGATGTCGCAAAAACATATAATAACAAAGGAGCTGTACTTACTAGTCAAGGCAAGCATGAAGAAGCTCTTTTAATGATCAATAAATCACTCGAAATTCAAATATTAGTTCTTGGTTATGATCATCTTGATGTTGCACAGTCTTATAATAGTAAGGGTCTTGTCTACATGAATCAAGGCAAATATAGGGAAGCTCTTACAGAGTATGAGAAATCTCTTGCAATTCAATTATCCGTTCTTGGTCACCATCATCCCGATGTTGCCAAATCCTACAACAACATCGGAATTGTCTACAAGAACCAAGGCAAGGATAACGAGGCTCTATCTATGTATGAGAAATCACTTGAAATTCAATTAGCAGCCCTAGGTCACAGTCATCCTGATGTTGCACAATCATACAATAATAAAGGCGATGTCTATTCCAATCAAGGCAAGTACACAGATGCTCTTTCCATGTACGACAAATCATACGAAATAATATCTTCAGCATTAGGCCACAATCATCCAAAAATTGCACAGTTATATAACAATAAAGGATTTATCTATAATGATCAAGCCAACTACGATGAGGCTTTATCTAACTTTGAAAAGTCACTTAGAATTCAAACGTCTTTTTTTAGCCATGACCATCTTGATATTGCACAGTCATATAACAACACTGGCCTTGTATGCCAGAGTCAGGGAAAGTATCAAGAGGCTATTTCTAACCATGAAAAGTCACTTAAAATTCGATTATCGGTCCTAGGTAGCAATCATCCGGATATTGCAGAGTCTCATCATAATATTGGAGTTGCCTATACATATCAATGCAAGTATGATCATGCTCTTTCTTCGCTTGAAAAGTCGTTCAAAATTCGATTAACAGTTCACGATAATAAACACCTTGATATCGCGAAATCCTTTAACAGTATTGGATATGTATATTACATTCAACATAAATTAGACACCGCTCTTGCTATGTATAACAAGTCGCTAGAGATTTATATTGCAAAACTTGGTGATAGCTGTCCCATCGTGGCTCGGTTATATAATGAAATTGGCCTTGTCTACAGTAAGCAAGGAAAAGTCGATCAGGCTCTTAGTTTACATGAGAAATCGCTTAACATTCAAAAGAAGTCATTAAGTGAAGATCATCCTGATATAGCTATGTCATATGGCTGTATGGGATATGCTCGTTATAAGCAAGGAAAGTATGCAGAGTCTTTCGCGATGCATGAAAAGTCATGTAGAAGCTACGTCAGAAAGTTTGCTGGTAATGAGCATCCCATCATTGCTATGTCTTATAATAGCATTGCTATTATCGATACGGAGCAAGGTAAATATGATGAGGCTTTGGCTATGTGTGAGCGTTCATTGAGAATTAGTAGGGATCAATTATGTGAAAATCATCTTTATACTGCCAACTCTTATCGAAATAAGGCTAAAATTTACTTTTGTCAAAGTAAATTTGAAGATGCTTTATCGTTTTATCGAAAAGCGATGGATATTTTAAATTTTTTATTTGGCGATAGTAATCCCAAAATAGCAAGCTTATACGATAATATAGCGGATTCTCATGATGCACTACAACAACTTGATGAAGCTGCTACTATGCGACAAGTATCCGTAGCTTTTCGGGATCATGGACAAGACGACATAAAAGATCGACATTTCATCAATATTCCTGCTCATTCATCAGGTAACTTTTATATATTGTATATCAATTTTATCCTTACTACTAAGTAAACATGTTAAGGCCTTATTTTAGTTTATTATAAAATATGTTTCATCATTTGGGTAATGTTGGTGCGAAATATTGATTGCAGAATGAACTAATATTTAGTAGTGAGCAATCCACTGAAGGTTGCAAAAAATTGACTATTTTAATATTAAAACGTTGGAGCAAATATCGACGGCGATGCAGATTATTTTAGTACCGTAATAATTTAAAATGACTAAATTAACCTTGCAGCTAGAGTACAGTATACCTTACAAGCGCTTATATTAATGGGCTATTTTAAAGTAACTGCAAGATATAATATTAAATCTATTTAATGTTATGCGTATATATTTTTGCAAATGAAACCGTGATGTCTCGCATAACTATTCTTATTAGTTAATAAACAATTGTTAAAGGGACCTAATTTATATCAACTACTTTACTTTATTACAGATATTTTATTATGCATAAAAGAAATTTATAGAGATTTAGGCGTAGACTGGCGAAGGTTGGCTATAGAGTTAGACATGGACTACAACGAAGTTAGAAAAATTGCTAAAGAAATAAATGGTATTGAAGAACAATGCTATGAAATGTTATACCGATGCTACAAAAACCCAACTTGTAAACTGACAAAGCCAAAATTGATCGATGCTTTAGTTAAAAGCGACCTTGGTCCCCTAGCAGAAAGGATCGGCATCAATAAGTAAGTATCTTCAGTAAAATTATGTTTTAAGATCAAGAATTCTTGTTTTTGCGTGTAATATAGCTATATCTGTTATAGTATACTATAGATTGATCGATATAAAGTATTGTTGGCTGTTTCTGTATACTACGCTTCAACTCGGTGAAGTAAATCCGATATGATTTTTGTGACTATATTCTCAAGTGCTAATTATGATGCCGATATTTTAAGTGCTGTTGTGATTGTCAATGTTTTTAGCTAGTTATTAGTTAATGTACTTTTAGTAATCAAGCATTATTGTGTACCGTAATAAATTAGATATAATATAGGAATTTTATTCAGACTAAATTTTACTACGGTGTAGTTTTAGCCGATTTAATAATGGCTATTCAGATTAACGCTAAATGTTATGAGTGCTTTATATTTTGTTACGAATTTTATTTATTCTACAACTACTATGAAATAGGAGTAAGCTAGTTTATGATTAGAAATATTATAACGTTAGGAAAACTTAGGAGAAAATCTTTCATCTTAATCTAATTATTTAATAATATTAAATTTAACATGGTTCTCATACGCTTATTTTATCATTAGATCAACATGAGCAAAAAAATCATCAGTTGAACTATGGACAGGCGACGTGGATAAACTTTCAAATTTTTATTTTGTTTTATCGCTATATCAAATCATGTATATTAAATTTCTTCCTTGCAAAAGAGATAGTAAGGGTTAGTAAAATTAGATTAGTGACTATTTGATTTAAGTAAGTATCATAAAATTGTTTAACAATGAAAAACTAGTATCCTTTTGTTTTAATTACAATATTCGGACTTTTCATTCTAATTTCAATACAGTTATCTGCTAAGTATCGTAAATACTGCTATGAGGCGCTTTAGTGCTATCAATATGTAAATTTTATGTTCCATTTAATTTTTAAAATAAATAATTTAAATTACTGTTTACTGATATTTGTAGCCATTGCCTGTGTTAGTTTGAAAAGTGGCATAATAGCAACACCAACCTTATGGTATGATTATCCAAGTATTAGTCTTTATTTAATTGCCTTTTATGATCAATCATGTGGCGGTTAGCAAGCACAATGTCGTTAGTATAAAAACTAGATGTTCTATTTAAGTAATATTGCTGTTACCACAGTAATAAAAGCGTCTACATAATTTTAATGACTACATAAATGCGTAAATAGCGCTGTTTTAAATAAATTGTTTATATACTCGATCAATAGTGTAGATAGAAAAGTATAACTACTTTACGTCATTGTGAATTATTGTTCCTACGATGACTTTTCACTAAAAAGCACTAGTAATATTTTTTATTACTTGGATTACAATCTATTGAAGCTATTTACGAAATTGAGCTATGTTGGTAGTTTACAAGTAGCTACAGAGATATTTGAGTACGTTATTAAACCTTTGGCGTGGATAACCAGTATAATTATGATTGTTGCATATTAAATGATCCATTCCATGTCATCAGGATAGTGTAATAGTTCATGATGATAGCTCTGAATTAAGGTCATAGACGATCATTACCAGATGTACTGATTACTTGCAGCATTGCTACCGTAACAAAAACGAATCGTAATAGTGATGGGTATTATAGATTAGAAACCTTTATCAGCTAAAGTTAGAGACTCACTGACTGCACAATAAAGTTAAATATAGCACTAGAAATTATTTCTCGCTAAGGCGTAGGGTAATGAGTTGATCGTATCTGATCATTTAGTTATTCCTTGTCAATTTTGCAAATAATAAAGTAGCGATTATTAAATAAGTTTTAGACTATTTCTGTAATATCTTGCATCATCATGACGTAAGCCACTATTGCATATGGTATATACGTAATGGTAGAAATTTAAGAATAAAAATAGCTTGTATACTTTAGATCGCTTATTATTACGTCATAATGATGGACATAAATATACATTAAAGCGATTTTATACGATCAAGATTTAATTAGTCCTGAAGCAATGATAAGATTGCAATCGATCGCGCTGAAAATTGTAGCATACACCATATTTTCGTTATCATGCGATCGAATCATTTAATCGGTCGGCAAGCGATGATTATATTACAATCGAACGCGCTGAAAATTCTAGCATGCAGAATATTTTTGTTATCATACGATCGTAAGCCCATGTAATAACGTACTACTTCTAGCTCTACTCTATAAACTAATCACCCAATAATTAGCCTTTCAGTGTAGTGGTTAAAGATGGGTTATTACCTAAATTATATTGTTGAATATTACAATAGTAGAACTTTGACCAGGTAAGCTATATGTACACAGCCAGCTCTTAGAATATCGATTAAAAAATTATCCTCTAATAATATGCAACTATCCCAACGACTGAATATAATTCCTGATACCCCTAGTCCACTCAAGTCTAGCGCCGCCATCTTACTTATGATTGTGTCACAACCTAACAGCAACACTGACCTTATGCTATGATCATCCAAGTGTTAGCCTTAACTCAATTGCTTGTAACGATAAATAATGTAGCTGCTACAGTACATAAAGTTTCTAGTACGAAAACTAGTTGTTCCGTTCAAGTAATATACCAGTTACCACAGCGATAAAATCAGCTATGTTTTTAGTGGTGGCATAAACACCTAAGTAATGCCGTTTCGAATAAACTCTTCACATGCTCGATCATTAATGGATAGGATTAGTTATCTGAGTTTATCATCTTGATCTACGGCTATAATACCACAGCAACCGGTTACAGCCGGTGTTAATCAAATTTCAATAGTGTAGAATAAAATATCAAACTTTGTTCATATTTTTAGTTCTAACTAGACTGGAAGGTATCTCTAGTATCTTAAGAGCTTTAGCCTACTACTTATTGGCTGTTTATTGGTGTAGACTAAAAAATACAATTACTTTACGTCATTATTAGATTATTGCTATTACTAAGAATTGTCCACTAAAGAGCGCCAGCAACATTCTTTACTACTTGTACTACAATCTATTGAGGCTATTTGCGGAATTGAGCTGTGGTGGTAGTTTACAAGCAACTACAAAGATATTTGAGTACGTTATTAAACCTTTGGCGTAGATAACCAAAGTAATTATGATTACTGCATTTTTAAGTGATCAAATCCCTTTCATCGGAATAGTGTAATAGTTCATGACGACAGCACTGAATTACGGTCATAGATGATGATTACTCGGTGTACTGATTGCTTGCAGCATTACTAACCTAACAAAAAATGTAGCGTAAAAGTGATAGATATTATAGATTAGAAACTTTTATGAACTAAAATTAGAGACTCACTGACTGCACAATAAACTTAAATATAGTACCGGAAATCATTTCTTACTAAGGTGTAGTGTACCGTTATTAGTTGATCGTATCTGATCATTGAGTTATTCCTTACTAATTTTGCAAATAATAAAGTAGCGATCGATTAAACAAATTTTAGACTTTTTTGAAATACCTGCATCATTATGGCATAAGTTACTATTGTATACGATATGTATGTGACGGTAGAAGTTCTAGTTAGGATAAAAACAGTGCACATACTTTCAAAAATCATTTATTATGACGATATTTTCAGCGGTATTACATTACGTGATTATGATGGACATAAATATACATTACAGTAAATTCATACATTCAAGATCGAATCATCTACTCAGTCCACATTTAATGATTACAGTCTATCATGCTGACAATTCTAGCAAGTAATACATTTTTCTAATCATATGATCGCAAGTCCAGTATCAGATTAACGATCTGATCCATTTTCTGGTAATTTTGCTTATTAAATTATACGCTGTGACTGTTCAGGAATGCTTATTTTCATTGCATAGTTATTAAAGGACCTTTGCAAGTTGTTAGAGCATGTTACTGACTATATTAAATATTAGTGTAAGTAACCTATTGACAGTATCAATTGTCGAGTAATTCAAATATCTAAAGAGTACTACAACTATGCCACTTCTGCTATCCAATTTTCGAATTTAGCGCAATTATAGCCAATGTTAAACAATGTGGTATCTAGTTTCAAGCTACTATCTCTTATAGTACACTACTCCATTACTCTTACAGTACCTAAATAATTTAAGTTAATGGCATATTAAAATATGGGGATATATGCAAATTAGTATTGGCAACTCATTATAATAATCAGCTAGCGGAGAATTTTAGACCGATGTTTAAGCCTCAATGTAAAACAGTTTGACGCATCAATTAATTTTTTCCTATTGCTATACCGTAATTTCCTCGTTAATGTGTGCAAAATTACCTTGCTTTCAATCATTTTTTATTTATTTAAGACAAATTTTTTCATAATCAATTCATGCATGGATGCATTTGTTATTTTAAATTTTACTCTTTGTACCTTATATAAAGATTACTCGTGGTATGCCGGTTCACAGAAATTTCTACCGCGGCATACTTCGATCAGGATCGAAGATAATTAAAAAAAGGAATTTATCATCAGGTTAGAAATAATTATTAACGCCCTATCGGTTAAAATCACGTTTAATTTGTGAAATACCAGTGTGCCGATTGTCACAAATTTCTTTACAGGCTACTTTATTACTGTACTACGATTTTAACCGGTTCAAATACCGTTTAAATAAAGACGATAGTCAATCTTAATGACCCATGAGATTGCAGTAACCGTTAGAGCCACGAGTAGACTTGCTATAGTACCATCTATTTTGAGGCAATTTATTGAATTGTTAGCTATCATTTGTGCCGGTAGACGTATAATCATACCCCTTTCTAGATAGTTTATTTCATCTATAAAGTTTTATCGTTTAGAACAAGTCTTCGAGAGAAATGTCAGTTTTAAATACCACGAGTTAGAGGCAGCTATCAGAAGAACCGTAAACTTATTCTCGTGATGTTCTATGCGTTTCAATTTTATTTCTAAGTAAAGCATTTCTCAAGCACCCTTATTGTCATCGGAGTTTGAGAATCGATTGATTTAACGATGTACGATTAGGGCTGCAGTATGAATTAAGATAAAAATTATCTTTTCAAGGAATCGATTACGACTTCACTAGACTAGATAGTTGTCATTGCATGGATTTCGGCTGCTGAAATTGAAATGAAGTTGTTACGTTTCAATTTAATTTCTCTAAAATTAATTTTGCTTACTATATGGCATAGTACTGTATGTATTTTTACAATCTTCATATAACATAATCAAAGCGATATTAAACAACAGAAATAACATCTAGAGGCCACGTATGATTTAGTGATACCTATAGTATCCTACTCTATTCGCATCTGCCCGCAACTAATACCGCACTATCTTTATCCATCATTTCAAGATGGACTTGAATGACTAGCTTAATAAACAGTCAGTTATTCTCCAAACGCCATATTCTATTACAAGCTTGTGGGAGTTAGAGAAAGATTAGACATTTCGATTTTTCTTCATCTTTATAGCTTACTCCTTCCCTGATGTAAATCCGCAACGATTAGAGTTTAATAAACTGTTCGATCTTCTCCAAACGCCATATTCTATTACATGCTCATGACATTTAGAGAAAGATCAGGCATCTAGATTTTCCTCCATCTCTATAACTTATTCCTTCCTTGATCAAAATCCGAAACGATTAATGTTAATAAACAGTCCGATCTTCTTCAAGCGCGATGTTCTACTAAAAGCTCATGATATTTAGAGAAAGATCATACCGCTAGATTTTTTTCTCCTGCTCTATAACTTACTCCTTCCTCAATTGAAATCCGAAACGATAGGAGTTTAAACAGTCTGATCTACTTCAAACGCCATGTTCTATTACAAGTTCATGACATTCAGAGAAAGATCAGGCATTTAGATTTTTCTCCATCTCTATAACTTACTCCTTAATCGAAGTCCAAAACGATTAAAGGTTCAATACTTATAAGCAGTCCGATCTTTTCCAAACCCCACGCTCTATTACCCGCTCATGATATTTAGAGAAAGATCAGGCATCTAGATTTTCTTCATCTCTATAACTTTTTCGTTCCTTAATCGAAATTCGAAACGATTAAGTATAAAAAGCAATCTGATTTTCTTCAAACAACATATTCTATTACCAGCTCATGACATTTAAAGAAAGATCACGCATCTAGATTTTCTCAATCTCCATAGCTTACTCCTTGATCGAAATCGAAAACGATTAAGAACTATCTGATTAATGGCCTTTGCTTCTGGCCCAAATTTATAGAGTTTATTGCAGACACTTGGGAAGCCATACTGAACATGCTAGAGCATTTTTTAGCTTAAACCGGTCAATATCAAAAGTATCGAGTATCATACTTGATACAGCACTACATTTTTGACGATTGCTTATAGAAAATTTTCCCTTTCCTGGACATTTAAGCGTTTCAAATTGTACATATCGAATCAGTATGCTGAAAGTTTTAGCGAGTGCTTCCATAGGATATATCGTTGGCCTAACAGGATTACCTCTTGTTCGGCTATTGCCATAGACACCCATAGTAAACCGCATAAGCTTAAGATTAATGATTTAGTATAAAGGATGGCATAGCAATGGCCCTACAAGGTGGCATTGCCTACTAGAATTACATGGTACTAATGGTAATCAATGTTAATTGAGGCCATTGGACATTGCCACGTTTACGTTTTCATTTGTTTGTTAGAACTTCCTAAGTCTATTGATATTTCTTTCTAGATTGAACATACAACAGGCAGAAAATTTCATTTTTCTAACTCGATTGAAGAAAATTTAAATCCAAAGTATCTATACAAAACACGGACTAGCTATCTTGGTTAATATCGGCAATTTGCGTTATTTAACGACTTTTATTTATACTTTATACCAGTCACAACTCGAAAATAAACGTAAATCTTGACTAGAACACATAGTTCAATTCGAGTTCCATTATTTCATATTCATTTTCCTTTTTCAAATCTGAAATATGGGCAATCAAACGACTAAATCTACTCAACAGTTTCAATCTCTAGACGAAGAAGGTAAAAAAAACCTTCAAGCCGGTAAGCTTGATCAAGCTCTATCTTGCTATATTCGAATAAACGAGGGAATGAACGCCATCAGCCGAGACACTCCTCAGTTGAATCAGTATCAGTGCCAGATTTATCTTCAACTTTGCGATATATATATACAGCGTGGTGATGGCATAAAAGCCCAACATTTTAGTGGAAAAGCTCTTGAAATAGCTGAAAATCTTTCAGAAAAAATCAACTATGCTCAATGTTTAGACGTTCAAGGCCAAATTAAACGTCTACGAGGAGATTGGAAAGAAGCATTAGCTGATTTTGAAAAATCACGAGATATCAAGGAATTAAAATGTTCTACCGAGAAAGTAGAAATTAGCAATTCATACCGTTATATTGGCATAGCTTGTAACGATCAAGGCAAGTACAACGAGGCTTTATCCATGTTTAACAAATCAATGGATATTCAAACGGCAGTCCACGGCGACAATCATGCTGATGTCGCAAAGTTATACAATCACATCGGAGTTGTGCACTGTAATCAAGGAGAATATGAAGAGGCCCATTCTAAGTTTGGAAAGTCACTTAAAGTTCAACTTTCGGTCTTCCATCCCGATCACCCTGACCTCGCAGAGACATATAGTCATATAGGGGATGTGTATTTACATCAAGGCAAGAATGAAGAGGCGCTTTCTAAGTATGAGAAAGCACTTAAAATTCAATTTGCAGTCCTGGTTTACAATAATCCCATTATCGCAAAATCGCGCAATAGCATTGGAAAGGTCTATAGTCATCAAGGCAAACATGACGAGGCCCTTACTGAGTATAAGAAGTCGCTGGAAATTCGATTATTAGTCTTTGGCGAGAATCATGCCGATGTTGCTAACTCGCATAGCTGCATGGGAAATGCCTATTCTAGCCTAGGCAAGCACGAGGAAGCTCTCTCTAAGTACGATAAATCGCTTCAAATTCAAAAGGCAGTCCTTAATCGTAATCATCCGGATATAGCACAATCCTATCATAGCAAGGGTAATGTCTTTTCTGACCTAGGCAAATATGATGAGGCTCTTTCTATGTACAAGGAGTCTCTGGAAATCCGATTATCAGTACATGGTCATAATCATCCTGATATAGCGAAGGTATACAGTAGTCAAGGAAATATCTACGTAATTCAGGGCAAGTATGAACAAGCTCTTACTTTGTGCGAGAAATCTCTTGAAATTCAAAAATCAGCTTTTAGTAGTAATCATAATCATCCAGATATAGCTCAATCCTATTATAATATAGGTAATATCAAGGAATACCAAGGAAAGCATGAAGAGGCTCTTTCTATGTTCGAGAAATCTATCAAAATTCGACACTCAGTCCTCGGCTACTATCATCCTGATGTTGCCAGGCTAAACAACTGCATAGCGAACGTCTATTTAAATCAAGGCAAGTTTGGTGAAGCTCTTTCTAAGTGCAATAAAGCGCTCAATGTTCAAAAGAAGGCTTTTACGGATTCCAATCATCCTGATATAGCGCAGACATATATTTATATTGGTAATATCTATTCTCGCCAAGGCAAGTACGAGGAGGCCCATTCTAGCTATAAGAAGTCTATCGTTATTCAAATAAAAGTCTTTAGTCACATTCATCCTGATATTGCCAAATCTTATAGCGGCGAGGGAGATACGTATTTTCGCCAAGGCAAGTATGAAGACGCCCTAGCTATGTATAACAAGGCTCTCGAAATTCAATTATCAGTCTATAACGAAAACCATCCTGACGTTGCTAGATCATATAGTAGAATGGCAAATGTCTATTCTAATCAAGGCAAGGATGAAGATGCTATTGCCAAGTATGAGAAATCGCTCAAAATTCAGAAATCAGTCCTTGATCAAACACATCCCGATCTAGCGCAGACGTATAATAACATTGGTAATATCTATTTTAAACAAGATAAATACAAAGAGGCCCTTTCTGAGTTCGAAAAATCGCTAAAAATCCGATCATCAGTCTTAGGCAACAATCATCTGGATGTTGCAGAATCCTATAATAACATGGGAAAGGTTTATTCTAGACAGGCCGAATACGATAATGCTTATTCTATGTATGAAAAGTCACGCAAAATTCTTGTAGCAATCTATGGGCCTGAAACTCTTAATGTTACGCATTTATACGATAACATTGGAGCTGTGTTTTCTAGTCAAGGCAAGCATGGTGAGGCTATTTCTATGTATGAAAAATCACTTAAAATTAGATTATCAGGTCTTGCACATGATCACCATGCTATCGCGAAATCGTATAACTACATTGCAGCAGCCTATTTTGACCAAGGTAAACATGAAGAGGCCCTTTCTATGTATAAAAAGTCGGAAAATATTCTGTTATCATCTTTAGATCATAATCATCCCGATGTTGCCAAGTTATACAATGGTATAGGAGCTATTTACTCTAGTCAAGGCAAATATGAAGAAGCTCTTCTAAAGTTTGATCTATCCCTTAAAATTCAGGAGAAGTCAGAACTCGATCATAATACTCTTGATATTGCACAGACGTATAGTTACATAGGAGATGTCTATTTCTGTCAAAGCAAGTATGACGATGCTCGTATTAAGTATGAAAAGTCACTCAAAATTCGATCGGAGCGCCTCGGAAAGAATCATCCAGATGTTGCAAAGTCGTACAGCAACATGGGAAATGTCTGCTATCGTCAAGACGAGCCTAAAAGGGCCCATTCTATGTATGAAGAATCGCTGCAAATTCGATTGTCAGTCCTTGGCTACGAACATTCCGATGTTGCACAATCACATAGTAACATCGGAGCTGTTCTTGAATATGAAGGCAAGCATAAAGAAGCACTTTCATCGTACGAGAAAGCTCTTAAAATTCAAATGTCAGCCTTTGGTCGAAATCATCCTGATGTTGCAAAGTCAAATAATAATATAGGAAAGATCTATTACTATCAAGGCAAGTATGAAGAGGCTTTTTCTATGTATGAGAAAGCAATCAATATACAATCGAAAGTTCTTGGCGAAAACCATCATGATATAGCTAAGTCCTATAATAATATGGGAAATGTCTATTATGCTCTAGGTAGGCACGAAGATGCTCTTTGTAAGTTTGAGGAATCAGTACAAATCCAAACCAAAGTTCTTGGTTACACCAATCCAGATATTGCAGAAACATACAATAACATAGGGATTGTCTATAGCCAACAAGGCAAGTATAAAATGGCCCTTTTCATGCATGAAAAAGCAATCAAAATTCAATTATCAGCTCTAGGTCTCGACCATCCTGATATTGCTAAGTCATATAAAGGTATCGGATATGTATATTATTCTCAAGGAAATTTAGATGGTGCTCTTTCTATGTATAACAAATCGCTAAATATTTACCTAAAAAAACCCTATAACAGTCGCATTATTGTTGCTTGTCTGCGTAATAACATTGGTCTTGTCCTCAGTAAGCAAGGTGAATACGATAGAGCTCTTTCTATGCATGAGCAATCACTGAAAATTCAGCGTGAATTACTCGGTGATAATCATCCAGATGTTGCTATGTCATACGGATGCATTGGCTATATCTACAATAAGCAAGATAAATATGGAGAGGCTCTCGCTAAACACCAACAATCTCAAGATGTTTACAGGGCAAGTTTTATAAAACCTGATCATCCCTTTCTTGCTATGGTATATAACAGCATAGCAACTGTAAACATGAAACAAGGTGATTTCGATGAAGCTCATGCTATGTGTGATAGGTCGCTTAATATCACTCGGAAGAACTTAAGCGAAGACCATCCTTATGCCGCTAATTCTTACCGAAATAAAGCGCACGTCTACTTTCGTCAATGCGATTATAATCGAGCCAAATTACATTATGAAAAAGCCGTCACTATTTTACGTAATTTATTCGAAGAAGATCATCCCAAAATGAAAACGTTAAAAGATCATATTGCAAAATGTAACGACCAGTTTTGTCAGGTATCTGATACTGCTGCAAAGCAACAAAAATTAGCAACTGAGGAAGAATTTACACATCGAACAGACGCAAGCAATCAACTACAAACAGATCGTTCAACAATAGCATCAGGTAACTTCTATTTCTGTTAATTTCAATATAGTATTGTCTTTTATTGACTATATTGCATCGACCTGTGATTACTGTATATTACAAAATGGATATTTTACTAGTGTCTTAAAGAATTCTTATGTCGCCGATTACAACTAGATCAGGCTACTTATAGTTCGTAATTTAGTCTATAATAGATGAATACAAAACCATTCGCAGAATTTCATTTTATTCTGAATGGTAGATTATATTTGCATTATGTAGATACACGGTCGCAACAGCAGTCTCAAGTACGGTCCTTTACTCAAATTAACATAATTTTAGCTTAGTAAAAGCAAACGTTTTTATAAGTGCATGATCTATGCATAAGTTATACAAGACCGGGTCTTATTAAATGGGATGTACCGCCTTCATTTAGGTTTATTAACAATATTTTCGCGATATAGTTAATGAAATATTATTCTATTTCTTAAATAAAATTTCTATCAAATTTTTATACAACAGCCATAAATGAGGAGCAAACGCCATCGACCAAACAGTTACAACATGCTTTAAATGAGCACGGTGAAGAATTTATTAGAGTAGTACCGATCGATGAAATATTAAATTCATTGAAGTTGAAACACATTTTAAGCTGTAGACAAGTTGCTGACATCAGAAATGAGAAACATAGAGAAGATCGAGTAGAAATGCTACTTGAGATTTTATGTTACTGTCGTTGTGGGTCCGATTTCATAATATTCTGTCGATTACTTCAAGAGAATACTGTAACGACGGTGCAACGCTTTGGAGAGAAACTATTGGCAACTGCAAGCGGAGCTTCCAGTGATGGCATTGGAAATTAATAACTTAAAGCCTGAATCCTTTCGTAAAATTTAGAATGCAAGGATAAGTAAGACTTTGATAATAAACTACCTTCAAACGTACAATACTTCTTATTCTTAAATGTAATTATGGTACAATCTACATGTTCCTTATACATTATGGCACACTTAGATTCTTGAAGAGTACTAGTAATTGTAGGGGAAAGTATTTAGAAATAAGTAACTTAAAATCTTAATCCTATCGTGACATTTAAAGTGAAAGGTAAATGCAACTTTGATAATAAACTAACTTCAAGTGTACAATATTTCTTATTCTTAAATGTACCGTAATTATCGTGCAATCTACAAGTTACTTATACATCACGGCACACTAAAATTCTTGAGGAGTACTAATAATCATAATAAAAAGTATTGGCTGTTATTTTACGCGTATAAATGAATATTTGATTATTCACAACATGTATTTCACTAAATGATCTACTGTGTAAATGTTGTATTGGCTGCGCAGACTATTAAATTCTCTATTGTTGAACAAATCCGTAAACGTGCTTCAAAATTAGGAGTTTAATATGTTTCTACAATCTAATTTTATATCGATATTTAATCCAATGTAATATGACTGGAATATTCACTTTATATAGAAAAATAACTTTTTTTATGCATATAGCGGACTCGTTTTATTTTAATACAGCCACAACAGAAAATTATAGACTAGTAGGCCTACTACCTGCGGTTGAACTGATTAATGGATTGAAAATTGTTTTACAATTTTGTGATCATGTCACAAAACAGCCGATGAATGCAAATCTGAAAAAGCATTTTATTTAGCTGTAAATAAAATTGGATGTTATGCACCATGTATTATAGCCGTAGTTAATCCCATCTAGTAGCGTATACAACAAGGACTTAATTATTCGGGTTTGCTAACAAGTTAATGAAGACGTAGCTTTATGCAGAATAAAAATAAAAGCGTAAATTGCTCTATAAGTGAGAATTAATAAGTTTAATATGATGAGCAAGGTACTATATTCAATATGGAGGAGTATAGTACCTAAGGAATGATAAATAAGAAGTGTCCCATACTGAACACTGAAATAGCTGCACTGTAGAATTAGATATCCTGCAGTTGTCGATTCTAATGCTCTTGAAGCTAACAATTAGTACAATTTCCGTTAAGGTACAACGATATTTCCTAAATAAAGATTATTAATACTTTCCAGAGATTCTTTGATAAAAAAAGATATTTGCGAAGAAATGAGTTAAAGTACAGCTATTAATGGTTTAATGACAATAGAGATGATCTATGAATTTTTCATGTAGGACTCGTGGATTTTGCTTAAAGTTATTTCGAAAAATTTAAGTATTCCAAATAGCACTATCTCTTATGCTTCGAATAACGTAAGTAAATTATGATTCAACGTAAGAATAAACAACTTATCACATGTGATCATGTAAAAATTATAGCAACTCGTCAGCCAAGGAAAAGTTGCAGGTATTAGAATATCATGATAACTAGTAATAATAATAGTTATAGTAATAGTAACAGTAATTATAGAAATTTTACAAAATTGAACAAGGTATTTGTTAATCGATTGCAGTAGTTATAAGGATAGTTAATAAATAAGATAGATACGGTATACTTTTATTATCGCAAAATCTAAACTATTTCATTCCGGGTAATAAGATAGGATAAAATAAATCCCTGTTATTCTCGTATTGGGAGCTTCAATTGCGCATGCATTCACATCCATTGCAACGCATAATTTAAAATAATAACATGAATAATGATTGAAGGAGAAATTTAACGTATGTAACTTTGACGAGTTAAAACACTACTGCTTCCTTAATAATAGTACGGTATCATAACATTAATCTGGTAATTGCTGTGATTAAAATGAATCATCATCGAAGGAATTATTAAATTCGATCATTCTTTAAGATAGAAAGTTGAAGGAAATAAATGCTAAAGTCCTTACTATATCATACCGTAAACATTTAAAAATCTCATAATACGAATTCAATCTTAAAATGTTCGGGAAATGAGCCAAGGAATAACACTAGTAATATCAATTAAGCTATGTAATCTTAATTTAGTACTACTGAGGTAATAGACTGCATTAACCACTTTAAAGATAATTAATGTGTGCCCTATTAAATAATTATTTATTAGCCAGTATAACAATTAAAGAATTGCTGCTAAATAAGAAATTGAATCGTATGTGGTATACAATTAGTCAGTTACTATTAAAGGTTCTATTTAATGTTAAAAATACAGCAATAAAAACAGATATAATTTAACGAAAAATCATATTCAATATACTATGAAGAATAGCAGAATAGTTTCTAATAGAACGTTAATTTATCAATTATAGCTGTCATCTTTGTAAGTTACAATAAGTAAAATAATTGATATAATAAATCTTTTTTAATTTTCTACTTTACGAACATTTTGCATTTTAAATTCTTATTACGATGCAAGAAGCCATCAGTTAAGTTGTTAGAGCCAATTTTACATTTGAACTAAGTGAGAGATGAGGAGAGAGAGTAAAGACCCAGTAAATATTCCAATGACGACAAAAGCAGACATCATCGTCCCTGCTAATCCGCGTTGGTTTGGTGCTACTGATCTGTAGATTTTTGGTTTGAGAATAACACATTCAGAACTGAATAAGTACGGGTTAAATTTTTTGCACATGCTATAGTAACATACTGTAATTCCTTCATTTAATTATATTCCATTTCCAAGCGTAAAAATAATAATTTAGGTGAGAATTAGGTTCGAGAAGCTGTTATTACATCTTTCAGTAAGATTTATGGATTGCGATGATTATAATACGAAATACTAGTTTTGTTAACATTTTCATATTCAAATTAGAAATTGGATCTGATTAAAGGCAGAATTGTGGGTATTATAGTATTTTCAACGTTACATTTGCCGCAATTTTTTGTATTATACAGTCCAGCTGATTGTGTATGGTGGCAGTAGAAAGTTATGAGGTAATGTAATCCGCTAATCTACGCACAACAACACAATCTAGTAACTATTTTTCGAACATTGTATCAAGTTTGACTTACTCAGGAGCAGACATCATAATTCGCGTCCCAATTAAGCCGTTACTTAATCCAAATAGAATCATAAATACAAAGTAATATCCATCGTGGTTAAAAATGACGGGTATAGTCCGAAGATGAGGTTTATAATTGCAGAAAATAAATACTGGTACGAAAGCGATTCGACATATTACCAACCAAACTTGATGTCTCTTTGGCTAGCAAAATATAGCATTAAACATCAGTATAAGTAGTCACTTATTAGCAAAAGTAAATCTACCAACACTGATGATTGATTTATATACAGATGAAATAAATATGCTATAATGATATTTACCACAGGTATCCATGCTGCTGCTGCTTTGCCTATCCAGTCCGTTAATCCGAACATTAAAAATGTTGCTACAGGCGTGAATAACTTTCCTTATAATGGTTGAAAAATAATCAAAGTAAGTAAAAGGTACCAAATATTATGTGATAAAATGATGATAGAGCCTACCACTCCAAAGATGATCAGGATCGCTATCCATCGATCTTATATTAGCACAGACGGCAGGGAAACATGCCAATGTGATAAAAAAATTGAGCCAATTTGAGAATAGCAATAGCCAAATCTAGATTGCATGTGAAAGATCAGTCATGTTGAATACTTGATTAAAAGCAAGTTAGCTTCTGTTAAGACTGTATAGATTATAAGTTTAAACATTTTGGATCGCATTTTAATTTAATTTTAAAATTACCTGTTTAAAAACTTTACGATATTCTGGCTTTACCTTACCAATTTCAACTTCCTTTCCATTTCGTATTACACCTGTGCGTAAACATAAATCTGGAAATGAGATATGCCTAAACAGCATTTTGGTGGATATAAAGTATAAAAGAAGGCCGCAAATATTATTGCAGGATATTGCGTAGTGTTGTGTATTAGCAATCAATCTTACTTTTCCTTCTGTTTCTAAGACTGACATGATTCTTAATAAATTTCTATTTCGAGAGTCAATTGGAAATATAAAAATTAGTTCTGGAATTTACTGCAAGCCGCGGTATTCATTAGCTTTTCTTACTTTCATAATGCAAAAACTATAACTTACCATTTTAGTTAGATAAATAAGACTGACCAACGTTAAGATTAAAACAAATAGGCAGGAAAGGAAATAAGCTAAAGCACTGTCTGTTGGATTTGGATTAACAACAACGCTGAGTACTGCAATAACTGGAATAGCAGTACCAATCAGTCCCTATTAAATTAAAATTTGAATGTAACATTATGGTTTCAGATTAGAGGTTTCATAAAAATTGAAACTCAATTCCTGAAAATCTTATATTGCATACGGTAGAGGTAGAAATTTACCTGGCCATTTGCTACGGCTTGAGTGTATTTTTGTGGGAAATGGCCGGCTAACCCAAAAGTCGAACTCTGGAATAATGATGATGCAGCTATAACATAACATAAATATATATAAGATAATGCATTTACTGGCTAGTCATTAGATGTACCTGTAAGGTTTGGTTTACTTATTTAATTTAATTAATTGAATATACGCATCTCAACATAGCAAATAAAATATCAATCTATATTCATTGAGAAAACTTTTTATGAGTAGAGAATATAACTGTATTTAGATGCGGAGATCATTACCATTAGATATAACGATGCTAATTAATGTTATATTAAAGAAGCCTTCTGTCCCTAAGTAGCGTAGTGGTAGAATAGTAATAATAACATATTAGAATAATTCTTTCATTTAAATTTCAATCATCAGTAGTAGTTAATGTACTCACATGCTGACGTATCAATGTAAATAAAGATTAAAGTTACGGCAAAGATAGAAATAATTGCTATTAAAGATCCTACAAAACGGGCTATGAGGGATATCCTGAAAATATTGAAATAGAAGTTGTTGAGAGCTAGCAATCTACAAACTCGCTTAATAAAGAGTAAATATTCTGTGCCTAAGATCACCGAAACTGCAATCACTACTGATACTTTTTAATGGTGTGATAGATGAATCTATCGGCGCCATCTCAGACCTCAAAACTATCTTACTCATAGTTATGATGACGGACTAATTTGTAGAAGTTTATATGCTCACCGATGCTGTAAGAAAATATTTATAACCATAACGACAAGATTAGGGATAGAAGCAGCCAAGGCAATAAAACTTTGAAAATCTTGCTTAAAATTACGACGGTCATCCACTTGTTTAAATTTGTAATCTTCATAATACTGAAAGGAGAAAGAAATGATATTGACGATAAAGAGAGCTGTTTATGATGGTTTTGATTTACTCTTGCTCTCAATTTTTGCATTCAATTTGTGGATAAGATATAAGTTATATTACTCAAAGAAGTCAAAAATAGCACTGAATATAACTAGAGACATTCATGATTGCTTTAATTTATTCGTACTCTGAATTTTTATATTCAATTTGTATGTCAAATACAAGTCGCTATAATACCTAGATAAATCAATTTCAGTCTTTATGTTACTGAAGGAAGTAGTAAAGTATAACATCAATAGTGACGAGAACTATTTATGATTGATATGATGTTAATCTAACATTAAAATTGATATTCAATATACTAGCAAGATCAACGTCATTGAATAAATATCTCGGAAATAAATGATCATTTTAAGTTTTCTGTATATTTATATGTGCAATCTTCTCTACAATATGTATCGAATACAGTGGTAGGTATCTTACCGCTGTCGCAGTGATATAGGTATACCATGGCAATAAGGTGGTCATGCCAAAGAGGAAGAGGATAAAATAGCCTAAATTATACCTAATTATCATTAAAAGAGAATGAAAATATTGATGTTAGTAATGATAAAACCTTTAGGTTCAGGATATCTGTCTATCGAATATTTAATACGATTATAAGTTATTTATATGGGTTATTAATGGCAATAATTTGATACAAATTATTATGGGCTTAACATTGCGGTCGATTTCAGACTGGCCTTAACTCAATCAAGTACTGTAGATCACGAAAATTGAACGATGGATTAGATTCGATATCGTCAATTTTAAACCAGCTCAGCTCAGGATATGAACAGCTGTAGTATGCACGTATTTCACGCAAATCTAGATTTATCTATTCTAGCAACAGGGATGATATACGTAAGGCTAAGATTAATTTACCTTGATTAAGGGAAATTATTCACCAAAATACATCAGTTAAATTTTAAGCTACGTTAATCAGTACCAGCTGGATGATATGCAAATTTTTGTAATGAAAATAAACGGAATAATTTAAATAAATTTAGCGTCACGTTTTTACGCATAGATTAAAAGTTTGATATCGGCCTATGAAATTAACTCCACTTAGTGTTCAAATTTGACCAGGATGATATGTTGAATTCATAACCATGAAGTTTAAAAGAATAGTTGGGACTGTGCAGTAAAAATGGAATAACCTTTTTTAAAATTTTTAGCGAAATTAATGCCAGCTAATGGGGCTAAATTAATTTCGCATTCAATGTATTCTTTTGATATGTTCAATTAGTAAGCATACATATGTGAATTTACTCAAGTTTTCATTAGTTCTATTAATGTCTGATTTAGAGCTATTTAAACAATGCTAACGTAAGTCTATCTATGAAGCTATAGTTTACCCTCTTGGTTATGGAGATGGAGCAAGTAGGTTAACTTTAATCATAGCATAAGATGAATTGGTAATTAGGATTTACTTTTATGCTAAGCTAATGACCCTAGTTCAATATTTATTTTACTCAATAAGTGTAGATCACAATACTGAAATACTATTTGATGCGGCGTTGCATGAAATATAGAATTGCTCTACAAGCAGTAAAAAAAGTGGTCAAGTTGCTAACTACCAAAATGAAAAATTACTAGTAGAAATAATACTATTCTACAGTATGCGTCGAGCTTATGCAATGTACTACAGATTGCCTTAATGTCAAGCTGAGGAGGATAAGGAATTATTTCGTCAATTTATTTAAGTTGAATTTGCATAGCTGTCATTGATACCATCTAAAAGTATTTAAAACTCGTGACATAAATTAAGGCTAACTTTAAGCTGAGGAGGATAGAGAATCATTTCGTGTAAGTTTAATTAGCATGACTGTGATTGACACCGTTTAAAAGCATTTAAAACTCGTAACATAAGTTAAGGCTAACTTCAAACTGAGAGTGATAAAGAATTATTTCGTCAATTTATTTAAGTTGAATTAGCATAGCTGCCATTTATACTGCTTAAAGCATTTAAAACTCGTGGCATAAATTAGAGCTACCTTTAAACTGAGGGTGATAAGGAATTATTTCGTCAATTTATTTAAATTGAATTAGCATAGCTGTCATTAATAGTGTTTAAAAGCATTTAAAACTCGTGACATAAGTTTAGACTAACTTTAAGCTGGGGAGGATAGCGAATCATTTCGCTTAAAGTTGAATTAGCATAGCTGTCATTGATACCGTTTAAAAATATTTAAAACTCGTGACATAAGTTAAGGCTAAGTTTAAGTGGAGGAGGATAAGGAATCATTTCGCTTAAGGTTAATGAGCATGGATGTCATGATTCTGCTTGAAGACATTCAAAATCTGGTGATGTAAATTAAAGCAAACTTTACTATGTATAGCTATCGCGCATTCCATTGAAGCAAATTTCTTGCCGAGATTGATATCAGCCCTATGGATTTATTTTTGCGGATTAAGGCTCCATGGAGCCGAGTACAAGAAAGAAGATAGAAAAGGAGCAAGATATGGTCTAAGCCGGGCATGTGATAGAAAAATTGGGAAGAATCTGGTCCATTTATGTTTACTTTAATTAACATAGCTGTCACTTTGATCCCCTTTACGAATTCCTACTGAGAATCATGATGTCAACCATGAACTCTGATTAATTTCGGGGTCACAGCATAATTAATGTAAACGAATAAAAAGAAAAAGATGGAACAAGACTTAAGCCTATAGGATCGGTCAAGGTAGGATAGACCTGTTCAAGACAAATGGCAAGACTACAATAGTTAACCATGCAATACCTAGGGATACCAAGGAAATGAATCCTATCCATGATATCTCAATGATAAAGTATTTAAATTTAAATAGAGGATAAAAGAAGGATACCGAGATGGGCCGTCAGGACGCCGGTTGGATATCAAGTTCATGTTGGAACATAAAGTCAATGGAAATTAGATTAGCCTAGGATGCATTTTCATTCTAACCTGTCCTTATCCTCTTCATCATTGACTGCGATCGACTTTGGCCTGTCTATTTTCTTCTTATTTTGGGTCGTCTTGAGAGATGGCAAGGAATCTAGGCCATTTTCGCCAATTAAAATGGTTGGATTTGATGCTCGCAATGTTCTTTTCTTCGCTGCTTCGATATCATCCACCGAGAAGGCTGCCGATGGGTAGGAAACTCCATTCTAACCCATCATCAAGCGCAATTTCAAATCAGTACAAATATAAATATCGTGTAACATGTGGTTAAACAACTTTCAAGTTTTCTCTTACATGGAAATTTGTTGATAAAGTAAATTCATCCTCATAATGTAGATCCAATGATCCAGCAATGGATGCTGCAGCCATTAATTCATTTTGGTCGATTGGAGGTTCCTTTAAACTTTCTGATGAAGGATAGCTTTTGTGAGCTGCAACGGTAATATTCATGGTATTGAGATCAATGTCCTCTTTACCCATAGAGACTTTTAGATGATGGCTTTCTTTACTACAAGGATAATTCAATTTCTTGGTTGGATAAGAATCCACTCTAAAACTTACTCGGATGATGATTTCTCTTTAAATATAGTATCAACAAGGATCGTTAATCCAATCTTCTTTTTTGACTGACTATTTATATTCAGTCTTATTGAGGTAAGAAAATGCAAAGCAACATAGAAATAAGGAAGTAGAAAGATATTGTCTGTCTCCAATTAGTACCGTCCAGGCGACATAAAATTAAGTTGGTCAACAGTCTTGGATAAGCAACGATGAAGATTGGTTAATTCGTAATAACGTCCTCTCAAATGAGTATTCTCCAGCTTATAAGTGAGTTATTTATACTTGTTCTGTTAGCGTTCTTGTCGGGCACCTGTATATACTTGGTTATGCCATGGAGATGATGACTCAGAATAAACTCATTGATTAATAAAAATTACCTTATTAAAATAAACCATCAATGTTGATCTATTTCAACGCCTTTATTAAGTTTGAATTGACGTACGAATTTGGCGAAGTTTTTCGTTTCTTCCAGTAGGTTGACAAAAATGACTTTGAGCGATTTAAAACGGAATAATTTCAATCTCTGTGAACGAAGAATCAAAGTTTTGACAGTCGCTTGTCTTCCTTTCGTTGTCTACTTCTTGTCTCGTCTATCTAGAATCGAATATATAAAATAATATTTACCAGATCATGGTGTACAACCAGATTGCAGCTCACACGTTTAACCGAATATTTATTTACCCTTTACAACGATTAAAATAATAACCAAGACTGCGGTATACGTGTAGTTTACAATCAATCAATATTCTTCCTTCATCATAAAGTAATCGTTCATGTAGCAATCCTTTATTATTCTACGTAGAATGATTTCCCAACTTGGTCTATTGAATCAAGATTTTGATGTCATGATCATACTTGTGGGGTTAGAAATGACGATAAACTTGATGACAATCGTTCAAATTGATACTTTCCACATCTGTTGATTAAAGTTTTAATGTCGTGAAATTACTTGTGGAGTTAGAATGATCATAGACTTGATAAGATTGATTGAATTTGATACTATATCTCTCGCAAAAAAATGAAGATTTTGATATGATAGTATAATACTTGTGAGTTGGAAAGGACGATCAACTTGATATTTTATTTATCGGAAAATCAAGATTTGATGTGGTGATGATAGTTGTGAGTTAGAACGGACTTGATGAGATTCGTTTAATTGGATACTTTACGCTTTGACAAATCAAGATTTTGATGTGGTGATATTAGTTGCGAGCTAGAACGGACGATAAACTTGCTGAGATTCGTTTAATTGGATCCTTTACACATTGGAAAATCACGATTTTGATGTGGTGATGATAATTGTGAGTTAGAAAGGACTACAAATGTGATGAGATTCGTTCAGGTGAATACTTTACACGAAAATCAAGACTTTGATAGGGCTGGTGATAGTGGTGACTTAGAAATGGCCCCAAACTTGCTAGAATTCATTCAACGAGATACTTTACACATCCGAAAATTGCGAAAAAATCGTGTCAGAAACTGTAACTAAAATAACACGTTCCCATCTCTAATTGATCTATTTTCCTGTAGACAACGCTTTGTCCGTCTTTCCCCCTATAGGCATATGGCTTTCATTAGAAGCTAAAGGCTTTTATTAGAAGCAATATTATCGCTTTAGGAGCTAAACAGGTTGAATTTGTCTTCTTTGTCATTCTTGATTCAATGGCTGATCTGTCTGTCTGCCTATATTGCTATGGTGACAAATTTAATTTAAATTTTCCATTAATCTATGGTACAGTAGAAAAGCTTTCTTTTTGGCTTGATATAGCAGTCTGTCTACATTAGAAAAGGCAAAATAAAGCTTTAAAGATACAAAACGGCTTGTCCGTTTGATTCCTGGTGTAAGCCGGTAGATCACTCAATGGCCACTTCTTCACGTCATTAAATTCACTCATGCGTCAAAGCATTCGTTTACAATAATAATTTTATTTTTTCAAATTTGTTTATGTTATAGGGAAATCCAGTTGATCAGGTTATTTATTGGGGTTAGAAGACATGTGAAGTTATGCTATCAATGATCTTTGCTAGTTAGAGTATCCAATTTCAGCTAATATTTTGATGAAATCGTGATGATAAAAACGTGGTGATACGAATGATGGATAACTATGGATAACATGGAGAAGGCAGCGGAGGATAGATACCTCAGTCGTAAGATGGCTATAGCATACTGTAGACAGTTTAGATACCCTCCAATGTTTTTACAGTTTTTAGATAGGTGGTAGAATGTCTAATAAGGGATAAATATAATGTAGGCTAGATAGTTAAGATGCCGGCAGATTGTTCTAGAATTTGATGATTTCGGAGATCGAAATCAATCCATGGATGCAGTCTGGATGCTTCCTATTCCCTCTAGAAATGATCCAATTCATAACATTCTGGAATAGTATCATTGAGATTCTGATCAATTTTTCTCAAGTGATACGATACGGAATGCTGAAGTCAATTTTAGTATAGATAGCGTCGATATTAACAGACTTTGTAGGTTATTGGCTCCAGAATGCCCAAGGAAAGGATTACTCTAGTTATAACAGACCTATAAAATGCATTTTCAACCATGGACGAAGGATAGTATAGCAGGTTTACGTCAATTCGACTGCATAAACTCCTATAAAGGATATACGTATAGTCAAGAAGACAGTTAAAGATATGTGTCTAGTTGGAAGATTTGTACCAATAAAAATTCCGAAATTGGCTGCTCCAACTTTGATTTACAGTTCTTTTAGGTAATGGTTATTACTTTGGTGGTGGTAGAGGCTCAAGTTAGCAATATAAAGCATGTGATTTGACGGCATTTTAGTCGTAGATTTCTAAATTGGCACGGCAGATGATACAATTTAATTATCACATTACAGTGCTTATTATAGAGTTTCAAAGGCCGGCTAATAATGTAACTATGAGATTTAAATAATACGCTACTAGTGTTGTAGAGTTTCAAATTAGTTCTAAAAGAACGTAATACTAAAAAATGATCAGAGGTATTGCTGATGCCTTCTCCTTACGATTCAATCAAAGCCTTTTAAAGTAAAGTGGGGTAGAATACTGTAGACTCGATATCGATGGTCCAAAATTGGATCCCAGCTATTATGCGTAATACTGTATATGCAATAATAGCCGGCTAAAGTCCCAAATTAAGAGCAAAAATAATATTCTGTTATTTCGTATCAAAAATGCTTCATTAGAATCAACTTAGACATGATTAACGAGATTGACTAACAGGACTTTAGAAACCCCCTCAAATTACCTAAAATGATTTCATGAACTAGCTTATGTTCAGCATTAATTAATTGGTTTTAGGAAGGTTTTTAATTGTTCTACTTTACTTGCTGTTATCAATGGTGAATTATACGCGTAGCTGGGGCCTAAAATTTAAACTGATCAAAAATGATCCAAATGATCAAGGCTTTTAATCATTACGCCTTACTTCTTGATATTAATAATGAATTTTACGCGTAGCTGGGGCCTAAAGTTTTATTTGCTACGATGACATCATCAGGAAAAAGTTTTTACCAACATGAACTTTGATAGGCCATGCTAGTAGCAAGTGGGTATGGGATATAGAAATAAAAGATGGATTATTGCCACAAGAATATTCCCAACTGCGGCTATGAAAAATTAACATATAGATTGACAGATTGGGCAGGCTAATGTAGACCACTTGACAGTATATTCATACTATATCCATCAACTATCACTACAGTAACATACTGTAGTACGCTAAAATTTGTTTCTAGAAAGAAAAACTCATGTTCTAAGTCGAGTGGATAGATCTAAGCCTTTAGCTCTATTCATGGATTATACAGTATCATAAAGAAGTTTATTTAGAGGTAGTAATAGTTCATCAAGGAGGGCGGAAGAAGGAGTGATAGACAGGTAGATTAATCAAGCTAATATATGCCACATGATAGTATGTCCATGCTCTATTAATCAGCGATCGCTGCAGTAGTATACTGGAGTACGCCAAAATTCATTTCTAGGTAGAAATATTTGTGTTTAAAAGTAGAACGGATAGACTAAACTTTTAGCATTATTCATAAATCATACAATATCATCAAGGAAATCTGTTTTAGAGCAGTAGTACTTCATCAAGGAGGTAGAAGGGAGAGCAATGAACTGGAACAACTATGCTATAGCTGCTTGAGTTTGAATATCAATGGATATTTTAAAAACCAGGACTCCGGGTAAAATTAAATTAATTAGGTGTATGGATTAAATTACTAACTATATCAGCAATATTTCATCGAGGTCGTAGGAGGAAGAGCGAATTACTTTAATGATCATGCTGTGGCTGTTTATATTTTGAATATCAATGGATATTTTAATGAGAGGGCTCCTAGTAGAAATAAATTACTCAGGGGGACGGATTGAATTACTGGTCAAATCAGCAATAGTTCACCAAGGGCCGTAGAAGAAAGAGCGATTTACACTCACGATCATCCTGAGGCTGTTTACTGTATGTTATGAATATCAAATGAATATTTGAAGAGATGAAGCTTGATAAAAATAAATTAGATGGGTGAATGGATCTTGTAGTATATAGGTTTTTAACCCTATATACTGTACTATCTTTGTATTTTCCTAATACATAACTACTGTAATTAGTTGAAATTATTACTGGCCTATAGATTACGTTATTGGTTATATCAATAATATTTCATCAAGGGCCGAAGAAGAAAGAGTAATCTATTCTAGCGATGATATTGTAAATATGAATGCTTTGAATATCGAATAAATATTTTGAAGAGAGGACATTGGGTAGAATAGATTTGATAGGAAAGGAATCAAATTACCGGTCACATCAGCAATATCTCATCAAGGGCGGAAAAAAGAGGCATATGTTTAACCATCAGCGGATATTTTGGAGAGAGAACTACAGGTAGAAATAGGCTGGATAGGCGATAGATGGCTTTACGGATTAAATTACTAGTCATGTCATTAATATTTTATCAAGAGCTGAAGAAGAAATACTGACTTATTTTAACGATCATGCTGGGCTATTTATATTTGGAATATCAGTACTGTAGATAGTTTGAAGAGGGAGCACTGGGTAGAAATAAATTGGATAAAGGATGGCATTATATTGTATAGATTAAATTACTGGTCATGTCAACAATATTTTATTAAGGGCTAAAGAAGAAAGAGTAATTTACTCTAGCAATTAGACTATAGCCGTTTCTGTATCGAATAAAAATGGATATTTTAAAGAGAGAACTGCCGCTAGATATAAATTAGATAGAGAATAGCTTTATTGATTCAATGGATTGATTTACTTATCAATTCTTGGTAAGCTGTTGACAAATGGTTCCTATTTTGTGCACTCTATGCATAAACATGTTATTTATAGCTATCAACAAGTTGATATCACGTAGCTACACAGTTAAACAGTTCTCCTAGGAATTTGATAGACTAGCTGTTTTATTATATGAATTCTATCTTACAAGATACAATATATGGAAAAGAAAGATACCCTTTATTTTTCTCAGCTGCCAATTTGAGCTTAGCAAGATGAACATGAAATAAGAGATTTAGCTTTTAAATCTCATGCTGTTAACACAAGGTCAAATAAGTAAAACAAAATCTTGTTTTATTATGATTATAGCAGGATTAAAACAATGAATTTTTTGTTTTAGTATATATGCAAAACAACTCCAGTAGGACTTTGTTTCTTCCTCTTAGTTTACCAATTATGCAGAATAAGAAAAATATCGCTGTAGGTGCAGACTCTCTTGCTAAATTGAAATATGATATTGATCTATATATGTATACCATAAAATATTTTGGTGATGAAAGCATCAGCTGTTGATCTCTCATGAGACAAAATCTAAAGTTGATTGATCATTATTCACTGTGAAATTTATGTAGCACTATGGAATGTCTCCTTGTACTTGTATTTAAAGTGATGAGTCAAACTTAAATTTGCAATTAGACAAAATTCTAAAAGACAGTAATTTTTACTTCTTGTTTGAGTACATCCAGGTCATTAAAATTCACTTGACAAGGTAGATGACTATTAATTTTTAATAGAAAACATAATTTAGAGTTGAATAATTATAATGTACTGTGCTTGTATAATCAGAAATACCCTTTCGCATCTAAAGGGTTTTGCTATACTTTGCTTTACAGTTAAACCAAATTTCATGAGATGGTCACTTTTTTTAATGTTACGGATATATCTTTGGGTGATCAAATCATTTGATCAGGCATATAATCATATAGTAATTCACGACAGATAAGATGCCAATCATTTTATTTTTCCGATTTATACAACATAATCATCGGATATTGGACCACATCTCACAGCTTATCAACTTTCTTGGCCTATACAGAATAACAACACTAGACGATTTAAGCTAAAATCGACCCATTTTTTCTAATTGTAAACAATTTATTGAAACCTTATATTCAAGATTAGGTTATAGTATTAGAGCAACTTATTTCTTTTCCAACTCATGGGAGATTGTAGTCTGATACCGGTTTGTATCTCAAAATTTATCAACTAATCTGGCCTGTACAGAATTAGAAATCTAGCATCGTGATGAACGCTAAAATGCAAATTATTCGAAATTTATATTAAATTATCAAGGAATTACAACTCAAAGCCCTAACCCTAACCCTAAAATTAGGGTATAGGTTTAAAAAAATTCATTTCATTCCCTTTTATACAAGCTCATAATATAGATATTGGACTATGTCTCACAATTTATTAACTTCTCTGATTCATACCGAATGACAGATCTGGTCGACACACGCTAAGGTACATATTTTCTAATTGTAAATAAGTTATTAAAGTGTATTATTCAGTATTAAATGGGATCAATCCAAATTAGATTATAGTGCTAGAGCAACTCATTTCAGTCCCAACTCATGTAAGATTGTAGTCTGATATTGGACTGCACCTCTAGTGTATAACTAATTTGACCTATACAGGATTACAGATCTAGTTGATGCACGGTAAGGTTCACGTTTTCTAATTACAAACGAGTTATTGAAAAAGCATTATGTATTTTTAAGTAAGACCAATCCAAATTAGATTGTAGGATTAGAGCAACTCATTTCATTCCTTTGGTGAATGGGTTCTTAAGCCTACTGTAATTAGCTGAAGCTGTTACAGTTCCCCGACTTATTATTGACTACTCTGACCTATACAAATTGCAGATGTGGTCGATACAAGTTAAAGTATACATATATATATACATTTCTCAGTTGTAAATAAGCCATTATAAATTTCAATTTAATATCAAGCTATAAGCAATCAAAATCAGGTCATAGCCTTAGAAAAACCCATTTCATTCTCCAATTTGTGCGAGATTACAATCTGATATAGGAGAATATCTCACAATGCATTAACTTCCCCCAACCTATTCAGAATGATAGATCTAATCGACGAATACTAATAGTGCACATTTTATTTTCTAATTGCAAATAAGTTATTAAAAGTTATCGTAAATAGCACCCAATACCAATCAAAATTAGGCTGGAGATTTGAAGCACTGTTGCAATATTCTGTGAGTGTAGGGAACTTCCATTATGGAATTGTAATAAAATTCACAGTAATTTAAACGTTGTTAGATAATAATAGGCTATTTTATTACGTTTGTTGGGAGATCAGTGTCAAGACCAGAGATAGAGGAACTAGACTATAATAAGTAAAAACTTGGCTTATATACAACGATCTTATGCATTAGTGATTCGTAGTACACATTGCATATTATACATTAGTGATTATCTTATTAGATAAGGTTGCTGACGTTAACACAATTAAGATGAGGTCTCTTTACTAATAGAAATCCTTCTCTTCTGTACTGACGTTGGTAACTATTCTTATCAATTAATGTTACAGAAATACTTTAGCATAGGATTAACTAGTAGTCATTACACTAATTTGGACCACATAACTTTTCAAGCCTGAAATGATCATCATTTTGCCTTCACTGTTTAAAATTATGCAGCTATACTTATAATTGAGGATGCTGAATATTGATTGACTTTTGCGTCAGTTCTTATATGATTACACAACTTGACGTTTCACAAAGCAGTACACCTAGTCTGTTCAGATTATATTTGAAATAGCTTTTGTCTGTCTGCGCCTAACTAGGGCACTAAAATACAGGATATAGGGATGGTTTGTGCCATGATTTAGGTAAGACACGCTGTTAATCAGTTGAGTAACATCGTTTAGAATGGTGTACTTATTGATTATATAACCCTCACACATAGAATCCGACGCGCGTCATAATCTCAACCAATGAATTATAAGTATTGAAGAAATTCGGTATTGTATCCCTCGGCAATTCATCATTGCTGCAGCTTTACCTACTTACATGACTACCTCATCTTAAAATTGGACATTCGTATAAAAGATAGATAGAAGGTACTAAAGCTTGTCCAACACAAACACAGCAATATATATACATATAAATGAACAAAATTTATTGCTTTGCGTGTCTACAATATACTTTCAAAAACCTAACGCTAGTCCATGACACGCTAACCGATATTTCGAAATAGTAGTCAAAACAAGTCATAACTACGCCATCTTCATGTCTATGCATTATCTAGATTAGTGCAAAAGTCGACTATCATCATATTTATGTCAATAACAGAATAACAGATTCAAATCAATAAATCCTAACATTGACCTATTTATCAGCTATGCAACTGTAGTAAACTATAATTCAAAATTCTTCAAATGAGTATATCAGTTATTAACTTAGATATTAGCTTATCATTAGTTTTCTAAGTTACTGAGTAAGTCCTAAATTAGCGAATTATTCATTGCTAATTACAACCTGATCCAAAGCATTATAGGCGGCAATAACTTCGTCTCTGTGAAACGAAAAGAGATATTATACGGTTTATTTGAGGCTAATGAATAAATATTTAATTAATCACCTTAAGACTCAAAATCAATAACACACTCCTTATTCAACTTTATGACTAAACCATGCAACAACAATCACCTTGCATTGACTCGCAGCCACTTTATTACGACACCAGAATTCGGAGCCGAGAAGACACAAATTCATTTTTCGTACAGCAACCTGGCTACTACTACAAGCTCCAAGCAGCTTATACAATAATAGCACATAGTCATGCATTATCAAAATCACAATCAGATGAAAAAACACTTAGAAACGTAATAATACATACCTTGCATACGCTGGAAGGCTTAACGGAAGAGTTAACCAATTGGAAAACAGACTTTGTGTATTTATCCACAAAACTGACACACTATTCGGAACCCAGTTCATAAAAGTTAAAAAACCTGCATGATTAGATAAAATAACGAAATCTATTGCTTGAGCCGTATCTTTACAATAAGATATACGTACATCAGTTCTCATGCTTCCAGATGGAAAGATATAGCACAAAGTGGCCAAATCGTTGTAGATCGTATTCTAATTTAAATTCAAAGATTAAACAATTTTAGCATCAAGTCTATTCTGTAAATGTTGCATTTTAATGTTAAAAGCTGAGATCTTTTACCTCTGTTTGATTAATTTTGATAAGGCCCTCGACATAGTCTACAATAGTTTCACAGAAACTACACACTTCGGTGGCCTCGAAAGCGGTATGCACGGACGTACTGGCAGTTAATGTTGTTGATGCTAGATAGAAAAAGTGGTAAAAGGAATTTTATCAGCAGACAGATGCATTATCGAGTAAAAAGTTAGCCAAAATGCCAATTTAGTGATATTGTTCTAAGAAAGATTATGCTATTAAAGCGCATGTCCGTGCGATTTTCTTCAGGAATTTTTTATTGTAATCATTTCTAAACACTTTACATGAAGGTACAGTATGAGAATTGAACGAAGGAATTAGAATCATGACCTAAGCATTACTTCAGTTATCGAACGCGAGCTATTGTGAATAATACGAAATACTTGTGTGGTTAACATACGCATATAAAACTAAAAGTAAGAATACCATACATAAGTTGTTTAACGTTTAGGTGTAAATACAGTACGTGAAACTTATTTCTTGCAAATAGAATTATCACAATAACACGCTACAATTTCTTACAATATCCGGCAAGAAACAATCAAAATTACTTAAAAATAGATTAACAAGATATTAATGAAGTACAGTATAATCTAGGTACAACAGGCTTTAAAAGCTAAATCAAGATTTACCGCATTGACGTTGTTTCTGTGATTTAAATTGAAAAAAGAAATCCAATGTTAGTCATCTCTTAGCGAATTTCATCGTGCAGTTATTGATCATCAAACAAGTTTGTAAAATAAATTACCTTGCAATAAACTGCCGCAGTTTTGGTTCCGCACCAAAATTTAGGACCCATGCGACATACATTTAATTTTTTGGTTGCCATTTCAGAGCTGTTACAAATACCAAGCAACTATATCCATAGTTATCATTGCAAAATAAGGTTAATCAATGGTATAGCATGCAGAATATTACTCGCAGTACAGATTTCCTTCGGAATTACCTTGCAAACGCTAGATGGGGCAATGTCTGAGTTGACCAATTTGATAGCAGCTTTTGCGTATTTTTCGACGAAATTGTCGCACTGAAATAGCAGAAAATGCAATGGTTTAGTCTGATTTACAAGTGAGACGTACAGTCGTACATATTATTTTAATCAACGAGTCAAATTCTACAACATACATCAGTTCGTAATACTCCAGTAGGTACAACGGTGCACAAGTTAACTAAAGCGTCGTAGATTTCAGTCTAAAGGAACGAAAATGGAATTTAGTCAATAAGGCGAAATAATGTGCTTAGAAGAGCAAATTAATCATTGACGCAGCATAAAGGACTTGGTAGTAGTACCTCAGTTTTGTTAATCTTGAGCAGGCCTTCAATATATGTAACTCCAGTTTCACAGAAAACACATAGGCCGGATACAAGTTGTGTAGGGGCTGGGACACGAACGTCTACAGAAGCCATAAGTAGTGTTCAAATGAAAAGTATTTAGTGCATAAGCAGGTAGATTACTACTACAATAAGGGTTCAATTGAAAATTCCTTACCATCATTAGTAAGTACAGATTTTGGGCAAAGCTTTAAGTAGTAAGCGCAGACTTGATCCGCTGGCAAATATTGCAACAAAGCTTGCAAGATTGGTGGTCCAAACTGATTGATATAGCTTTGACACTATCATATTGAAACTTGTTAGACTACGGTAAAATTGCCATGGCTATTTCGTACATGGTTGAATTATAGGAATGTACTATACCTCTGTACTAAGATCACCAGGAAGATATTTACATAAGCTATCCGCATATGAGATAATCTTATTCTGCATGATACGTATAAAGGAATAAAATAGTGTTAGCAAGTATTATTTTAATGTTATTTCGAACACAGAGACAGTGATTCCATGTAGGGTACCTCGGTGTTTTTATTGCCCAAAGCAGAGTCGAGTTCACTAACGATAACGGAGCAAGCAATGCATTCTAATGAATCCTGAATAAGATGTGTGAAAAGATCAATTCAACATAGCTCCTATTCGATTTTAATGTTCTATACAATAAAGTGCTGGATTGAAGCGCAAGTCCAATTAACAGTAAATTATTAATACTTACGGAACTGGCAGCTTGTGTCTTTGCTGGAAGTTTGACATTTCTCACAGCACCAGGCGCTAAAATGTTTTCAATGCTAGCTGGAACTTTTACGTTTCTCTGAGCACCAGGGGCTAAAATGCTTTCTATGCTAGGTTGTTTTTTTACGTTTCTCGCTGCACCAGGAGCTAAAATGCTTTCAATGCCAGGTGAAGTTTTTACGTTTCTCACAGCACCCGGAGCTAAAATACTCTCAATTTTACCAGAGGTTAAGATGTTTCTGATGGCACCAGGAGCTAATAAGTTCTGCAGATTGATTAGACCCTCACTACTGCTAGCGGAGCATAAATTGACTAACGTACACAGTTGCTTTGGTTTCTATAAAGATTCATTGGTATGATCAACTCGTTACTATCATCATCGTAACATCCATTTCAAACTATGGATGGATAACAATATCTGATTACTACTTACAAGCATTTTCAGTGCGTATTGGATAAAAGGGGGTACATACTTTGTAGCAAAAGTCTTGCACTGTAAAATGATAAGATCAAGTTAGACTTTTCCGGCAAGGATAATACTGCTAAAAGTATAATTCAACATTTTATACCCCTTTTTCAGCCTCGCCACCGATGGCGGTACAAAGACCATTGAGAAGCTGAGCAATTTCTTTCTGTAAATAATTAGAACGGAGTTGGATCCGTTTGGTTAGCGCTAAGTAAAAGTGGGCCAATGGTAGGCAAGTGCGAAATGAAGTGTACCTGAGCTCCACTGGAGTTGGCATGCTTAATAAAATTTGACACGGCACTTTCGCATAGATCACATTCTATACCATTACTTTTCTACGAGTAATAGAAGAAAACGAGTTTCATAGTTGCAATCAAACACCATTCATCCCATTGATTGCTAAGGCATGAAGTAATACATCATTCTATTCATGTTATTTTGGTATACACTTAGCAGAAAATGTTCAAGCAAGCATTGACCTAATTTGACTAGCATGAAAATACGAGTGCGATATGGTAGAATAAGACTACAGTAGTCACTAGCAAATGAAAAATAGACTGGTCGTTGCTGTATTTGAGAGGAAATTTGCGACACATAGTTTGATGTAGGGTGGTAGAGAAAATAATCCTTGAAACTTGGAACTTGACGGTAATAGGAAATAACATGATCTAAGGCAAAACATGTCGAGCATCGAATCTCATGTCCAATAGCAAGTTGTCCAAACTACATTGAATAACGAGCGTCCTGTTTCAACTTGTCTACAGTCAAATTCGTACTTTTACTGGCGTGAAAAATGAAGTTAATACAATCTTCTATTCAAGTAGGAATACACAACATTGATATTTCACACCCAAGATGGCAGGGGTTAATTTCTTCTCGCTGTCAACTATTTTATTAGCCAACTGAACTGACAACGATGGTCAGGAATGGAGTAGAGAGTCATTCCATCAAAAGACACAGATGATGAAAAGAAATTGTACTCTATTGTAGTGATGATTGGTGGAAGAGTCTACACTCTTTGGCGTATCAATATAGATGATTGGATAGCATGAAAAGTAGTTTATCCTCGATTTATCAGAAGCGATCGATGCTTGCATGCAATGGACAACAAGTCAAAACAAGATTAAATTTTGGCTTACCAATTTCTTACTCCAAACATTCTTCATACAGTGATCTAAGGCATCACATTCGACCGCTGTCTTGGCCGATTGGCACCAATAAGATGGGCCCCAAGTACATGATTGACCACCAAGGATGTGCTTGGCGTGGATTACGCTACAAACTATGGTAAAAGATCAATCCTCAAGTCAATTGATTTTACAAAATTTGTTCCAACTTCTCCATGACAAAGGTCGTCCAGCCTACACAAGCCTACTCTACCATTCTCAGTTAGCATTTTCGACCCCTTTTCTCCGCTCCACTCCTCACTATTTCACCCATATCAATGATCAGACTACTTCAAGACAACACCCTGAAGAGGAGTGGAGCTTCATTGAATCGATTTAATCGCTAGATCATTTACTATTTCTTACCGGAAAGAAGGAAGAAAACAGTTGCCAATTTGGACGCCATGGCCAAATTGTTTTGATTTACCGAGTTATGGACTCGCCGTTGATTTGACGTCAGTCTTCACTGAACGTGAGATTGGTACCGATCCGATCCGGAACAATACCAGTACGCTACTGGTATAATACTGCTATTCTAGCGTACAGTGTACAGTGCACAGTACGAACAGTCGGTTTTCCTGGGCCTGGACTGTAGTCTACTCATAGTGACGTCATTCGGTCCGGTATTACTGTACAGTGTATAGTACTGTACTGTACTGTACAGTACAGTGTACAGTACACTGCCTGCCGGACCCCGCTGATAGGTCTACAGTACTGAGTTCGCATGAGAATGAAGCGAACAAAAGGTCACCTGACGATCATCACCTTGCATTACAGTACGGTACGCTACAGTACAATACTAAACTATACTGTAGAGTTTTTCTTAGCTCTGCTCTATCAATTCTTATAACGGCATGTTTATGAGAGCTTCTTCTTTCCACACATAACAATTTTGATGAATTTCGTTCTCAAAATGTCGCAAAACATTAGTGTTGATTTCTAAGAAGAGGATGACGCTGTACGTACTAAACGGTTTAAACCCACAGGATCATTCGCTGTAGCAACTGTCCATCAGGAATGATGGATTAGTACAGTACAGTACAGTACTGTACATAGTGTACACTGTACAGTACAGTACTGTACTGTACTGTAATATAATTAAGAATTCATTAAATTATTAGATAATTGTAATTAATGAGTCTTATTCTATGATAATCAAGATTTCATTAATTAGATAATTCTAATTAAGGCTGTAAGGTGGTAGAGCTAGATGAAAGGAGGACCTACTGTAGATAGATGCCTTGCTATGGACCCCTCGACGGACCCTTACAAGCACCACAAGGATTAACAGAAAGGTTTATCCATTACAAGACAGCCTGAAATGTTGCTCGAACAGCTTTTGGTGTATTAATCAACTAACTGGATACTAGGATTTTCTGTTGATAATCCATGAAAAACCTCTAGTATTGGATAAATAACAAAATGGACTATTTATATAAACTATACTGTACTTCGTCCACGATGGCATTCAGGCACCAGTCTTCATGCTACCAGATAGAAAGTAGAATAGAAGGAGACTCAGTTGTGGTACATAATTATGACCAATTATAAATTACAATCGCATAATCGGGGTGAACATGAAGTTCATGCAGTTAATTAAACAATTATTGCATGCATACAATTTAGAGTAGCCTGATTTTCAGGCAGGCTCTCCGCGATTTTCGCTATTTGTAGAGCATAAAAAACAAATACGAAATTTAAACCATAGCAAATGGGTAAACCTCCCCTATTCTCCAAATTGTTGTATCTTTACTATTTGTATTCTATATCACCGAAACTATTAAGAATAGCCTATCTGAAGCATTTCATGCACAAATACCAACTACCTTTGCATGCGACAATTCTCATACTTCCTGAAAGGAAGATGCAACTGTTAGGAATCCGTTTGTTGTACATACTACAGCATGCGTGCATCATAAGAGTAGTTTACTCTTTTAAATATTTTACAGACAGACTTTTTCTCCACAGTTTTCGGTTGGCGTGTAGCATTAAACAGATAACATTTGAAATCTTTTGAAAATGGGTTAACCTTACCTTTATTTTCTAAATTTTTGTATTTTCACTGTATTCTAAGCTAACCGAAACCATGGAGGAATGCCTATCTGAAGCATTTCAGAAAACGAACTTCCATTTTGTGCACCAGTTCTCATCTATCCAGATGGAACAGAAAGTGATCTACAGTACTTGTACAGTATATGCCATTATCAATCATAAATTAAAATCCAAAAATAATTGGAAGCATGAAGTTTACGCTGTTAATCAACGATGCCATCCGTGCATCAGTACTCGTCCTCTGGGACAGAAAACTCGAATAAAAAGGGATCTATTTGCTATCTATTTCATTACCAACTACAAATTAAAATCAAGTAACAATTTGATGCGAGGCTTTATGCTAAAAGTGATGAATTGAATATGAAAATTGAGCAATTATTTTACCTTAGTGGCCACGACTGCTTTTCTATGGTGTACTGACAGCTCATAGTTGTGATGGTAAACAGATTGAGTAATAGAATAAGTAAATTAATCATACAAGAGGTTTGCCAAAAATGCTCATTGACTGCTGTATCATCTCCTTCTAAGAATAATGCTATCAAAGTGTATTTGGAGCACTTTTCCAAGAATTTGGTATTGTAAATAATTGCAATTAGTTTTACTTCATGAAGGCTCAATATCATAATTCCATGGTAATTTCATTGCTAAAGTGAAGGAAATGAAGTATCATGTAAATTGTTCTTTCGATTGTGGAAAACTAACTAATACGGTAACATGTTATAATATTGCTATATAATTGACATGGACGTATTCGAATGGTCAATGCTAAGACAGTAATTTATTTCAAATTTAGACTTCAGTTGAGCACATGAAAGATTTCGGTAGTTAAGTAGAAATAGGATTATCTTGACTGGGAGATGCTACAAATAAGTTTATCATCAGTTATAAGAACAGCCGGAAATGGCTTAAAAAAAGAGCTTCATAAGATTCTCATTAAGACGGACGAACCGAATAATCTAGGTACAGGAGGACTAGAAGAAGTAATTTAAAATTGACCACACTGACGTTGTTTCTGCGATTCAAATTGAACAAGAAATGAAAGTGCAATTAGCCATTTCTAAAATAGAGCTCATCGATAATTTGATCATACTTATAACATTCATGGACCATGAACTAATTCAATCATCATCAAACTAATGTATAAAATAATACCTTGCAGTAAAGGGCCGCAGTTTTGCTCCCGCACCAAAATTTATAACCAAATCGACAAACATCCAATTTATGGAGTGCCATTTCAGACTTTTGACAGAGGTCAAACTCCTACATCCGTCGTTATTTGAAATAAGATAAGGTTAATTCATGTGTAGAGATACATTTCCTATTTGATTGTATTAATAGCTCTATTTGATAGAGTTAAGCTTCTAAAAATAGATATGATCGTGATGCAAATATTACATAATGTCTAATTATTATACTAGAAATTGTTGATGACAAATATTAGCCGCTTCTAAAAGTAGAGTAAAATAGATCGATGTGAATCGATGGACTATAATTGTGAAGATGCTTGGCAACTTTAAGGAATTGGACAATCATAGAAGGGTAATGATATTTGAAGCGGATTAAATTTGTACTGTAAAACATATTGATGATATATTTAAGCAATTTGTATTAAATCTATTTTATATATAAGCTATTTAAGAAAAAATTTGCTGTTTAATGATTCAAGTCTGATAGTAGGCAACTTTGCTGCTGTTAATAAATTTAACGAAACGCATTAAAGAACTGCAGAGATAAGCTTAGAGTAGACTTCAGTGTATTTCGCTTCTTTTAGCGCAGAATACTTTAGATTCGATTCTTGTTCTTGTTAATTATTACTCTACTACTATTCTCAATACTGCAACAAAAGCCTTTTTAGAAATTCTATCTATCTGAGACAATTATTCTATGAGATTTAGTTAGACTAGATTAGACAGAATCGTTGAGAGATACTTTCGTTACACCTTGGTATGTTTTAGAGGAGTTAGGATTTCCGGATAAAATTACCTTGCAAACTCCCAGAGGGGCAATACCGGAAGTGATCATCCTGATTGCAGCTGTTCCATGTTTTTCAACGAAATTATCGCACTAAAATGAATATCCATTGACGAAAAATGCAGCCATTGAATCGAACTGATAGTAGAGATAGGTGAAATAGCTTACTCAAATAGCAATCTGAATTCTACAACATACATCAGCTTGTAACATTCCATAAGGCACAGCGCTGCAGAGCTTGACTAAGGCATTGTATATATCAGTCTAAAGTTAAAAGAATAGAGCAAAGTGTTTATTAAAGTAAAATAAGCATAGAGAGAAAGGCAATGCATCATTCAGGCTATATCAAAAAGGACTTGGCCAGTACCTTCGTTTGATTTATTCGGAGTAGACCGTCAATATACATCACTCCAGCTTCACAGAAAACGCACGGCCCAGATACATGTTGTGCAGGAACACTCATCTCTACAGATTAAAGCCACATTAAAAAGAAATCAATTTAGTCGGCAGGAAGGCAAAGTACTACAGATTGCATTGACGATCAATATCCTGATTGACAAGTTGCTTACCATGAGAATCGAGTGAGGATTTCGGGCAGAAGTTTAGGTAAGAGCCACAGACTTTATTGGCTGGCAAAGTTTGTAATAAAGCTTGCAAGACTACAGGCCCAAAGAGCTTGACATACTTTTCGCACTACCAAATTCAATGAATAGGGTAAATTCAAATTTATTCGATATTGCACAAGGCCAAATTACATAGGTTAATATCTCAAATGTGGCTAATGGATGAAACACAAATTGACTACTTACCTTTTTACTAGAATCTCCAGGAAGATATTTGCATAATTGGTCCACAAATGAGATAATGTTTTGCTACATTTACATAGAAAGGAAATAGAACAACACCAGCAACGATGACACAAATTTTATTCCTTGAAGATTCTTAGTACATAGGTGATGGCTCTATGCGAACTACCTCAGTGTTTTTATTTCTTAAATAACGTTCGACTTCATCAACAACTACGGAGCAAACGATGCATTCTAAGGAATTCTAAATAAGATAAGGTGACAAACATTAATCCAACATAGCTCATGATGGAATATTGGTACCATCCACTGTAAAATTGAAGAATAAGTTTAATGGGCTATGAATAATTATATTGGGATACGTACAGCACTACCAGCCAGCGTTTTTGCTGGCTGCTTGACATCACTCACAAGACCTGGTGCTAAGATGTTCCCAATTTGATCAGAAGCTAAGATAGATCGAATGGCATCGGATCCTAATAATTGTTGCAGATCGATTTGATCCTCGATATCCCCAGTGGAACATAACTGGCCCAGTTTACATAATTGTTCCGGGTTCTGTATATGACGTAGAGATAGTTTGGTATGATCGATTAATTACAGTAATATGCTATCTTAAGTTAAGCTCTAAATGATTATAAATCGCTAAAGGAACCTATTTTAAATAGGAATCGATTGGTATGATTAATAAACTATCATACTGAGCTATCTTAACTAAAGTTCTGGCAGATTATCAATTGCTAAAAGAGCGTATTTGCTCAGGTTTCGAAACTACAGTCAAATGGATAAGATCAATTTAGTAATGACTATCATAACGCAAGTTCTATCGAAGCAGAAATGACTGAAGGCGCATCTTTACTCTGCTTAACAGGCTAAATTCGACTGAGATCGATTAATAGCAGGATAAAATTCCGTAATAAATATCTAAACTTAAGCTAAGTTCTAGCAGAGCAGAAACTACAGAAGACACATCCTTGCTGCGCTTTACAGATTGGACCAGACAGAGATCCATTAGGTATGATCAATTTCGTAATGTCTATCTAAACATAAGCTCTAGCAAAGCAGAAATTGCTTTAGACACATTCTTGCTTCACTTTCCTGACTACACTAGACAGAGATCGATTGGGTATGTTCAATTTCGTAATGACTATCTTAACTGAAGTTCTAGCAGAATAGAAATCGCTAAAGGCACATCCTTGCTGTGCTTTGTAAACAGAAATGGATTGGTATAATCAATATACTACGGTCTATAGCCTTAGCTGAGCAGGAAGTAAGTTTAGCATACTCAGTTGCTCTGATTTCGATACAGCCTTGGATTAGTATAATATTATATCTATCATCATGATCTACTAACTACTCTTTTAAGTTATAGCAGAGCAAAAAGGACTAAACGTACAGACAGTACTTAGTCCGATTTCTAAACAGAGATTAATTGGTATGATAAATTCATTACGAATAGAATATACTGTAAATTTAAAAAGTAGATCAACCAATTAAGTTCTCTGATCTGAAAGTCTAGATGTAATTACTTACAAATTTTTTTGAAGCATACTTGATTAATAGTGGCACAAGCTTTGTAAGCTTCTTGCACTGTAAAATGGTGAGTAGACCGCAATGATTTTTCGGCGAGATGATATAGCTAATGCATATTAATTGAGTGATTTACCTCTTGTTGAGTATCGCCACCGATGGCTGCGCAAAGACCATTGAAAAATTGAACAATTTGTTTCTGTATACCAATTACAACGGGAATGGATTGGGCAGTTAGCGCTAAGCAACGTTAGCTAAATCGTGATAAGAGCAAAAATGAAGCTACCTCAGTATTATCCTTGTTCATATATTGAATCAATTTCCCCACGGCACTTTTGCATATATCGCACTTAAAGTTATTACTTTCCTAGGAGTCAAAGAGAACAAACCTTCGTCATTAAAATTTAACCAAATGGATGTCAATGAATTATTGTGCTATTCTTTCTATCTACATTATCTAACGTAGTTGTAGGGGATGGATATAATAATAATTTGTTTTGAGCTCATCCATCATGGATTGGTATTTTAAAAATGGCTAAATATTGAGTTAATGTAGTCATGAATTAAACAAGTTGTTTTACTAGTGGTACTCTTTGTAAAAGAAACAAGGCATTGATAGAATCAATAGTTCTAGCTGTAATCCATGGCCTAAATCGATACAACTCCTCCTAGTGGTAGGAAATGTAAGCCTATCACGCTATGGCTTCAGTGATGGTCGTACTATAGTCAACTTTTTCTATTTCCACTGTCAATTTAGGATGCTAATTACCTTTCCATCCAATTTTCACACTGATAGAACTAGAGGGCTATTGCAGCCTTGAAAGAGACTATTGGTGACAAGATCAAGCGCAATCAATCATTATTTTTAAAGATTGAAAGGATTAAACAATTAGTACATGGGCCTCTAATGGAGCTATTTTACTGCGAGTTCAACTACAGTATATCAAATTGAGAAAAGAATGATATAATACAGCAATAGCCATGACTACTTTTACATTTTCGACACGCATCGTTAGGAAGAATACGGTAGAAAACAGTTCATAGTGGCCGTTTAAATGGGATTCAAAATACTTTTAACTTTCTATACCGCTGCTAATTTATTTCTCAGAAGGAATCGATGAAAGCCTCCTGAAAATCTTTCGTTAAATCTATTGTCAGTAATGGTAAGATCGAATTTTAATTACCGAATTTTGGTTAGAAAGAATTTGCTTGGCTTCAAGGAGGCTACAAGCTGTAGAAGAAAATTTCCATGTCAATGTTACAAATTACCTCTTTGCAACGTTCGTCTATCCCATATCATCTCCAAAGAAACAAAGTTTCACCCACTTTTTCTCTACTCTATTACTATTTCATCCAATTTAATTTCAAAAACTAGAAGAGAATTGCTCTTCTCTACTATATTACCATTCTATTCATATGCAGTAATTATCAAAATCTACAAGAGTATCACTTTTTCCGGACTATATTAACTACATTCTTAACAATTATCCAAAACTAGAAAAGATTCGCTTTTTCCTGCTACTATATGACTCATTAATTATCTACCTTATTATATCTATATCAATCATCGAAAACTAGAAGAGAATCTTTTTCATCTACTTGAGAATCCCTTTTATCTACTATATTACGTCCATATCAATTAGTGAAAACTAGCAGAGAATCCCCTTTATCTACTTATTGTATCTACAGTATACTAATTAATTAATGATCGTAAACTAGTAGAGAATCATTTTTCTCTACCTTATTAAGTCCATATCAATTATCGAAAATTCGAAGAGAATCACTTTTCCCTACCATACTACATCCATATCAATTAATAATCAAAAACTGGAAAGACAATCACTTCTGTCTACCGTGTACGTATATAGTATCCATATCATTTATCGAAAACTACAAGAGAATCACTGTTATCTACCGTATTATATATATCCATTTCGGCTATCGAAAAGAAGAAGAAAATCTTTCTTCTACTACATTACATGTAATCATCGACAACTAGAAAAAATTCACTTTTTCTCGACTATGTTACTATTTCAGTAATATGAATTATCAACAACGAGAGGATATAAACAGTCAAAAACTAGAAGAGTATCACTTTTTCTCTACTTTATTACATATATATCAATTATCGAACGCTAGAAGGGAATCACTTTTGTCTACTATATTACTAAGAGTATTCCATCCTTGTCGGTTTTATGCAACTTATCAAACAATAGAAGAGGATTGATTTAAAGCTAGCGTATAACTGCACTGATTGGATTGAATTACATGATAGTATATTTTCTCACCACAAATGATCAAAAAAATGAGTCCCAGTTTAGTCGCCATTGTCAAATTACTTTAAATATTGAGTAGTTCGCCGTTTAGATAGATTTGAGCTTGAGTTACTTTGTTCCCTAAATATATAGGAAAAACTTATATATGTTGTCTAAAAACAAATATAGTATTGCTTATACTGGATAGGTATGTATATATACCTATTAGAACTAATTAATTTTTAATTTTTATGATATTATTGATCAGCTGACACTAAATTTCCGATGAATAAATCTGCATCAGAAAACATCTAAATACAAATGCAAGCTTGCTTATTTTTCTAAATTCTTCGACGCATAAATTAGAGTAAATGTTGCATTGTTATTTTAATTCGAATACTTTCAGTTAGGATATGATCCATTCTGTGAACCAATCAATTGCACAATAAATCTTAATACAAATGCACCATTGCTTGCCTTTCAGGGTTCTGATTTTCGAATCAGCACTAACTTTTGTACTTGTTACTGATTAATCGACTGATATTAAATTTCCAATGAATAAATTGTCATCAGAATACCTCTAAATATTAATACAATCTGTTAATTTTCGGCCATCATCAAACGTATAATTAAGTATTAAACTTTATATTGTTATTCAATGTCAATACTTTCAGTTTACTGGAAAAGATAATAAAGCTTTGATGAATAAATCAGTTACAGATTCAATCTGAATACAAACATAGCCTTTCTTGCGTTTGGTAGGCATTTAGCACATGACGTACTACTACATTTTATACTTTTATCGGTCAGATACTGAATTTTTGATGAATAAAATCAACAGCAGAATATTCGTATCTAAATACGAATGCAGGGTTGATTACTTTTTGAAGTCCATCTCACTTATAAATCAGTTATAACTTATGAGTATGGATGGCACTGTTTTTGAAGACTAGTACGGCTCTTGAGATCTGAAGACAAGGTAGTAAAGTGATTCATCGCTTTTATGCAACTGGTTGGTTAACCCCTATCCGCTTATTCTGAAATTTCTCATAAATCAATCAATATCACAATAACTTGCAATACAATATAGATTTGTGTCCTTTATGCAACCATTGGAGTCATGAATAAGTTCAAATCTTTGTATTGTTATTGAATGTAAAATACTTACAATTAAATGAATTTTAATTTAATTGTAATTTGATGAGACAGTTTTTTTTCCCAATGAAGTTCATAAAGGTTAACGTAATGCAGTCATTTATGATTAGATTTTAGCTGGCTAACACACGCCTAATTTCTGCTGCTTTATCTACAGTTAATGCGATGCTTGGTTTTTCTTTTTAAATGTACCATTTCATTTGCTTAAAATTGAGCCAATGCGTAGGCCATATTTACTTAAAAATTGTTGAGCTAATAATATTAGAATTTGACTCACTAGAGTTTCTTAAGAAACACTATGCTGCGTCGCAATTTCTCATAAATTAGAATTACTTTTGTTTTGCTAATAATGGAAATACTTTCAGTCTAATGGTAAGTTGATGATTTTTTCATTTTCCGATATGGTATTTTAAAGTTAATACGTATACATTGTGCAACAGCATCACGGCAGTAAATAACTAAAAATTATAGGATATTTTTTCCTCTCCTTTCATTCAATCAGGGATTTAACTACTGTACTAATCACACCGTACTGCATTATATTAAATATCATTACTATTGTTTGCCAGCCCCCTCCCTACAGTTGGCCACGTTACTAGGGATTACGATAAAGGCTATATTAGCATAAGACACAAACATAATAGAGCGATAGGACCTCAAACCGATCCTCATATTAAAGGAATTATGCGTTGAAGAAATTTCAGAATAATATACATCACAATATTTAAATATATGAATATGGAGTAACTTTTGCTTAGCAGCTATAACATAATTTCCAAAAGTCAACTGTCTGCGAAAATATTGATATTAATTCATCTACGACTTCTTGTTTGTTTTCAACAGATCCTTACACAGTTTAATATTATAATCTATCAGCTGATAATTAATTAATATTCACGAAAGTTTACTAAAAACTGGTAGGCTTTTCAATAAAGTTTGGATTAAAATATTCACTGCGCAGCGTAATATATATATTTATTTATACATGGAAAGGTACAGGATTGTCCTTGGTGAGGATATTTAATTACATTATAAGACAGATGTTATTTCAATCATCGTAAATGCCTTACGTTATGCAAAGCCGTGAGTTTACCGCTTGAGTTAAATTCCTAATTAAGTATGGAATTACTAATATACGCTACAGTAGGCTATTATATATTCGTATTTTTTTCGATTGGTCGCTCGTGCCCAGCATAATATGGTAATTTAATGCTTGTGCTTAGCGTGTTGAAGCAATACTACTATCATTACTAAATAGTTCATACGCTAGGATATATTAGCGTATGCATTAAGTAAATCGGGAGTTAACTTGTTAATAATTTGATGTGAATACAGTTACGATTGGTTTTATTCTAATAAAGCTTAATTCAGGACTTACGAGAAAATCCAGTTAGTCTGATTTATTGTGGACCCTCTAAAATTAGCTTTACTATAGCTAACTATTAATGATCCTTGCTTTATCAGTACAATTAATTATGCTCCTGCTTTATCTACACTGCCTATTTTAATGTAGCCCGTATATATTCTAAAATATATGGAAATGTCGCAATCAGCAATTGGCAAGGTCAATAACCTAAAAGTTTGGATTTAATACGCTAAGGCACTCTATCTACTAGACTATACTGTAATAGACCAGATATCAACTACAATAGGCATATTGTAAACCACTTTTATAACAGAAATTAGTCCTGATTTCCAAGAAAGACTGCAGAGTTCACAGTTTTGCGATACAACGTCAAGCATAATGAGCCGCAAAGCAATCATTACTCTATTGATTAATACTGAGTAAACTACAATTCCATATAGTAAGCCATTACACTGCCCTGGACTATATTAATTTGCTGATGCTATTTACTCGAACAACATTATCAATTAGTAAGGCTAAATTAATCTAAAGCCTTCATTAGACAGTAGAAGATATTAGCTATATATTACAGAAAAACAGCAATAGCCATCCTGAATGAGACGTTTTGCTATAATAATTGCCAAGACAAGCCCCCAAAAAATTAGAAGGCCGAATAACAAATTATTGTACTCGTATATGCGCAGTTATTGGCAATACTAGAATTGATGTACTGAGCTGGTATATAATATAAAAACATACCGGTATATAGTTTAATGATAGTTTTATCGAAATATACATTTTTGAGTTACTTTTCTATAACCTTAGAAAATTTTTGAAATCTATTGGCAGAGGAAGTTAATTTTGATAAACTATTATTTGTGCCATGATTGCAATCATTTTTTTTTAGAGTCTGTCAATTGCAATAGTCTTGATTTACATTTATGTATTGAAAAATATTTGATATATGCTCAAATACTATTTTATATCAGGCTAGCTTTCCTGAAGATTTATCTAGGCTCATCTGTGCTTAAATTGCGTTATACGCTCGTATGTCTGTTGCATATCTAATTTCATCAATGAATAAATGATAAACAAAATTACTACTTAAATGAACGGAGTAGTGTTCAATTCCATTTTAATGCGGCTTATATTTCTTCGATGTTCACATTAGATGTAGACGGCCTAGTTAAAGACACGCATGGTGCTTTACTTTTATATTTTGCATAATCAGTCTAAATTATTAGCGATATTTCTTAGATGTAATACCATAGCATCCACTAAGAATAATATATGCAAAATAATGCGTTGCTAAACTATAATCTACTTTATTCCATCATGGCCAAAAATTAAAAATTGTAAAGAATAAATCGCCAGACGAGTAGGAAAACATTTTTGTTGATCTAAACAAAGACAAACAAATGGCTACATATTGGCTTTTAACTCTAGGATAATTCTAACTTTAAAGTCTAATTTTGAAATATGACTTTATTTATGATATTGGGTTACATCCTTGATATCAAACTAATTATGTTGAACTACTTGACCTAGTACAAGCTAGTATTATGAGTTCAATATTGCGTATGCTAAAATAAAAAGCGTAAAAATGGAGATTTAATTCACCACAGGTAGATAAGGCATTTTTAGTTGGCGTTATATTCCGTTCGGCAGTAATGCTGTTTCTACCATTGTTAGTTTAATATTTTTAGTAAGATGATAAAAAGTTTATTGCTTTTAGTAGTATTGTCCAACGTTTCAGAAAGACCAAATTTAGTCATTTAAATATATTATTTTTTTACCTTGCACATAGAAGCAGCTACATCACTGCTGCACCAAAATCTAGGTCCGAAGCGACACACATCCATCTTCATTGGAGCCATTGCAGACTTTCTACATGCATGCATTATCTAAATACAATTGGAAATTAAATAGAGAGCTACAGAGATTGCTATTTGATGCAGTAGTGCAGATTGAGAAATACTGATTAAGTAGGGAAAACTTATACCTGACAAATATGAGAAGGAGCAGTAATTTTATTTTTGATCAGGTGAGTAATCTTCTCAAGTTTTTGTAAAATGAGTCGGCACTAAAATTTATTAATATTGGCCAATAATAGAACCTAATTATGAGCCTTTCGACTACTATGAAACCTAGGCTTTAATTGGTTATAACTTACTTCATATCCGAAAGTTCCTTTAGAACCTACGGTATCGCATACTTTATTCCAAAATCCAAAAATGTATTTCTAGTTTGTGAAGAAATGCGGATTATCATTTTGTATTATTATTATGAACGTGAATAATTCTATCCGTTATATTTAATGTGTTATTTTACTATTATTTTGACTACTAATCTGTTCAATTAGAGCACATTCTAACCTTGGTTTTATTTATTTTATGAAGTTCTTCTACAACTCGAACTGCTACTTCACAGAACACGCAATAGCCAGATGTAAGCTGGGTTGGAGCGACAGTTTGCATTCCTAGTACATCACATAAGCATGAAATTAGATACTGGTAAGGTTAGAATTACGGACGTTCATATTGCAAAATATGGAAAGTTCCAGTTTTCAAAAGTACAGAAAAATAAGTTGACGAAGATAGCAATGAGGGTACTTACCCGAGGTACCATGATCAAGCTTGGACTGCGGACAAGCACGAAGGTAGTAGGCACAAACTTTCTTTGGTGATACATGCTGTAATAATGCTTGTAAAATTGGGGGTCCATACTGATTAGCAAAACTTTGGCACTGCAAAATGGAATTAATATAAGATAAATATAATTACAATCAATCAACAGGGCAAGGAATTTCTAATTTTTATACGTATAAATAATTTATTATTATGGATGGTATCTTACCTCTTTACTCGTATCGGAAGGCATGTAGGTGCAGAAGTGATCAATTTCATGAGTAACGGTATTCTATAAATGATTGAAATAAGCTAAAACTTTAAGACAGTAATTTAAGCGTAAGGGTAATGGGTTATATCATCAGTGGATATATTCTGTTTACAGCTGCTGATGAATTAGGATTACTCTACTTAATTGATTATCAACATTGTTCGAAGGCAATGGCAAGAAATAAGTAAGTCTATTGCAATTTACCTCTGCACTTTTTTGTCTAAGCATAGAATCGATTACTCCAACAGCAAAAGAACAAACTATACAGGCTGTAGAATTCTGAAAGTATAAATAATATGCTGGAATTATGACGTTATTAATACTACTGAATATCTCTGGAGAATAAATAGCAATATGGGATATGTGAAATTGTTCTCAATTTAAACGACATCTTACAGTGCTTCCAGCTTTTACATTTCCCAAACTGCTATGCGAGTCGGTATTTTTAACAGCTCCAGGAAATAATGTCTTCATGATTTTATCCCAAAATTCCAAGTCTTTACCATCTCCAGAAGCTAAGTCATCCCAGATCTTGCTACCAATTAAGGTATGCTTCATGATATTAGCAGTTAGTTTGCTTTTCAATTCATCTTCCGTCAAACTTTTCGAACATAAATTAAATAGTTTGCAAAAGTCCTTCGGAGTCTATTATTAATATAAAAATTCAATTTTATAAGTTCTAATTTATTCGTCAACAACAAATAGCCTGCCGTCTATACCTCGCATCAATTTAGGAACTTGTAATACATTAGTGGTAATACTATTATGTTGATTTGTAAAGTTTAATTTACCTGAATAAAAATATTAATACCTAAAATGGGTCTATCAAGTTAATTAGTTACTAATTTCGATCAATGTGTACTAAGAACTTACCATTTTATTGATTTCATGGATTATAAATGGGACCAGGTTATGAATAGCAAGATGCTTGCACTACCAAGAAAAATATTGAAAAATCTTCAATATTAATCATCTTTATTATTAATGACAACATGCATCTACTGTCAGGATGTAATTTTAATTCATTCATTATTTTTGTGCCATACCACTGAATGTAGAAGTTTAGGTTGCTTATTGCAAAACTTAACCATGAATTCATTCAAATTTTTCTGCAAAAGGTATAAAATTAAGAGATCAAATCAGTTAGAATCAATAATTTGCGAAGCCTTTTCTTTTTCTTCTTATTTTAAGTATGTAAATATATTAGGCATTGTAAAAAACAAGTAGAGAAACCTTAAATTTGGCTGAATGGAGGTAGTCACCGACCATTTTTTCACATACACTGCAGAAAACATCATCGGAAACTCCATTCTAGCGATAAAGACGAATAATTGTCGTAAAGTAAATCACTAGAGCATGAACTGGTTAAAGTACTTTAAGTTAAATAAGTGCTGCAAATACTACTTGAGATTGTCAAATATAATTGTTACGATTCAAGATTACACTCTTAAAGCAGGCTATACTATACTATTAATGAAGTCGATAATCCAATACTTCAGTACGAGAAAGAAAAACTATGAGAACATCAAGCAATTAATTATACTCGTATAGGATACTGCAATAACTGTATGCTAAACTTTTCTTCGATTCTAGCTATGCCTTCGTTAATGGCCTATCAAAGCCATAATAATATAATATAGCAGATGGATTATGTAATAAACAGACAACACAGTATATAGGCCATGAAAGTAATTTCGATTTGTGGCAATCAAGCTAGATTAAGAGGTATGCACTAATAATGAATCAGATGCTTAGAAGAAAGGAAATTGATGTTATAATTGATAGTAATTAAGCAAGAATATCGCAGGTGATACAACATTCTAGAATTTTTTAAATAAATAAATCAATTAGCTTTCTTTTTTAGTAAAATATGGAAATCTTTAAATTTTAATATAGTACATTTAAGGGAAGCCTTAGAACGTATACAAATCATACTATTTAGGCCTTGGATATAATTTTCCATTTGTAGCAATCACTTTGAATTTAGTTGAATACTAGGGGTACGTTAATTAATCCCATATTTGACAAAAAGAAAGTCGATGCTATAATTTTTAGAATCAAAATCAGAATTTGAGATAATAAAGTATACTGGCCATTACAAATGGGTAAATTAGCTCCCTCGTTAGTAAAATATGTCTATTTTTAATAAACTCTATTTAATTTTAGCGACTACATACATTATCAATCTCGAATCTTGTATAGATCTCATGTGATTCAAGTAGAATAAATTTTAGACATTTTTCGGCAATGTTTCTTGGATCTAATTTAACTAGCTTGTGGTACAAAAATTAGAAAACTTGCTCATAGATACGATCAATATAAAAATTGGGTATCAAAGGATCTCTTGAATGCTTAATTATACGAGTTTATAATCTCTAGATCGTTAATTAATATTCTTATCAGTTATTTACTGGTTTGTACAGTCATTAGTGACATTTAGAGAGTATAATTAAGTATTCGCTTCGCTCATACAGTTTAGTTAATTGAATAATGATTTTAACTAATATCACTAAAGACCATCGATATATATTACCCTAGATCGCTAATGAACTTCCTATCTTAGTTTGTTTGCTGGTTTTTATAATTTGTGATACAGAGAGTATAACTAGGCAATCATCTTATTCATACAGCTTAATTAACTAAATGATTATACTATTTATTTTAAATAATATCACCAAAGACTGCAGATCTACGTACCATCTTGTTTGTATCTACTATAGATCAATTTAAGAAATAGAACTTTTATTCCTCCTATTGATTGAATTTCATTTCTTACCTGATTTTTGCTCCATGCATGTACCATACACAGGTAACTTGTACCGCATTTAGCAGCTGTTTCAAACGATTGGCACCAGTACGATGGACCCTGAGTGCAAGATTCGCTACCAAATGGAACATTCTCTCCATAGATTAAGTGGGAAACGCAAGCTGGAAGAATTAGAAAAAGCAAAATGATTTTAAAAGATGGTTTTGAAAGAAGATTTTATCCATCTATTTGCTAATGTTAAACTGAGAAAAATAGAGACAAGGTCTAAGTAGAATCATCAATATTAAAGACATTGTATAAGATAAAGATATCTGCATGTTTTTCCGTCGAATCGGACCAGAAATATGTTTCTTTACCTACGATGAAGAAGACCGTAAGCAATTTGGACGCCATGATCTATTTTTCGTGTAACTTTCGAGATGCAATTCTGGTCCAAACGTTCTGTTATGAAAGGGATGGAATTACTGGTAATTATTTGCTTATTGTGATATCTTATAAAGTTCGTCTCTTGACATCATGTGAATGCTGACTTTCAACATCAATTTATTTTTCTGTCGTAGTCAGCCAATGGGCTCAAAGTATTTTCACCAGGAATTATTGTGAATGCTGACAATTTATCATTATTACGAGTGACAATTCAGGTGAATACTTTAGCCATATCCTGCTGAGCTATCAACGAATCAATGAAGGTATAAGCACAATGTTGATTGTTTATTCTTGCTGTTTGTTTACTGGATTGGTTACCAGTATATTTATTGTATAGATTAGTTTGCATTCTACGACTAATTTCCACCTATCTATGTGTTTTAATGTGTTTACTTAAAGGTTTCCTATCGGTCTGTAGTGATTGCGCATCACTGGTTATCATCCATTGCAGATTGAAAGTAACGAAATCAGAAAGTACCGCATGTTAGTCCTTGGCAACTATTGTAACAAAGGCTGCATATCGAACTTTTAATTAATAGGCGTTACCGTAGGTGAAGAAGGAGAAAGCCAGTTCATGTTTACAAAGTTTCACGATACTGATGGAATGGTGTTACATTATTGATCGGACTTTAGCATTTCTATTTTTTCATTCCCAATGCGATTTGCATGTGAATAGAAATTTTGTTTTGAAAAGATCACTTTGCAGGGAATGTATCAATAATAATTTATTGCCGACGTTTTGCATACTTTTAATATATTACTGTATCGCTTTACAATATTATCAAAGCACTGATAGCAGATATTATCGTAATCGTTCTCTAAGTTGGTTATTGCTTTCAATTAAAGGCTTGGAATTGGGTTTGTTGTCTAAGTGAATCTAGCGGCTGTTCTTCCTGATTCAGTAATATCTAAATTTGTTGCTGAAGTTTTAGCTTTTCACGTTATTAATTTCGTTATGTAGCAACTACGCGTATTAGGGCTTGATAGATTACTGGATTATGCTAAGTAAAAAAAATGCAGTATCATAAAGAAAGAATTAAAATAATTTAGTACAAATAGAATAGACTAAGATGTTCTAATTTGAAGCGCTAATCATAAATAGGCCGAATGATAGTAAATTTAGCTCTGATCTTGTGATTTTGAAGACAAGGCAAGACTGACATAAGACAGATGAACCAATTTTATGTAGCAAAGCTTAGTTCTATATGAAAATATAGTCTTTGTTATCCTATTCTGAAGATGCTTTAACGTATTGTAGTGATAACCAGTATGAGTTAAATTTCATTTTCATGAATAAGCCTGTAGCATTCAGTGTCCATCATTTAATAATTTATCAATTCAAGGACAGTAATGAGTATAAGAACCGTGGCCAATGATTAAGCCTACAAGCATCCCATACAGTATTTTATTACCGTGCAACGATCTTTCGATTTAAGCAGTTTTAATGTAAAGATTGTGAATTGCACGTCTATCATTTGCACAGTGATGCTTAAGCTCAACATAAGGCTGTAAAAATTCGACAGATCTAAAAGTGGACAATTGATGAGGATAATGATGAACTTTTTGAGCAAACTCAAACAGTATTTCAAGTTTGTTTTAATTCCCGTACAGTATGAATTAATTTTATTAGAATCATCCGGATATATCCAAACTTTCAAACGACCAATTTGCTACTTTAACTCGTATATCAGTAGAAATTGCTTTTATCGTACAAAAACGTATATGTGAAAATAGCAATCAATTATTAGGATGTTGTAGATTACGCTTAGAATCTTATTTATCCTCAATGTGTCTACATTGAGGGTTATCATATCTTTTCAGATTAGATTATTAAACAATCCTTAGATATCATTACGATGATATTAAAATTATGTCCAGAATGCTGTTGATTCACAATTTGCCCACATAGAGGATTGTCATAGCTTTCAAGATTAGATTATTGAATTGTCTCTAGATCTCATTACCAAGATACAGAAAATTATGCCTAGAATCCCATTTGTTCACAATTTGCTTTGCATTGAGAATTCTTACGCCAGCAAAGGCTAGATTATTAAGCTATCCATACGTCCATGTTAGCCTACTGCTACGATAATAAGAATAAGCCCTACCTATACTCTATAGATTAGGTATTGAGGATTATGATATCCTAGAGAATGGTTTACTTGAGCCGTCTGTGTCAGAATATTCCTAGGAAAAGTTAGATATCAGTATCTAAAATACTGATTTATATTTTTAAATAGACTAGACATCCAGATATTATTTGATAAATTGACGTCGTCGTCATGGATATTAAAAGTTCCTTAATAAGTAATCAACTATACCTTAAACTTCTTTAAATATTTGCAATTGATTGAAAGTAAAATAATTTACTTCTTTCCTACAAAGTTTAGACACAAGGATCGATCGATTTCGTGAATAATGCAGTGACACTTTCACGGTATAAGCTTAAGCAGATCTCGCCTCTCTTATTTAAAGTGAAATCAAGTAACAATCGTTGGATTACAGACCATTCCATTTAGTAAAATACGAGCACACTTAAGTGGTCAATAGTCAGGATTTCTATGGCAGATTTAGAGCTATAGATTTTTTATCATTCATAAAGTAATCGTTCAGTGTCGTATTCGTAAACATGCTTTTGCTAACCTGCGCTTTCCATACGAACATTGGCTGTAACCTCTATATCGTTAGTGTTGTTTGATGAAAACCATAAATTCAGTATCAACTATTCTATTATTAATGTAATATTACTTGTTTGTTATAATTAATCGATGTAACCGCATGTTTAATGCCACAGGCATAAATACTAAATTAAGATCAGAGGTGAAACAACATTGGATTGCAGGTAATTCCATTTGTTAAAATACGAGTACATTTAAGTAGTCAAGTGGATGGAAAACGATATTATATATTTAAGCTATCGGATTAATATATCAGTTTGACTGTCATATGATAAATGTCGTTTTATCATTAATCAATGCGCATTTATTCTTTCAATGCTAGCCTAGTAGCACGAAATAATCTTGTGCTTTATTATAGTAGAGCATTCCAGCAGTAAAAATCAGCTTTTAGATACTACTATTTGGCTTATTTTGCTAGATTGAAATATTTCTTATAGGACATTTTAAACAAGAGCATCTCCATTGCTACTACATTGGCAATGTTTAAATAAATTCATTTATTCTTCTTATTAGAATTTTATCGTCAAAATCTACTTAAATCTTCAATAGCTTGACGATTAGGATCCAATTGATTTTTTGACTTTATTTTTAATTATTGGCTTTACTTACATAGCCATCTTGGCTAAAATTGATACCCGCAATGGCGTTAAGTGTAAGTTTGAGTAATTAGGTAGCGAATATGGAAATATGGATGAACTATGACTACAATTGTTGAGGACGTAGATTTAGCTAAATTTATTAGCAGTTGGCGAATTGCAGTTGTAACAGCTTACTTTATTTACAGTCGAGCAGAAATATCCGTACAGTACATAGCTAGTTTACAGTAGATAGTTATAGACACGTATGGTACTTTATTTTATATGCTGCATAATTAGTCTAGCTTATTAGTACTATTTCTTGATTAAATATCATATTATATATTATGAATAATGAAGGCAAAATAATGTGTTGCTAAACTAAAACGTATTTTATTCCATTATGGCCAAAAAATAATATTTGGATATGAATAAATCAGTTGACGAGTAGGTTAAAATTTTGATTATTCTAAGCAAAGATAAACAGCGATGTTATAATGGTGTTGAAATCAAGGAAGACTCTAATTTTAAAGCGTAATCTTGAAATTTTACTGCAGCTACAACATTGGGTTACATTCTTGATATTATACCAATAATATTGAAATACTTTAACCCATGCAAGCTAGCGTTTTAAGTTAGATATTACATATACTGAAATAATAGGCCCCAAAATGGAGACCTTATTCATCACAGGTAGAAATGATATTTTAGTTAACGTTATATTCCATTCGGCAGTAATGTTGTTTCTGCAATTGTTAATTTTCATATTTTTACTTTTTGGTTACGTATGATCATAATAGTTAATTACTTTTAGCTGTTTATCTAGTATTTCAGAAAGATCAAGTTTAGTCGCTAAAGTATCATAATTTTTTTTACCTTGCACATGGAAGCTGTTACATCGCTGCTGCACCAAAACTTAGGCCCAAAACGACATAAATCCAACTTCTTTGGAGCCATTGCAGACTTTTCACATGCACGCATTAACTAAGCATAAATTAAAATCAAACAGAGAGCTGCAGAGATTGCTGTTTGATGCGTAGAGCAATTGGAGAGATATTGATTAAGTAGGGATAGCTTATACCTGGCAGACTTTAGATGGAGCAATATTATTGTTAAGTTGGTGAATAATCATCTCAAGTTTTCCTAGAAGTGACTGGCACTAAAATTTATGATTGTTGGTTAATAATTGAAGTCAATCATGAAACATTCGACTACTATGAAATCTACGATGACTTGGATCTAACTTACTTCATATCGTAAAATTCCAGTAGGAACTACTATATAGCACATTTTATTCCAAAATCCGATAATATACCTCTGGTTTACAAAGAAATATAGATTGTCGTTTTATATTGGTATAATGATCGTGAATATCTCTAGCCATTGCATTCAATGTGTTATGTTTACTGCTATTTCGACCATTAATCTTTTCAATCAGATCAAATTCTAACCTCACTTTTATTTATTGTAAGAAGTTTTTCTATAATTCGAACAGCTATTTCACAGAACACGCAATAGCCAGATGCAAGCTGAGTTGGAGCGATAATTCGCATTCCTAGTATATCGTGTCAGTATGAAATTAAATCCTGTCAATGTTAAGTTTTTGTGCTTTATAACTTTTATATTGCAAAACGTAGATCGTTTCAATTTTCAAAAATACTAAAAAACGTATCTTTGAGATGATAGGTACTTACCGGTGGTATCACGATCGAGCTTGGATTGGGAACAAGCATGAACGTAATAAGAACAAACATCCTTAGCTGATAAATACTGTAATAATGCTTGCAAAATTGGAGGTTCAAATTTGTTGACAAGGCTGTAGCACTGAAAAAATGTAATAAGTATAGCGATAAACGCAAGTATAATCGATCAGCTGGGCAGAGAATTTTTAATCTTTATAAGCAATTTTTTATGCAGTAGTTAATTAGGTAATATCTTACCTCTTTACTCATATCGAAAGGCATATAGGTGCAAAAGTGATCGATTTCATGCATAACGCTGTACTATAATGATCAAAGTAAACTTATACTTTAAGATAGTAAAATTGGCTTACAGGTAATTGATCATAGCATTGTTTAATACCTCCAGTTTATGGCTACTAATTATAATGAATTAAGTTTACTATCCTTATTTGATTATCAATATTAACCAAAGGCAATCGGAAGAAGTTAGTATATCTATTGCAATTTACCTCTATGTCTTTATTTCCCAGCACAGAATCGATTGTGCCAGCAATAAAAGAACAAACTACACATCTTAAAGAAGTCTAAGATTAAAAACAGAGTGGAATCATGACGATTATTAATAGAACTGAATCTCCCTGTCGAAAATGTAACAATATGGAATATAGAAAATTGTTGTTTAATTAAACAGTATCTTACAGCGTCTTCAGTTTTTGCTTTTCCTAAATTGCTATGTAAGTTGATATTTCTAACCGCGCCTGGAGACAAAATATTATTAATTCTATTCTTAAATTCTAAGTCTTTGGCCTTAACAGGAGCTATGTTATCTCGAATCTTGTCATGACCACTAAGTGCATGCTTGATGATACTAGGAGCTAATCGATTTTTCAACTCATTTTCCGTTAGACTTTTTGAACATAAATCAAATAGTTTGCACATATCCTTCGGAGACTATCAGTAATAAAGAAAATTCAATTCTTATAAGTTTCAGGTTTACTTGTTGTTGACAAATAGCATACTATCTAAGCTTCGTTTTAACTTTGGAACTCAGAATCGAATAGTGGCAATACTATTATGTAGATTTGCATAGGTAATAAACCGAAATAAAATTTATAACATTTAATTTACAGGAATAGAAATATTAACACCTAAAAAGAATATCACCTCCTAAATTAATCAGTGACTATTTTTGATAAATTGGTATACAGTACTTACAATTTTTTTGAGTTGATGGTTTATAAATGACAATAAATCGTGAATAGCAATGTGCTTGCACTGGCAATAAAATTGGTTAATAAATCTTTAAAATTAATCATCTTTAGTATAAATGGCGATATTTATCTAATGTCTGCTTAGGGTTTTAATTAATTCATTATTTTTTGATGTCATACCGCTTTGCACAGAAGTTTGGGTTCCTTTCTGCAAAAGTTTGTTAGGAATTCTTTCAACTTGCCCTACAAAAGGGGATTAAGAGACGAAATCAATTTTGAAATTACGAATTTATATAGCCTTTTGCTCTTATTTTAAGATTGTGAATGCAATAGGTGCAGTAAAAAAAAAAAGTAGAGAAACCTGAAGTTTGGCAGAATGGAGATAGTCGCCGACCATCTTTTCACATATGCCGCAAAATGCATCGCTGCAAAATCCATGCTAATGATAGAAACGAATAATTGTAGTAAAATAAATCACTAGAGCATGAACTGGTTAAAGTATTTTTAATTAATAAATTATTGCAGATGTTGTTGAGATTGTTAAGCGTAGGTATCAGCCTCTACTCTTAATGTAAGCTATAACACTCCACGTCGAATAATTGTTTTTAAATTGCTATATTAAGTTGAAGAAAATTCTAAACAAATTCGTCTATGGTTAAGAATATTGTTCTGAAATTTATACTATTGGAATACATAATTTAATACTTTAATACATGTTAAGACAATTGCTATAACATCAACCAGTTATATAGAATACCGCATTGACAGTGTTCTATGCATTTCGTTATTTCTAGTTATGCCATTGCTCATGCAATCGTATTTAAGGTACCTGATCATATTGAATAATGTCATTAGAGCCTACATATATGTGATTAATGTGTCTTTGTGTAGTCGTTGGATAAGTTATTGGACCTACACCCATATATAGGCGCATATTTATATTTAATTAATAAGTAGTGCTATTGTCCAATATAAATACAGCACTGTTGCCTAATATGGTATTACGTAGATCAATATGTATTTAGAGAAAGCATCTATAAGACGGATATTCTTATACAGTTAGGTGTTGGATGCGATGTGTTATATAATACTTTGATGCTTAAATAGTTCAACAAAATTGTATTAATACATAACAGGTGTATCAAAGCAATGATACCGCGGAAGAGCTATGAAATGGCTACAATACAACGTTGCATTTAGGTCATAGACGTAATTTTCGGCAATCAAGTTAGGTTTAGGGGAATACAAACGGACCAGTAATGAATCTGGTGCTTGTTGGAAAGAAAAATTAATGCTATAATTTCTATTAATCAAGCAATAGTATCGTCGGCGATAGAACATTGTGGTTTTTAAAGTAGGTTAATTCGTTCTCCGTGTTCGTTAGAAAACTTTCAATTTTGATATACTTCATTTAAGGCAAGCCTTTGAACGAATACAAATCACAATATTTAAGCTATGGATATATTTTCAATTTGTAGCAACCAAGTTAAAATTAGCGGATTGCTACGACAGTAAATCTCACACTGGTGGAAAAGAATATCGATGTTATAACTTTAGTAATCAAAAGAACGTAATAAGGATGATAAAAAATACTAGCAATTTAAAATGGGTCAATTAGCTCTCCTGCATGTAAAATACGTTTAATATCAATCAATACTTTTCATTTAATTTTAGCCACGATAGTATCTACGATGTGTTTAGAATCTTGTTTAAATCTCGTGTGATTCAAGTAGAAATAAATTAATATTTTTGAGAGATATTTTGAAGATGTATTTCTTCGATTCAATTCATCTAGTTTGCGGTATAAAAGTTGGGAATTTTTTTCATGAATATGATCTATGTACTCATGCAAGATCATAAATCAGAGGATCTCTTCGATACGTAACGAACGAGCTTGTAATTCCCAGATAACTAATTAGCATTATTACATATGTCAATTTGTTTACTAATTTTTATAATCATTGGTGATATAGAGAGTACGAAATCGCCTTGTTCATACTGCTTAATTCACTGAATAATTATAATGCGAATCTATTTTAATTGATATCGTTAAAGACTGCTAATCTAGCGTTATCTTGGTTATATCTAGTGTGGACCAATTACATAGAGTCCTTATTCCTTTTACTCCTTGAGTTTTATTTCTCACCGTATTTTTGCTCCATACTTGTGCCATACAATGGTAACTTGCACCACATTCAGCAGCTGTTTTAAGCGATTGGCACCAATAAGATGGACCCTGTGTGCAAGATTTACTACTAAATAGTGCATTCTTTCCATAGATGAAATGGAAAGCGCAAACTAAAAGAATTAGAAAAAAGAACTTGCCTTAAAAGATTGTTTTGAAATAAGATTTTATTCATCTATTTTTCTAGTGTTGAAGAAGAAAAATGGAGACAAGGTCTAGGTAGAATCATCGTTATGAAATGATATTGTTTGGATAAAGATATTCATATGTTTTCCCGTTGAATTTGATCAGGGCTATTCTACATTACCTACGATAAGTAAAACTGTGAGCAGTTTGGGTGCCATGATGAATTTTACATAACCTTTAAGAATCCAATGCAGTTCAAACGGTGTGTTATGAAAGATATGGAATTGCTGGGAAGTATATGTTTTCAGTGCAAATCGACAATTTCTTATTATGTGAATTGATTTATTTTTCTTTCTAAGCAAGCCAATGAACTTGAAGTGATTTTTCATCAAGAAAAGTCCCGTATGATTGTAAATTATCATCATTACCAGTGAATATTCGAGACAGTACTTTAGCCATATCCTGCTGTGCCATCAAAGGTTAACATAAACTCTTACAGTTTTGATAATTCGTCCTTGCTATTTGCATACTGGATTGGTTGTTAGTATCGCCTATTCTATGCAATAAGCTACGAGTTCAGGAATAATTTGCATCTGGGAGCATTGTATGTTTAAGGTTTGTTTTTATCCTCTATGCTTGTGTACCGTTGGCAATCATTCGCAGGAGATTGCCGATCGTGAACTAAAATAGTGTGCTAGTCTACGCGTATGTTGATCATTGCAACATAGGCCATAGGCTGTACTCGTATTTCGAAACTTTGGATAACTTCTCATAGTTGTCCATCGTATGCGCAAGAAGAAAGACTCTTCATGTTAGCAAATTTGAATATCACAGATGAAGAAGTGCAAAATTATTGATCGGACTTTAGCATTTCTATTCTTTCATTCCCAAGTCTATCAGTATGCAGATAGAAATTTCTTTTCTCTTCATTCTTAAACAACGTCTGCTTTAAAATGGATATCTATGCACTATTGTCATGCTATGAACCGCAGCTTCTTCTTCAACATGCTTTGCATACCTTGGACTGCATCGTGTTATATGTAATGTGTTGTTGCTCTAGCTAACATGTTTATCGATACAGCCCATCCATCTGGATGCCACTATGCTCTGTAGCCTGCAGTCAGCTAAGGTTACATAGAAACTGAAATCAATTATATTGTGATTTTTCCAAAAGAACCGACAAGTACTCGTCTCGCTCAATCTGCAACGCACTAAACTACACCTTCCCGCAGCTTTATTGCGGATAGACCAATCAGCTTTCGCACGCAGAGCTATGCTGCATCGGCTAGTCTCTAATACTATAATGTTGAATTGACGAAGGATTAAACTTATTCGTATTCGTCTACACTTGTAATAGTGATGTTCATCAACTCATGATGAACATGTTAAGCACCTCTTCATCGGCTTCCTATGTATTGCTGCCATGGCCTATCGATGAGCAACTTGCTCATCGTACAGCCTGATTGCATGCTATTCGTATCACTTGTGTAGCAAACAGGCAGCCCACCAATTCAATATGTAATCCTAGCAGTGCATGCTATGTACGCAAAGCAAATCATCGTCAAACCAATTGAGAAAAGTGTCCAAAAAAGTCCAACTATCGAGCTCATGTCGGCCATGACCGATTCTGCTAAGAGTTCAACTGGCTAGTATTCCTCCTTTTCCCTCTTCAACTTAGTATAACTACTATCTTGTTTAGTAGCGAATTGGACTCCCTATAGTCAACCTAAGCGCAGCCTGGACATGCGTAGTATTGCCAGCTTGGATCAGTCCTCCAGCCTCGCCCCTAAGAACGGCAGTATACTGCTCTAAATATCCGAAACAGTGATACTGTACCATTAGACGTAAATGGGCCAAGCGTACTTCCCGGCTATAACGCATGGCTTGAAAGATCAACAAGCATTTCTTCCTCAAGTTCCTGCTGTCGAAGATTGGTAAGGAGGAATATTGATCGCAATGGACGGACCTTTAGCTAGTGATACATGCACCTGGTCACCAGATACCGATAGCTTGGATCGGTCGGTAAAGCGTATGGAAATAAGCAGTAAACACGTCAAAGATGAATCGCCAAAGGATAAGTAAGTTGATGATGATAAAATGGAGGCTGGAAGCAATGTCGCAAAGATGACTTGATTCGCTTATTTACAGTTCATTAACTGAAGGAGTGATGCTACTCAATGGATTGTTGCATCATAGACTGTTATTAGCATCAATTCTTTTCCATCATCATCGCTCTCCGGTATCGCAGCAATGTTGCATGCTATAAGATAGAATGGCAGAGTAGAATGATGATAGTAATGATGCAAAAAGCATGCTGTCGATCTGCAAGAATCTTCGATTGATTCAACTGTGATTGTGTTGTAGTAATACGCTTTTGCGGATGCTTTATTGCATCAACTCCAGTTTTGAAGTAGGCCATTTTACTATTTATCTCTATGGGTCTACATGAGCATCAATTCTTTTTTCCATCTTCGCCACCACATTGCCGCTATATAGTGACAAAGTAGAATGATAATGACGACTACGATACGAGGAGTATGGAGTAGATTTTTGAGATACTTTAGGTGATCCCATTCCACAGTGCTTATGTTTGTCATTCACCTGTACGGACGCATTGAGTTTAATTCCATCATCTCCAATTTTAACTGATGTTGTAGTATTTCCCTATGCTATATCCACAAATGCCACTGAAACGGCTATATATCATTTCAATGCATTTGTCCCAACTTATCTGCCAATTCTTAGCAAAATCAATCAAGATTTGAAGGTCAAGATCTGAGTTCATTTCGTTAAAACTTGGCATGTTTGCTTGGACTAGTACACGTATAATGAAGGTGTCGAGCCGTTTCAGCAGCATCTTTGATATGTCACAAGGGAATGTTTGAGTCGACTTGTACTTGTCTTTACGATCGAAGGCGAAAAATTAATTTGAGATTTTAGTAACAAAAGTAAAAGAAAATCAGTGCGATCCTGCTGCCAGATGGGATTCGTTTTACGCTATTACAGCCAAACACTTTGCAACAGTTTCTATGTTTTGAATCTTTTACCTTTTACGTCAATAGAATATCATTTATGTTTATGGAACCTTTGATAATAATAGTTGACTCTTATAGAATTGTTTGCAGTTTACTAGAGTCTTTAGAGATTCAATTGAACGCACAGAATCTACACTTGTCGTCGTATTTTGGTAAGGATCATGTCTACCGTTACTGCAATTCTTCCTTACCCATATTATACGGTATTATTATGAAGAAAGGATTGATTTTAGATAGTAAGTTGTCCAATAGTCCTGAAGTTATATTAGCCAAACTGAGATACTGATAAATCAGCTAGTTTGCGTATAGCAAAATTATGGATAGAAGTGAATTCGGGTCAATGTTGATCCGTGAATTCATAACGATGAACTTTAAATCTAAAATAAGCATCACCACAATTACCACGGTAGGCAATGATATGACTCACATATTTCTTGGGTTGAATGTAATGCTTTTAATAAATAGACAAGATATACATCAAATTGGTAGCTTTTTCGGTGCAATAGATCGAGCCATTTTAATACTTTCAACTGCTTCTTACCTGTAGTACATTGGCGATATGGTGATTTAATTTTCTCTACTGTAAATATCGTTAATATTGACAAGTAAGCTTCTAATTGTACAGTAGTATGCATGTATAGTATAATCTACTGTACTTGGCCTATTGCTTCTGTTTTTTTAGGCGTACAAATAGGGATAGCTTTCTAATGTTAGGACAAAGTGCTAGTGTAGCAATTGCTTAATAGTCATGACGGTATTAGCTAATCTTGATGGTAATCAAATGCTTGAGAAAATTGCTTCGTTAATGGTTCTATTGATGGGCTTTGATTTATTCTCTTGTATTAGGTATAATATGGTTTACTTTTTATTTCTGTTCCTTGGTATGTGCACCCTGCTACCATTTAACATGTTTCTGACTGCCAGTCCAGTAAGATTCTATTCTATCAACATATCCGTTAAGGTTAATGGTCAGTGCTTGGATTGACAATCGATTTTCCTTGAATATTACAGTATTTCTCAGCCAAACTGAATGGAACCCGATGGCAATATACCTACCAAAATTATTTTTTGGTTGCCTATAGTGTACCTGCCATTGTGGCTGCAGCGGTGACTGTTCCGATGCTTCGAGTGTAAGAATGAAAGATAGTATAAGCAAATCTTAAAGCGGCAAATTTATGTAATTTCGGTTAGATAGAGTTTAGATTACCTAAGGTATGGTAGTCTTCTTCTAGTCTTTTCCTATCCATATTCGTCAACAAATAACCTTGCCGTTATTTTATTCTCCAACTGGCAGTCGTCTTCAAGTAATTTTGAGATAATCTAATATTCTTCTAGTCATACCTAACAGTCTTATTATGATAGTGCCTTTCTAGTCTTCAGTTTTGCTTACTGTACGTTCCTGTTCTAGTAATCTTTCATCACTTCCTTTACGTTTGATAGTCGTCTATAAGTCTGGTTATTGTATTCTTCTCGTCTTTATCTATAAGTCATATGGCCGTCTTCTCCTGCAATCCACGCTTAAACGAACTTATTAAGATGTACCTCGTTATCCTTGATGAGCATGATCTCAATATTTTAGGTCGCCTCGGCATAAGATAAAATTTTCCTTGATTTAGTCTCTATATATGCATATAAAATAATTCGGCTGTTTCATTACTGTTATCGATAAATAAATATTAAAAAACTTAATAACCATTTCCAGTATAGCGCTACCCGTACAATATAAATAATGTAATTTAATGTAGAGAGGTTTTGATACTAAGCTGTGCTCTCACGTATATGATATCATTGAATAGTGTATCTCGAACTTGTAGTGAATTTACACAATTACAGTCATTACTTTCATACCATGCTACATAATTGTTAATCAAAATATCCATTGGAATATTTCGAAAAAATTTTTAGGATTCGCTTAAAGATTCGCATGATAGTTTCTCCAGTCATCTTGATGATAATATTTATTTTCACTGCTGTCATGGTCAAGGTCGATACGTCGACATGTAAGTATACACTCAATGTGAATGCAGCGTTATAAATTTCGAAATTAGTAAATGGTTCAATAAAATTGCCTTTAATTATAAGTTTTTAGAGAATTGTTGGATTGGTCATTCGAGTTTTATGCTGAAATTCTGTATGTCACTATTTTCTTAAGCTAACCATTGATAAGTTCTTTATAGGGATAGACACATTCTTCACTCTCACTATTGTTGGCATTGTGATATCTAACTGTAAGTACTATTGTCTTCATTGGTGATCTTGAAAGGATAGTTGTGCTTGTTTCAAGGAACTGAGAAAGAAAGTACTGATTACAGTATTTCGTAATTTATTAATATTTTTTCTATTTGATTGAGTTAGCTTTGGGTTCAGCTATCTATCAATCTAGCTTATTCGGGTTAGCCAGTCTCTTCCCCAAGCAATATTCACAATCCGTAGTTAGCGGACAGGTAAACCAAGATCGCAGTGTAATATCGCATCAATTTTTGGGATAAATTGCTATAGCAACCACAACATTCTGCGTACTTTTACAGGCGTTAGCTGGAATTTTTACATCAGCAGCAAGTATACTCTCACTATTAGGTAAGGAGTATGATAAACTATTTTATGGAGAGTTTGATTACGCCAAAAGTAGTAAGTGGGATTCGACTTTATGAATATTGTCCTTTACTGAAGCCCATTGTTTATTTAGGTGCTAATGATCCGTACGAAAGTGCTGTCTTCTATTTTATCAGTGCTGTTGTAGCTTTGCTTGTATGCATCATATCGTATGCGTTGCTTCGTAGAATCGTAAGTGTTGTAGTTTCTTGCATACTTGGGTAGTATGAAAGTACTCGTCATTATTTTTAAATCGTATCAAAATTACCATATGAATTGACGTAGGAGTACGCTAAATATCATATGAAGAAATTAGAATTTGATAAATCAGCTGAAAAAACCGATGGTAAACTGTTTCGATACTTACTTAATATGCTACGAGTGCAATATATAAAAGTCACTTTATTTGATACCTGTTAGCTGAAGAAGAATCTCTATTTGATACCTCTTATTACTTATTTGATACCTGTTAGCTGAAGAAGAATCTCCTTCTGATAATGATGCCATGGAGAAAACCAGAGTCGCTGATGAAAAGGACATATCTGTTACTGTAAGTAGGTGGGTTCATGGTGGTCGCTACCTAATCATGATTTGGAAGCAGGTTAGAGACTAATACTGTATAACTTTCAATTCTTATGTATTATACAGTATATTAGAATAACAAAAAGTGTAGCTTAAACTATCAACTTTTAAACTCTTAAGGCTGCTATTTATCAATTTGTAACAGATTTGGCCCACTGCATTATCTGGCATACTCTGTTTCACGATAACATTGGGGGTATATCCGGCAATAGCGTCTCGGATTGAACCTGTTGATAAAGCGTCAAATAGTACTTTTCTTAGTAAGGCTAAATTTTACAAATCGTTCAAAAAATTTATAAGTGACGCTTGCTAATATGTATCTGAATTCTTACAGATCGATTCTTTACGCCGGTTACATGCTTTCTGACTTTTAATGTAGCAGATTTTGTGGGAAGATTTCTGGCCTTATGGCTGCTGCAGGTACAGCAGCAGCAATAATGATTGAATGACTTGTTATTTTATCAGCCTGTTTATTAATAGAAGATTCTTTCTTACAAATGCAATTTTATCACTTTTAGCCAAACTATAAACGTGGGATCACTCTTTTGATCCTGACCCTTATGAGAATTGGATTTATTCCCTTATTCTTACTAATGAATGTTCAACCACGAAGTAATCTACCAGTTTTAATTCCAAGTGATATTGTGTACGTCATATCATTGGCACTGCTGGGTGTATCCAATGGCTACATCATATCGTTATCGATGATGTATGGTCCAATGTGAGTAACTGTATAATACGGTTTCGCTTGATTTAGTCATATTTGATAACATTTTGAGTCTCCTTGAAACCGTCATCTTAATATCTATCACAGGAGGGTTGATGCCAAATATGCAGAATCAACAGGAGCAATTATGGCTGCTTGTCTGATATTGGGATTAGGCTTGGGATCAGCTTTGTCGTTTGCTACTGTTGCACTGTTATAAATAATATTAAATTTAGACAGACGATGTAAATGAGGTGTAACAATGAATTTAGGTATAGCATAATATGTTGATATGGGCTCTAAATTAATGTTTCGAGCGTGAAAGTCTGCAAAAAGTTCATGAAGCGTTTGGTATTGTTTTACCTGAGAGATGGACAATTGTCTTATTAATATACATTTATTAAACTAGGCCTTTCCCAGATAGCCCAATGAAAATAAGTTAAATTTCGAATAGCACGAAGCGGTAGCCCAGTTAATGTACGAAAAAACTTGTTATTCGTACACGCTAAATCTATCCTCATGTATGTCAACGAAAACGATATTTAAAGTGCTATCATATGTATGTAATAAAATACTTTCTAAAATTGTAGATTGTGATGTTTGCAGTTTGATTGTAATGCAATGAAATGAAGTGTGTAGAAATCAAGCTACAAAACTTCTAACAAACTTTAATTCTACATTCTTTGCACTCTGGTCGACTTAACAAAACTTTGACACCAAATTTATATTTGGGAAATAAAATATCAACAATTTATTAAGAAAGCGTGAGAGAGTCCGATCAAACANGCCTTTAAAATACTTAATTCTAAGTATTATAAGTGACGAAATAAAAAGAAAGGACAGAACTGAAACTGTCAACAACCAAACAATCTAAAAAAAACAAGAATGTTTTCACTTACAACAGTTCCACCCCGAAGGTCTTTAAAATTCGACAAGCTCTTCAAAAGAATCTTTCTTTACTCTCTACTCTAAATATTCTAATTCCACTATCATTTATAGGTTTCACAGAGCCGTATGTGGTATTTAAAACTAAACATTTATTAACCAATCTCTCTTAAGATTCACTTTAGAAAACTACTTTGCACCACTTAAGAAAAAAAAAATCATTCAAAGTTCAGACACAATTAATCTTATGATTACTTTACAAAACACTATAAAGCCAACAGCCTAACCATAGAATACATCAAGCTTAAATATAAAGATTAAATCATAAAAATAACAGTCTAACTTCTTAGCAATCAACACAACCTCTACCACTTGCCATCTTATTTTCTATTTCCTCAACTAAACTTTGTTAATGTAACTTTCATTTCTCCTCATAAAATTCCAAAATTTCAAATTCACAACAAAAAGTTCAAATTTCAAAAATCAACTCTTCTAACATTTTCTAAACATTAGAATCCCAAAATTATATCGGACATAGATCTGACCGGTTCCGGATTCTGAATCCGAAAAATCTAAATTTTATAAAGATCACATAATCGCTTATCAAAAAATTTTATGTGACAACTATGACTACTTTTCTGACATTAGTATTGACAGTTGATGTTTAGTGTGAAATTGTACGGTGGCTGACCGATTATAACCTACATCGCAGTACTTTACTGTCATGTTATAAATCCTCTTTCTTTGTGGATAGGACTTTGTTACTGAGTCAAATTCATTTACAATCCTAATAGACCACCAAACGCTCTTTCTTTAGATTAGGTGATTGCTCTTAGGTTAATTCTATAGTAATCTATACAATACTTTATAAAATAGTAAGGAAGAAAACATGGCGACATCCTTATTTGGCAGGGTAAAACTTATAAGATACTACCACTTTCTCGATATTTTCTATAGTAAAGTAACAATAGTTACAAACTAAAAGCTATAAAGGACTCTGCTATAGTCATTTACTACAGTATGTTACGCATAACAGATCTAACTGAGATAGGTGTTTTGGGTACCTTACATAACTATAGGGATTATATTCTTTTACTAGTTTTCAATAAATGTAGTAATCTAAATGATGTACTTATGGCAGGAAAAGATGAAGAATGAAAAAATTGAATCATCCTCTTGAATTATTAATTAGCAGTCTCGTAAAGACTACCACATCCTCCATTAGTCCATGATAGTCGCTTATGCCTTCAAGTCTGTGAAGTGTTCTAAAGTTTTTAGCAAAGTGACAAGTTGTAGTTAGAATTAATGATAAGATCATCCGTTGTTTAGGTTGCTAGCGTGGGCATAGTTCAACGTCATACATATCTTATTCCAATGTAGCTAACCATTGGATAGTATTCATACCGCATAGGCCGTAGTCCTACATGTGCAGTAATAAGAGATCTTCATTTTTATAATTGAATGCCTTGTATTTCGTTGAGCTTAGCGATCGTTAATATAAAGCTAACTTAATTAACTCGTAGACCGTTTCGAATCTATGTAATCTATAACTATATGCTTATCGTACTTTACTCTACTAGTCATTCTTTGGGTTATAGGAATGAACGAAACAGTCGTTGAAATACCTGTGATGAATAAGAAACTGACTAACACGAAGTAACGAGAAGTACAATACAATTGTAGACGATACTTTACTTCTACTCCAATCCTCCAGCACTAGATATGTTTCTAGTCTTGACTATTTCTAGCAGCTAGTCTACTAAAATGTATCAAAATGGAATTCTGCATGCATGTACCGTTAATGTTATTGTTATCATTATGATTGAAGGCCATGTAGCCATAGATTACTATAATTCAATTTTTCTCAACATTTATAATAATATTGGCAATAACCAATAGATATCATGTACCTGTACATAGAAGTACCTAATTATAGTTATTGATGCCTTTATTATAACATCAGAAATAGTCTACAAGGACAGCATGGCTAAGTGAGGTTAACACTATTCACCTTCTTATTTGAATGATAGACGATCATGATTAGTAATGAATCTACAGTTTATTGATAAGTAAGTAAATGTTACTTAAAATTCCTATTGTCTAATAGATTGCTGTGGTACCTGTAAGTGATTTTGTTTGACATGTACATAATTGGAGAATAAAGCTTAATAGTGATTTCAGCTGGTTGATTTTGACCTATACTAGTAAATATTATCATATTAAGAGACTACTTACTGAGTCTGTAGTGCTGTTGAGGGCTTTATCCACACATATCCTTGAACAGTAATACCTATACATCGCTTTATATACTACATGAGCTACATTCTTTTCGGAGTAATTTAGTTATCTATTTCATATAGAACTATTAGAATCGGAAATTTCAATTCAAATTGCTATTCTATGTGTTTACTTTCATCTTTATTAACCAATTCTATCCCATCAATTTTTTTAAATGCGATAGATCAAGAACACTAGCAGATACAGAAAAAGCGGTTGAAAATTGAACTTTAAGGCTGCTCTGTCAATTTCTTTAAAATATTAAACGGAAGAAATAAGAGCTGAGGCCAAAAAAAATGAAATTAAAAGTTAAATTAAAATGATAATCTCGTAAGTTTTAAAGTAATAAATTTCAATAGATCGATTGATATTTTTAAAGTTTTGTAACATGTCTTGCATTGTAAAAACTGTTGCTATCTTAAAAATTACAAAGGTGTGCACTGTAGTTCGATGCTTTGATATTTAAATTATATTTGTATACCTATTTATATTTAGTATATTTTACACTAAAGCTTCTCATGTGCTTAATAATAAAAATATTGAGCCAAGATGGACTACAGAAATGACAAATTTCCCAAAATTGAAGATTACTTCAACTAGTAATAGGAAATCAAGTTGGTATCTTATAATATGGAATCATCATGGATGACATTAAATGTTACTTCTAAAGTAATCCACCGTATGCTATCTTAATTTTTACAATTTGTCGAAATAAGTAATTGCTTTCAGTTGGTTCAGAGAGAAATAATTCGAAATTAAACTTGATAAATGCAGGTATGTTTTTATGCTGTATTGGTTAGGTATGAACTAATTCTGAGTAATAAAATACGATGAAATGATGAAAATTAAACTATGAGCTTCTTAAATTTCTATTTAAAATATTTAAACGATACTATTAAAATTCTGTTGAAAGTTGAAGATCATAGAATTTTCATCATTCACTTGGCAATCATCGCTCTGTTTGTAAATAGATAACAAACATCGAAAGGATCCATCATGCTAAGCCTTTGTCCAGCCTAAGCTTATTCTTTAGCGATTAAGCATTAAAGCATCGCAACCACTCCAAATGATACTAATGTACCTACAGTAACCCCAATAACGAGAAAGAGGTAGGCCATTGCTCCTGCTGATTCGCTAAGTTTTGGTGGAACACGCCTAAAAAATTTTAATTTAAACTGTAATTAAATATCAGGAGTAGCTAGACAAGACACTAGCAATAGCTGTAAAGGCGTCTTCATCATAATGTGTAATTTATTGATGGAAATAATCAGTAAGTATCTGATTCAAATATGGCCTACTGTAAGCTCTGATAAAGCTAAGACTTACTTTGGTGCATACATGGAGCATAATGTATTGATGTAACCGTGAGAAATGCCAAGTAATACAATTAATATAGTATAAACGATGTCACTATAGATTTTTACTGGCAGATGCCTTCGTGGATGAACATTGCAATACATGAAAAGTGGAATAAAAATAATTCTGCTAATGGATATGATAAGCAACAATATCCCTTGATTTTGACCGGGCTAGATCCATATACATACAGATAATGAAATAAAACATAAAGAAATCAAGCTATAGTTGATATATTTATAGTAAATAAATAACTCATCCGCTATACGTTAGCCTTATATCAAATTAGTTAAGACTTAGTAGACTAATGGTTTAGAAAGTATTCTATCAACTAAACAATACTCCTTGACTGACCAATAGTATCCATCTGGAGGTCAGTCGGCCGACCACATCGGCTACGGCAAATAATAGAAAGCATACTATAGGTATAAATAATGGACCTAATAAAAAAAATATCAGGAAATCAATATTAATTCAGCAATACAAGAGTTGAATTGATAACTCTAGAACCATAGTACATAAATTAGAGCCATCCGACGCGTATGAGTGAGTTATATTTCCGGTAATTATGGACGCCAGTATAGTCATTTACTTTAAATATCATTTATCTTTAAGAACATGGGAAAATAAGAATATTCTTATCTGATAAGATACTGGATCTACCTTAACTATCGTCTTTCTATATACTTACAGTGTTATAATAACGCAATGATACTCAAGATAGCAATAGCTATGTACATAATATGCTATAGACCTTAATTGAGTATGGCAGATGAGCATAACATTTGAAGTATATAAATTACGGTTGAATTAAATAACAGTCATTAAATTAAGATAGCATTACCAGCTACGAAACTAGGTTAAAAAACCATAAATTGATGGAGCTCAAGTCTAGAATAGAAACAATATACGACAACGAGTTTAAACTACTGAAATTATGGTAACAATACCTGTTAACAGGGTGTTATTTCCACGATAGATGGAAATAGCTCGCGACGCAATACTCGGAACAATACAATACGAAACACCACAACAAAGAAGTTGGGCAACAACAACTGGCCATACCTGAAAATCAAACAGCGTATGAATTAAATTATTCAATGAAATTTCCATTTTTTCTCAATCTTTGGTAAGTCTAATTCTAATAGTATTCTTGATTACCTTTCCAAAAATATACTTAATGCGCCGCAGTTTACTATTTTCGTATGGAACATGATCATCTTCGTCGTCAGAATCACTAGAACGTCTTGCGTCATCTAGAAGCTTTTTCTTCTGCTGCACATCTATTTTGATTGTATTCAATGATTTACAATTATCCGATTAATAAGTGAATACGGTTAATAGTCTATCTAATGTTGATTGAAATTTTTTAGTTGTATTGTATTTAATCAATAAGGTTAGAACCGTATTCTAAACGTGTTTCCATATAATATCTTGCAAAAGCCTAGATAAAAATTGGCATAGAATGAAGTTATAGTTTGGAAGTGCTGTATAAAATTTACTTTATTAACTATCTTCCTTTACCAAAATGATATTCTACCGTACTATTTCAAATATACTTAATATCGATATATTATGAAAATAAAACTGACATTTTTGTTCAGTAGTATGTGAATAATCATGCATAAGACTAGTATCCCAACTCCACTGGCAAAGTAAGCAAAACCACTGCGACTTGCGGATCCCGTTACTAGAAAAAAATTTAGTATACATTATAGTTATTGCCAGACGTATTGGTAATATTTCGACTACTGTGATGAAAAAATCACGAATCAATTACTTATCAAAGATAATTAGAAATTTATTAGAATCTTCATACAAGACATTATACACAGACTTATTCTAGCTGAATACACGATAATTCCTACGAAGACCTCATTTTACGAGCACAGCATTACTATTGGGAACCTATATTTCGGCTGATTGTTTGCAATTTAATAAAGTAAAATATATTGTACTTCTACAGAAATTATTACTCGTTTGCTATATTACGACTATTTTAGTAAATCTATGGTCTAATCGTCACTATTAATCACTACCATTAATAGTAAATCAACATACATACTATTTAAGATCATTGAAACTAAGTAGTTGTATCTCGCTCATACGCTGAATTTACAGTCTAGTAAGAGCATTTTTCTAAGCTAAGCTAATCATCTACAATCCAATATATAGTCATCATGCTTACGTTGAACAGTCTTGAACTTTGTCTAAAATCTCAATACTGTGATAAAAGTGACTAGATTATACCGTGTAGTTATGTAGATGGTATTAAACTAGCTATTAAATCTTAACTTCTTCATGCTTACGTAGTGATTTCAGCTAATTGCAGTAGTTTTGTGTAGGTAATACAGCGATGATATGTTGTGTAGAACTGTATATCTTAATATAGTACGTGCTATATAAGCCCGTAGCTGATAGCCATATTAAGTAATATTATTAAGCAATGTACTAATGTGATTGATGACTCCTATGTAGAGGAGCAATTGATGATAATTTGTATAAGTTGTATAGAATTTTTATCGTAGAGGCTAAGTCGATTATCCGGTTTATCTTAGCCATTTTCAACTGTTATTATTAGGGAAGAAATTGGAATTCTTCTTTGACTGACGACACACGGACGTTAATAAACTAAACCTTTATAAGTCAATTATTCGGTGTTGACTATTTTGTGTCACATTAGGGATTTCCTCGATTTTAACAACTCAGAATTTTGAGTTTACGAATTAAGTACCCAGGGCTAATAACCCGTACACTACAGTTTAACCAAAACGATCTTGAATATTCAATACGATAAATTCAAGATTTAATAATGTTTAGAACTCGATATTGAGGTAGTGATGACTAGATTTTGCTGTATAGTTGTTATATAGACGGAGTTAAACTAGTCAAAAAGCTTTGGTTCCTTTATACTTGAACAGTCTTGAGTATTCAATTGATAAATTCAAGATCTCATATACTTTAAGATCTTAATATAGCGATAACAATTACTAGACTATTGCATAAAAAAGTGAATAGGAATATTGAGTGCTCTCTTTTACTATTATTTATCATTGCAACTAATTTTCTGTTTCATACCGATTAGTGATAGGATACTGGATAGTGCAGTAAAGAGACCGGATATACCCTGCAAAAATTTGCAAAGAAATATATATCTTAATGAATTTAGGTTGAAACAAATGGAACATTAGGCTTGATTTAAAGGCAGTCGAAACTTTTATTTAATACGTATATTGAATATCATTAAATTAACATGATAACTTCTGATACAGTATTACACAATCTTAAAATTCCTTACTTGACCGGCGACTAAAGCTTGTGCGTATTCCTTGGGGAAGACACTAACCAATCCGAATACACTTGCTTGATAAATTGTGCCGCCAAGCACTTGGTATCGTTTGCATTACAGGTATAGAAGTAAAAGAAAGAAATTAGATAAGGTATTGGTTGTTTGTATGCCAGTTCTGACGGAAAATCCATAGTCGTGAATATAACGAATACTCGTTGATTGGCATCATTAATCATGACTGAGATGAATTTACTGACTACCATAGTGACGGAAGCGAATAGAAGAGAACTCTGTTACAATTCACTTGATCTTGGTTACATTTAAATTTACTTAGAAAGTTAATAGTTGAATTTATTGGAACCTGTTGAATAGCGCTATAAGTAAATTAAAATGGTGTATTCTAATCTTGGATTAAAATTAAATCACTATGACCGTCTACTATATGCCTTATTAATTTACTTATCCATAGACAATGTTTACTTGGCTTCAAAAACAACCATAAGTGAGCTAGTAATGTGTAAAGTGCATGATGAAATGAACTCTCAAGTTGCTGTAAGTAACTATATGGTATAGAATATTCAGTCTTAATTTTTTGGTTAATAGTGCAAATATAAGGTAAATCTATGCTGTGCTTTATTTAATGACTTTGGCTACTGCTATAGTTGTTAGATAGAATTGAACCATTAAAAATTTTATTTTCACCCTACATAGATTTTCGAATTTATTTAATCTATTTTACTTACTACTGTTTAGGATGATAATCGTTAAGGTTAGAACGAAAAACGTAAATTTCCCTGTAAGAGAAGATAAAGAAATTGTTCCACGATAAGTAACTTATAGCTAAAAAATTATAAAGAAAGTGGCTAGTTTATTCTTATTCAAATAACATAAAGGTATAAACTGACTGAGAGATAAATACTACATAGTGGTGAGGAAATGAGTCGTAAAGATTTTAAAAGTTGAAAGTAAAATAGATAGGATCGATGTGTAAGAATGTTATTTAAATTTTGCCGTTTGATTTAAAAAAATGACGGTAAAATGTCGCAAGTCAGAAATAAACCTGGCAAACTGCTAAAGAATAATAAGCTTACTTATTATGGTACAGCAAATAGAGACAAAATGGAACTAATAAACTCTAATTGAATTGCACATGTAGCGGTTATTGAAGCAATTTATACCATACTATAACTAAAAACGATAGGACACAGTAACTTCTAATACATTTAAAAGCTGATCAGTAAATGGGATCTTGTAATATCGAAAATAGATTGAAATAGCTCAAATTACTTCAAATAAAATAATTGATAAACTAATTTATTTATCTTAAAGAAGAATATTTGGCTTTTCTTGGTCAAGCATGATTTATGAAATCTAATGATTTCGATAAACCAACGATAAGACTGATAATTGTAATCTACATTTTAAATTAGAGCTAGCCTGGAAATATTGTTAGCATGAAATCACAGATACTCGCAAAGCTGTAAATAATAGATGAATGAACAGATGGATTTTCTCTATTCAAGTATAGTAGTCTATCTCATATAATACAGCATAAGGGTATAGGGGAAAAAAAATGAGGATATTGGTCAAATAATTTCGTACTAAGTTAACCGATTGAAGTAGTAATAACTAATTTATGATCTGGATTATTCTCTATAATTCAGGTAATAATACTTCATTATGCTAACGGTAACTGTATCGATAATCCGGATAGTTATTAATTCTATACATTCAAATAATAATAGCTTACATTTAGAAGTATCTATTTTGGCCAAGACAGCTGTAACTATAAAAAAGAATATCATAGCAGACAAGGAAAATATGATACGTTTTCTGACATCAACCCTAAAAAATTGCAAAAAGTAAAATAAGCTTTCGTTTTTAACCGATTAGAGTATAGAAGAGATTTAAAGTCACAATCATTAATATCAATGACGGCTGTTCAACATAACTTACGATCGCAGTAGCAAAATATTCACAGTACCAATAAATAGTGTAGGTAGACTATGGGCGAGCATCACGTAATTCTCAACAGTATATTGGTATGGCGTTCCTTCTAGCTTAGCAGAAAAGTACTGTAGTACAAGAGGCTCATATTGATTAATCAAAGAAGTCAATAACATTAATCAACATGATTGGCACTTGCCAAGGTGAATCAACTAAAAGATGAAAATTCTAAATATTTCCTTACTGTTGATGCGGTAAAAAATATATGTACAGGCATGGCACTGGCGATTCCAAAGAGAAAGAATAATATCCAAACTATATAATATCTGTAATATAAATAATATACTGTAAATAGACTCGATTTAGTAGTAAGATCGAGTTAAAATTTTGCAGGTTAAAGGTTGCATAATTTACTGCAGAGTCATAAACCGACTCAAAGTTAGCCCAAATATAAAATAGGGAAGAAATATTTCGCCGATAACTAAGAGTTCAATATGTAGTAGGCGACTATTTATTACGCCTTGATTCATTAGCTTAAGGTTAGATGTTGTATAATATGAAAGGAATAGCACAATAACATGAGTAATGAAGATGATGAGCTTCATTTTATCTGCAAGTCTGATTTCAAAGTTGATTAGTTCAACGATTTGTATTAAAGTCGTTAATTAACTGAAAGTTAGCCTAATTATAAAATAAGGAAGCTATATTTCACCGATAATAAGCGGGATGAATTTAGATGTGGTATGTGAGTATTTATTACGCCTTGATTCATTAAATCAAGGTTAGTATATTGTATGATATGAAGGAAACAGTGTAATAACCTGGGTAATGAAGAAGATGACCTTAAATTCTATCTAAAATTAATTCAATCTATCAGCTAAAGTAGTTTAGCAATCTAATTCGTAGATATTGCGAAGCGAGATACAACATCAATGAGCTCATAGTGCATCGTAGTTATCAATAACAGAAATAAAGTAAGGCCAGCATACGGGTAAAAATCTAACTCCAATGGAGTTAGGTGCAATGTCAATTAAATCCTAGAGTATCATAGCGTTCAATAATAGTATGAGAAAATAAGGCCAATGGAAGAGTAAATTCCTAACTCTAATTGATCGTTGTCTGAAGGACAGTCAGTCTCTTTTTAGGTGATATCTCAATAGTGTCTAGTATAAAATTCCACATCCTTAGGTACAGTAGCGAGTCCGTAACTTGCCAACGTTTAATCGATGTCCAATCAATTGAATAGGCCAATCAAATAGCCAAAATGGCGGCATAAAGGCCAAAATTGATTCAGAATTTGTCTTAAATAATTAGTTAACCTATATTTAATTATCGATAACGATTCTTGCGCTATTAAAGACGGATCAGTCAATTGCTTTAAAATTTGATGATGAAATAAAATACGTATACGTTGGTGCATCTAGCTGGTGTAACAAGTGTCCGGTATAGTAGTCATAAGAAGCTTTAGATATCTACA